TTAAGGAAAATGCACTCTGTAGCAAATTTAACTCTTTCTTTGAATGCTAGGGACATGTGTTCCCCAAACACGGTGGAGAGATGCACTCTTTGGCTACGCTCCTCCTAAATGTTTGCCTTTAATTGGCAAAAGTTCCTTCTGAGTTCCTTAAATTGTGAGTAGATAACCACAGAACGGGAACATGCATGCTGAGTTGTCCAGAAACAAGGATCGTCGAAGAAGAAATTGGCATGAGCAAATTTTAGTATATGATTTAGCAGCAGGGTCAACTTCGGCTCCGGCTAATCTGGTTTGCCAACCCCATTCAAAAACCCCAAGAGTCCTAAGGAGCTTACTGAGATTTTTGAATTAAGAGAGGGAAGGGCAAGAAGATAGCAGGTGATTTTCCTGTGACTTGGACCTGGTAGAAAGGATTCTTTACTTTTGGGCCAAGGCAGAATTCGTGGACAAGCAGCCAATCCCTGTCTGGAGCCAGAGAGACAGAGAGACGTTCCTGGCCCAGCTCAGGTGTAGCGGGAGGAGAGGGGGGTAGGGAACAGGCTGAACAGGAGAGGAGTCTAGGCGCACCGTCACTAGGTCAGTATGGTAGAGCAGAGGACCGGTGCTGCCACGCACGTGTGCAGAAATCCACCCGGGATTCTCGATCTGGATCGCCAGTCCAGGAGGACCAGGTGCTTCCAGTCGTTTCTGTTTCCTGCCCTGTCATTTCTCTACTCCAGGAAAATGCCTGTATAGTAGTAGCTCTACCTGGTAAATTCCTTGCATAGTAATACTCGTTGAAATTTTACCCACTGAAGATACATCATTGTCAAGAGGAAAATGCGGAGCTTTCAGTTGTGTCAGCACAAAATGGCAATTAGGTCAAACTGATGCGTAAACCATTTGAAAGGTTCTCAGCATCGCCTTCTCGCTTCTTTGGGTGGTGGAGTTATGGTGATTTTTCTAAGTTCTTTCTAGTTTTTCTAATTTTTGAATCGCGACTGTCTTTCTTATTTAGAAAAGCTAAAGGAGTAAGTCAGGATGCATCAGTGTTTTTGAAAATACTTTTGTGAACGTGAGGAAGGTTGATATTAACTAGGTAAAAATTAGTTTTAAAAAAGATGATTTTCTCCAGTCTCCCAGGTCTGGCCCTGAGGGCATGTGACTGCAAACAGTCAGAGCGAGGAAGCAGGAAGGCTGAGGGAGGGGGAGCATTCTGGGGGGAAGAGCATCCAGGCCCCTGGAGGAACAGAGTGTGGAGTGTGGACAGGAGGAGGTGGCTGCGAGACAGACGAACTCGAGAACCACAGAAACAAAAAGAGTTAGGGTTTGTGTTCTGACCAACTTGCGTCTCCACCACAGCTGCATCTTAATGTATACAGTAGGGATAAGATTACCCATCTGGCAGGTGGTTTAGTGAGAACAAATTAAAGACGATGAGGTCTGGAAAGCCCCTCACGTGCTACATGGCTAAGTCTCTGCTACTAGAATTTGTCACTATTTTGAAAATTTAGGTTGTGGTCCGCCCGGCTCCCTGTAGGACCTTAAGAAACCTCATAAGGCAGAGAGGCCAGGGAGTGCCTTACCTTCCCGAACCCCAGCCTCACCAGACAGACCCCGAAGGAGTGAGAGCTCCGTGACTGCCCAGGGCAGCCCGCAAGGCCCCAGGGCTCTTCACTGTCTTATCAGGAGTAAAAAACTCTTTCCTTAAGTTTCCACTATTCCCAGCAAAATGTTTTGGGGGTGATGGAGTAAAGGAATCCATGCAACAGTGAAGAAATGCTTGCCCTGCGAGGTGGACATTAGAAAAATTTGACTTAAGTTGCTTCTTTTCCGTTCTAAAGATCACCCTGAGATTGTCTCTCAGACCACAGCGGTGCTGCTCTGCTTTTTTCAGATCCTATAAACCTTTTACCTTTCACTAAACTTGCCGTTGTGGAAGTTTCTGGCAGATTCAGGGGCCAAGTCGGGACTCCTCTGCCAGCTGCCCACCATGTTGCTGTGCGGGGAGGTTTCACCTTAGGGGATTTACTGCCACCCCAGGGGTGGCGGTTCCAGTGCCAGCAAGACTGTTGCCAATGCTGCCAAGCTAATTGGACCCAGGGCACTGATTTGTCCTCTGGTTTCTTTCTAAATTAGCATGCTCTCAACATTGGCGGGGTCCCACCTCACTGCTTGGGTGAGCGGGCTCCCTCCCGAGGCGCTTCTCATTATCTTCTCTCCTCCAGCCCACGGCCTCTGGGCCACCGACTCTCATTGAATCACTCTGCCTCATCTGTCCCTCACTTGTAAAATGGAAGCCCGCCTGGGCTGTGAGACCTCGCTTGCTTGGAGCCACACCCTGTGCCCTCTCCCCTCCTGCTGCTGGTATTGCCTGAGAAATTGCCTTCCCTCCTCCAGGCCCACCTGATGTGGGTCTCCCGCACAGGCCTCGGCTCTGAGACACAAGGCGCCTCCTTGCTGTGTGTGACGGCGTGGATGGAGCTGGAGGGAGAGTTCTAAGGGAAGGAGGTCAGAAGGAGAAAGACGAACACCAGCTGGCCTCGCTTACAGTGGGCCATGGAGAAACAAAACCAAGGGTCAGAGGAAGCCGAACCAATAATCAACCTTGCGTAGACTTGATGCCCCAGAAGGGCAGGGAGGAGGGGGAGGGCCCTGTGGAGGGGGCACAGTGGGCTCTGGGGGAGCACTTTCAGCAACCCGGCAGGGGTGTGGCGTGGCTGTACCCCTCGGGGTGTGCGCCTCCACCTGCTAAGTCATATACAGCATCGTAGGCGGATGTGACCTCAGTGAAAAAAAGAATAGCAATTTAAACAAAAATCATGCAGAGCTGCCAATAGTTGCCTTTTGCCCTTTTCAATGCCCCATTTGTCTGTCTGGCTCCACATGTTATGTTCGCCTGTGTTTTTAGGCATTTCTCCATTTCTTTGGCCAATATCTCTCCCTACACCAAATTGGCGCTGGCGTTTCCAGCATGATCCCAAGCTCACCTCTGTCTCTCGAGAACTTTCGCCCAAGGAGACTCATCTCTTGGCTTGCAATTAACCACTCTCCCTGTCACCCACTCCTGAAGTGATTATAACCTCCCTTCTCAAATTAGCGTATCTATTCAGCTGCTTTCCTGACACCTCAGGGCATCACAGCTATACCGTGGCCCCTCCACGGCATCCGCCCAGCTTAGAGAAGAACCATTTGTTGCCCCTATTTCTCTCTCTGCAGGTGGCACCATCAGCTGCCCCGTTGCTCAAACTCAACCCAGGGCACGATACTGGTTGCTGCCTCCTCATCTCCAATCTTTCCACTCCTACTGTTTCCCGTGGCCTCCACCTCCATCCCAGGGATGACTCTTCTCACTTTCGCCTCTGGCTTCTCTGCGGTATTAGTTTTGCCAATTGCACACAGGCTCTGTCCACATAAAACCTCCCTTCATTTTCTAGAAGTTCCATGGTCTGCTTCTGCCCCCGCCCAAGGCTGCGGCGACACCTGCAGTCTCCTGCTGCTGCGGCGGAGCAGGTGCTGGGGGCAGAGCCCCCGTCAGCGGAGGCAGAGGTGCCAGAAACACCTGGGGGGTTCAGGGGCACCTCTGACATTTCCCCTGGGTGCCATTCCCTCGGGTGCCTCAGGTGCCTCAGCACCCGGAAAGCACAAGGAGTCGAGAAGGCCTCCTCGTCCTCCTGTTAGCTGGATGCCAGAGCAACTTTTCTTCTCCTCTTTGTGTTGCTGACGTCATTGGCACATTGAGTGTTCTCACTTGATTTTCAGGGAAAGAGGTCCCCGGATGGGGACCAAACCACCCACGGCTCGTTGGGTTGTTTTTGCCCCGGGTTTGGCTGAGTGTGGGGACACCAAGCAGCCCAAGTGTGTTCCGGCTCCCCCGCGTGCCCGCCTTAGGGTGCCACGTCAGGTCCCCGTTTCAGTGACCACCTCCCACTTGTAGTCACAGAACTGAGGCAAAATGACATTATGCAAAGGGTTAGGCAGTTGTTTAAACAGAAAAAAAGAAGTGGCGGGCAGGCGGGCCCTCGCTGGACACCCGGCCGGGCTGGCGTGGACGGTGCAGAGGCGCAGCACGCGCGTTGCTGGCCCGGGTCTCGGGTTGACCCCGTCTCTGAATGTAGCGACGCCAGCCATTGACTGCATCTTCAAGGAGCATTGCAAAACTAAATGCGTTTGTTAGGGCTAGTTTCCAAAAGACTCCTCTAACCTTCAAAAATGCTCGCTTATAAAATTATGAATCAGGGCCTCCCCGGTGGCGCAGCGGTTGAGCACTGGGTTGCGAAGCTACCCGCAGCCTCTGCAGCACCGGTTCGATCCCCGGCTGCTCCCCGGCCACTGGATGAGGATCCCACATGGCGCGCAGACCTCTCCTGCCGCCCGCTGCTCCCCTCAGCAGTGTGCTTTGGTCCTTCTGCCTGCTCTGCTCCCCGCTCTGGTTCTGGTGAATTCTCTCACCCTCCCGCGCTTCTCACTGTACCCAGTGCTTGTATAAATAAATAAAAATAAATCTTTAAAAAAAATTAAAAAAATAAAATTATGAATCATAATTACAAAACCTCATAATTATGAAAATATGAATTAGGATAACTTTTAGCAAGATTTAGAGGAATCTTCTCTCTCTGCTTCCCTTTTTGTTTTTAATTGTTGGGTCTGTCTGTTCTCAGTGGCCAACCCCACCTCGCTCTAAGACTCTCAGAGGCTGCCCAGGCTTCCTCAGCACCAGGAGCCCAGGTTGCTACCCTCACATATACTGGGGGTCACCCCCTTGCTGTGCCCCAACAATTGAGACAGTTTCCTGGCCCTCACTTCACTCCCTGCTGGCATGAGTCCTCCTCCTGTAAACAGCCTCCATCCCGGCCCCTCCCCTCAGGTGGGGCCTCAGCGATGATCCTGAGCTAAGGGGCGAACACAGGAGAAAGGAGGCAGCAAGCAGCAGCGGGAAACAGAGCAGCCACGCAGCTGAGAGTAAAAAAGCCATTGCTGGCTCCCTCCATGAGTGGAGAAAAACTATTCTGTCTTTTCAGGTGATAGAAGATAGATTTAAGATAGAAAAGGACAAAGGCAAAGCAAAGTCTCCCAAGGAGAAGAAGACACCAAATGCCAAGGCTGCCAAAGGGAAGGGGAAGGACCAGCCGGAGGCCAACACCACGGTGAAAAAGACCACACAATTAAAGCGGCGGGGAGAGGAAGACGGTGCCAAGTATTACATCGGTCAGTGCCTGTCCCGCTCAGCTCCCCCCACCTCCTCTGCCCTGGGAGGTAGCCTGAGAAAGCAGGGCGATAACTGGGCCTCAGCTGTTCCAGGCTTTGCCCTCTTTGTAAACCCCAAATCCCATGCCCGTGACGCCCCAATAGGAAAACATTTCTATTTGCAATTTATTAATATCTAGCACATGCCTGGCGATGGCCCCGTCGCGTGGTACAAATAAAGAAGGGAGTGATGAGTTGATTGTGTCACTGAGGCGCTCGCCCTCTTGTTGGAAATCTTTAAAGCAGTCAGACATGATTGTAAGGCAGAGGGAAAAGTGCCTTTCATCTGGAGTGAAACGCAGTGGTGATAAAGCCAGACCAGTTTGTAACTCCTTGAAAACACAGAGCTTCTTGACCAGGGTCTCGCCCACTGCCGGCCCTGGATAGAACAACTAGAATGTTCTTCCATTCTAAATGAGTTATAAGGAAATAGTTTGACATAGGCAGTGAGGAGTAATTCTTTGCCACTGTCCCTTGAGCCCATTGAAGCCCTACCTGTTGTTACCTGTATGGGGGGCGGGGCATACCTGCTCACCCCAGATATCTCACCTCAAAATCCAGTAGACTAGAAGCTGTGATTAAACGGAGCAGTGGGTAATATCAGCAATGACTTGTTTAGTGACAGAAGGAAAATCGTCACTCAGGAATTAAAAGTTAGGATCTCTGTTGCACTACTTGTAAACTGATCTTAAGGTATCATGTAGAATCAATACTAAAATGGGACCATGATTCTCACTCCCCAGAATCTCACCTCCTAAGATAAACTCATGTTTAAACATTAATAAAACAATGCAACCAGGACAAAGCAGAAGAGGAAAATTTGAGGAGAGTGCACAATAAATATCTTTTTCATTTCATGCAATGAATGCATAGTGGCTACTTAACCCGCACTCAGCATTCACACCTGTGGAGGTGAATACACAGACTACTCTGGTAGGGAGCATGTCCATATTCAATATTTCCCTCTCCTGTAAACACCTCTACTTATAAAATACCACAAAGCTGCAGCTACTCGTAATTCAGGAGTGAAGCCAGATGTTGCTCAAGAGATTAGAACCAAAAAAAAAAAAAAAAAAAAAAAATTACAGCCTAAACTTTATTTTTACAAAAACCCAAGCACACATTTTCCATGACCACAGGCCTCATGTATGTTTGTTCTCCTATTACGCCTATGTCTCATTTGCAAAAGCGATTTAATATTTTGTAAGATGGCCACAGCCTTCTTACTGGAAGGGCTCTAATGAAAACCAGTCAACACGATTGCCTTCCAGCCAACTGGACTGTTTCTGGCAAGCAGAAGGGATTATAAGCACATGCATAATGTATAGGGCTGTGGAACTGGCCGAGTGCAACCTGTCCTCCTTTAAAGTGATGCCCGCTCTTCTTTATGGTCTTCTGAACAGATGATGAACCAGATGATGGTGCCCAACATTACATTATCGTCGTGGGCTTCAACAACCCTCAGCTATTAGCGATTATGACTGAGCTTGGCATCCCCATCAGCAGCGTGATTAAAATCTCTTCGGAGAACTATGAACCACTGCAGACACACCTGGCAGCGCTTAGCCAGCAGCAGGAAGTTCTTCTTCAGCCAGAAGGTACGCAGCCTGCTACATGACGTACTGGGTCCTTCGATATCACTGCCATCCTTCGAGTACAAATGCAACGAACACTCTGTCCACAACACAGCCACATAATGCAGGCTTTCTTAAAGCCTTTCAAGGCCTTGATTTGCTCTTTATGCTGTTTGCCTTGGCCAGGTGTTGTAAGTTTGGGAAATTAAAATCAGTCCCTCTGTTCCTATCCCAGTTGAGCTGCAGCAAACATAGAATGTGGGTCAGAAGGCTGGGTTATCCAGCTACATTTCTCAGGCCCATGTGGTCTATAATTTTTACCTAAAGCACAAGTTGGATGGCTCAACTATAGCAAATCCTCCTTGCAAAGCCCATAGCCACTGATTGGCCTTGGGAGGTCATAGCCTTGGACACCCGCCCTGCTTTACTGCTGGTTCACTGTGATCAGTCAGAGTCTTAGCTCAGGAAGATGAGGGATGAAGTCCCAACCACACTGCCACACTGGGGGCCTTCCTATAAGGGAGCTGGATGAGCCAACCCCTTTGGGAAGGGAACAGAAAGGCACTGCATCCTCTAGGCAGTAGAACTGGGGCTTAGTATGAGCCTGTGTGGCCTGGAAGTGCATGCTCTTCTGCCATATACTGCAGTCTTCATTGTTATTTATTGATAATATCACCTGCACAGTGCTTTATCATTTATATAGCCACACCCCCATTTCTATGATACCACATTTTTAAAACTTCCCAGTTGGACAATGCTACCACTGTTCATAAAAATAACTATTATTTATTACACCCATGCCTTATATGTAGTCTCTAGGCTAAAGATTTGAAGTACATTAATTCACGTAGCTTCCACATCAACCTAGACAGGAGGCTTCATTATTTGCATTTTACGTAAAAGCACACTCAGCCTAGAGGTAGCTATTCAATAAAAGAGTTGACATTCAAATCCAGTTACTCCTGACTATCTCCAAAGAGAGTTAGAACATGTAAGTAACTTATCGAAGCCAGAGGGAAAATGCTGCATAAGCGACATATACAGTCTCTCTGTAAATAATATTTGTATATAAATATAAAACCAGAGGAGAATAGATATCATGATAGAATAATGAGATCTTAGTAGTGGGAACTATGTAATTGTAGACTTGAATAAACACAAATAATTGAGGTAAAGTTTCAAGTGTAACTTTTTTGGAAAACTGTCATTTTTTTTAACAATCAGGACACAAGTGTCCGGAGTAGGCAGTCCCTTTATTTTCATGTGAGAAGGAGACGACCTGGGTCAGCTGCATGGCTGACTAGTTGTGCAGCAAACAGGTACTAGGATTGTCAAGTGATTTGGCAAAAACAAACTCCAAAACTACTCCAATAGGCATTCAATCTCATAGTGAAAAACTGAGCATATTTGGATCCCCAAATGAGTGTCCTTACCACATTCTTTCTGGACCTCAGCTATGAAGCAAAGATACGGGATAAACTTGTATTTAATACCGATTTTACAAGTGAAATCCTCTGATTTCGTAATTGCATGGCCCAGATCCAAAACCTTCTCAAAACTCTTTCTTTCTTCGCGTTCTCCTGGTACCTTGCAGACGTGCTACAATGCACAGGACTCACCCCGTCACTTGCAGCAGGAAGAAAGTCATCTCTCTCTTTCCATAGTATAAACATGTTGTTATCATTAGATATAGAAGCTGAAAAATTGAAGAAGCAGAAAGCCACAAAGGAGCTTGAAGTTTTCTGGAAGTACTTGGAACCGATCCTGAATAATGAAAAACCTGAAACGAATCTCTTCAACGTGGCTCGGCTCGAGTACACAGTCAAGGCGGATGACTTTCCTTCCCACTGGTCGGACAGCGAGATGATGGTGAGTGCCCGGGCTCCAGCGAGTGGCCCTGAGCTGCTCGAGCAGGTGACGCAGTGGTTCTACTCAGCTCGTTTATTCATTCACCCCACAAATGTTCCCTGGGCCGAGCTCTGTACTAGATCCTTTGTCTTCAAACAATGGTCACACCAAGTGATGGCCACAACTGACTCTTTTTTCTTTTTAATTCTGGACCATTACTTTATTTATTTAGTAGAAGAACTGGGGTGTAGGCCCCAGGTTTGGGGGTGGGGAGAGGATTCACCAGAGACAGAGCAGGGAGAAGAATGGGCAGATCTACTGAAATCCACTGCTGAGGGGAGCAGCAGGGAGACAGGAGAGGTCTGCCGCGCCATGTGATTTAGTTCCCAGGCTGGGGATCGAACTCAGGCCGCAACAGTGATGGTGCTGAGACTTAACCCCTAGGCCACCAGGAAGGCCCCACAACTGATTCTTAGCTTTTGGTGTAGAAATAAATGATGAAGAATAAGATGTAGGTAAAGGTTGGTAGTTCTTTTACTTGGTGACATGTGATCTTGTTTCATGCCTAATCATGGTCTAGGTAGTTGAGTTTTAATGTATAATATATTAATTGTGGAAATGGTGAATTTGACTGTTGGATTACACTGTCTTGTATTTTTTTAAAAAATAAAATGTTTAAGTTATAAACTTCGTTTTACTAGGTCCTCGATTTTATGGCCAAAATTATATTTTGAATATATCTGACCAACAGAGTCTGTTGCAAAAGGATGACTTGAACCCGGCCTGGCAATTAGCAGGCATTCCTCAAGAGCATTTACCTGCTAATGAGGAGTTTGCAAAGAGACAAGAACAATATCACTGAACAGGGGCGATGTTTGGGGTACCACATGCCTGGGTGCTCAGTGATGTGGGACATGCTCTAAGTTCCTGATCAGTTCGGAAAGAGAAGACGTGGCTACTTTGACTAGCATTAAGGCTGCGTGGGTGAGGGCGCTATGGACAGAGGCTGAGGGACTGCTCATCACAGGTGTTGGGGAAGAGGTTAAAATAATCTGTTCAGTCTCTTTCTGACTGACCCCACGTTCCAACAGACAGGAACCGCTGGAGGGAACTGAACTGAAAACAGAGTCCTGGCAAGGGGCAGCATCAGGGCATGCTCTGGAGGTTGCTGGAAAAAGTGGGGTGGCTGAGATGGGTAGGGGTTTGGGCACAGTGACAGTCTGGGAAGAGAAAGACAGCGAAGCCAGGGACAGATCTTGGGCATTGAGTCTGCTGTCCGTGGCCCCAGGTTGGAGCGTGGACATTCCTCACTATGACAGTGTCTGATTCTGTCCCCCTGAGGTGGAATAAGTGAAAACCCTGGCCAGGGATGCCCAGATTAGGGCCTTGGAGGAGGGGCATGCTTTGGATAAATAGCCATGGATGGATCCTCTTGAGTGAGAAAGACTGACAGCCTGAGGCATTGGATGGCGCCATAGAGAAACGAGACCCTTGAGTCTGATGTCTTGCCAATGGTAAGAGTAAACGTTACCGCTAGAGTAGTAAGAGTGCAAGAGCTGTGGCTGAGGCAGAGCTTGTTCCAGGCAGAACTTGTTGCTCCAGACACCCTTTGGTTTGCTTCTTCGCTCCCTTCCTGTAGGTATTTTCAGCTTTCCTGCTTTGTCTCTTGCTCTCCTGCCTCCTAAACCTGAGCTCAGAAGAGAGCCCCTGCCTTCTGCTCTTTACTGCTTCAGATTAAGTGGGATCAGTATGTTTCTCCAGAGTGGAGAGACGGGCATGCCAAGTAAAGTAGTGCTGTGAGAATCCCATCCTGCTTTATTGGAATTGGAGATTATACCCAAGCAATGGGAGATATGTTTGGAGATGAGGCTATTTCCCAGGAATCCTGAAACCCCAGGAATCCTGAAACCAGTTTTCTACTCTTTCTCTCCTCCCCCAAACAAAATCTACGCCTAACAAAAACCCACACCATAAAATGACGTTTGGGGAATAGCCGTCCTCTCATTTGGACCAAGTTTTGGCTGCAAACCTTGTCCAAAACACGTGTACATTTTTGGTTCAGTCGGCATAGCCGATCGCAATCATATATTAATTTCTGAGCCCTGCCTCTGAGGAGGTAACAAAGAGTCTTTGAAGGCAGCCGCACACCAAGCACCTTTTGCCCCTGCTAGAGTGAGGGCTCCCTCCTGTTTATCTTACTGACTCCCAGGCAGAGGCTGAGACCAGCTGAAAGGCGCTGGCTCAAGGCGGGGCCCAGCTGCCAGCTCCAGAGACCCAGCACCTCTCCCCGACTCCTGCTTCCCACCCCAGTGTCCACACTTCTCTGTTCACTTGCAGACTGTGATCACTTCATTTAAGAAAGTCAGTGTGGCTGGAATTCTACTTTTCAAACACGAGGGGTTGGAAGTTTTGAAATGGCAATTAAAATACAAAGGTGTATTTGATGTTGAAAAAAAAAAAAAAACATCGCTCTGCTTGAGACACTAGTGATGGGAGGACATTGCTGGCGACAGGATGAGATCAACATCCAATGAGACAATGAGGGTGTCTAACAGGCCATCGAGGTGACCACGGGCCAGCAGTCTGCGGCCTGGGCCTCACTGGTCACACTGATGAGCCCACAGTCAGTTTCCCAGCACCCACTGCACACCTTCCTCACGTTGTCTGGTGCAGAGGCCGTTGTTCCCCAGAGCACAGACACGCCTCTGTGAGGTCAGGGAATGGCCCAGCACCGGGGCCAGTGGCAAGAGAGAGGGACCTGGAACATGGTTCAGGGGTAGAGTTGGGCCACAGGAAACTCTTGGATTTAATACTGAACATCAAAGGACATTGTTAACTTAGGCCCGCTTCAGAGATATAAAGTGATAAATCTACAGCCAAGCCGTGTGTCACTCTCCCAGCTCTACCTGTAAGCTGACGCGGCCTTGCTGCCGCGCCTGGGGCCAGCCAAGACGTCTTCCTCTCTGGGAGAAGGCAAGCTTCAGTTAACCTCTGGCTGCAAACAAGCAGACTGTATTTCTGCTGAGCCCAGGTAACGAAAGCTTTACATCGACTAAATGCCCATCAAGAAGCGCTAACTGCTCTGGGAAGACATCTGCAACATCTCATGTGAAGACCCTGGTTGTGGAAAGAGATTTCTGGCTTTATTTAGCCTGTGTTGGCTGTTTGATTTAAACACAAATTAACTAGTTGAGCTGAGGGATCATTTGGCGGAAATTTTACTCTATTTCTTATAAATACAAACAAACATATTTCTCCCCGTGAAGCTGGGCAAGGAATATCAAATTGCAGCTTCACTGAAGCATGTGGCTCTCGGAACAGGTGTGTGAAGCTTCCTGCATGGACAGGTGCTCCGTCCAGACAGGTGCTCTGCCCAGACAGGTGCTCCGTGGATGGGCAGAGCTGGCCACTTCCCTGCCCTCCCTCCAGGCTGTGATTCGCTGGCCCCACACAAGTTCTCTCCTTCTACCTTGGCCTCTTCCTCTCAGACACTGGAGGAGTCTCTTTAACCTTTCTTTGCTTTTGAGCAGACAGACATAGTGGTCAAAATGCTTTTCTGCTTCTGGAAATGAAAGCCCAGGTAATAAGGAGGGGGCAGATCTATGACTTACCTGCTAAATCATAAACCTCACGGGCTTTATAGCAGCAGTCAACCATCAGGATATTTTTAGTTTTTTATTCCCCCCAAAAGGTAGCGTGGGTGAAAGGAGAAAAGAAAGTTGGGGAGGAAAGGAGAGGAAGAAATACTGTTCGTGTGTATCCCACGGCGTCCTTGAATGGACAGGCCACCACGGTGCTCCGTGCACAGACAGAAGCCATCCTCCCAAGCTGGCCATGGTTGAGGATATCCATGTGACCCACCTCCCATGTTGTTCCAGGAGTTTAGCTGCCAGGATTATAGGTCACCCAGCTAAAACTAAGGAATAAGGTGGGTTGTTTTGTTTTTTTGCTTAATTGAAAAATTAACGAGGCTCTTACAATACCAGACAACCCTGACGCCCTCCCAAGGGAGCAGTCTGCTTTGTGGCGAACACAGGGCAAGAAGGGTTTCAGCAAATAAGACCCAGTCCCCATGGCTGTGGGGGTTTGGGAGAAGCACTTTACAGAGCAGCAATAGGTTTATCTGTTCAGTGTCAGGCAAACCACACATTATGGTCCCCAACCCTATGAGTCTAACCTAGTCTACCACTGCGAAATTAATAGCGAACTGTCATTCATTCTGTTGCCTGTAGCTGGAATTGGGCACCAATATTTTTGAGAACATCGCCTGTTTGATGTATGACACTCTGGACTGGAAAAGGCAGCACCAGCACTATTTGGAAAACATGCAGCTTATTAACGTCCCGCAAGTGGTCCATGAGAAACCTGTTCTAGAAGCCGTACCGCCTTCGGAGGTAGGTGTGCGCCCCTGTGTCTTTGGGGAGCTAGCGATTAACGGAGCAACTCCACTTTCACTTTTTAAAACATATGAAGAAAAAAATTGCATAAATGCTTGCTGCAAGGTAATCCTTCCTGCTGGGATTTAGTAGGTGAGAGCGGAACAAGCCCCCCAGGCGCAGCATGAAAGGTGGGGACTTTGCAAAGCTCCAAACTACCTGCCACATGCAGAGGTGATGATGGAAAACACTTTTCAGCCCATGTTGCCATAAATAACATGGGGGGGGGGTGTCGATAAATTAATAAAGAGGTGTATTTAGTACCTACGTGTGCTATGACAGTGGCAGGTGCAGAAGGAGCAGGAGCAAGACTCCTGTCGTCCTGCCGTCTTCCTCGCTGAGGTGGGTTTTTAAAGGGCGTTTCCCTCAGGTCGTACCTGATCTGGGGAAGAGTGTGTGGAGGGAGTGGAGCCAGGAGAAACCTCCCCAGACAGGGCGGTGAAGTGGTGAGGCTGGTTGCGAAGGAAGCCCACAGGACAAGGGCAGGAGGAGATTCTCCAGACAGAGTAAGATGGACAATGGTGCAGAGGGCAAATGAAGGGGCCGCCTGGCAGAGCAGGACCACAGGGGAGGTCAGTGCCCCGCAGGGGCTGGGGTGCAGAGACCTGCCCTGTGTGAGCTAGAGCGGGACAGCAGTGTCCTCTGGCCAGTGAGCTGGGCTTTGCCCAGGGGCCACAGCCTGTGATGGGGGCCTTGGGGAGTCTCAGGAGACCAGGTGGTTCCCGGGAAGGAAGGAGTTTGACGCCTCGTCCCAGCCTTTCCCTGGCCAGTGCTCCGTGGGCCGTGGGCAGGCCTTGAGAGGCGCGCAGCCCCATCTCCTCCCCTTCCTGGGGAGGAAGAACTGGTCCCCACACAGCTGGTGGTTTTGGGGGTGCACGTGAGGCGCGCACGGCGAGAACATGCTCAGGAGCCATCAGACCATCCCACGACGGCCGCTCTGGCGCACGTGGCCCGCCTGTTCCCGTTCATTCTTCTTCTAGGCCCCACAGCCTGTCCCCACAACGCCTGGAAAGAAGAAACCGCCTTCCGAGGAGCCGCAGGCCCCGCCAGCAGGCACGTGAGGGGCCTGTTCCCCGAGGGCTGCCCGCGCTGCACTGGGTGGACACGGGAGGCTTCGGGGGGCGCCGGGAGCGTGGCCCCCTGATGCCCGTGTGTCCTGCAGCGGCGCTGCTCGCAGTGGACGTGGACATGAGGTGTTACAATGACCTGCTGAGCCTGGTCCCCGAGGAGCTGGTCTCCGTGGCGCTGATCCTGCACTGCATGGTGGAGCAGGTGGGTGAGCGCCGCGCCCCTGGGCCTCCCGGGCAGCCTCTCCTGTCCTCTCTTGATGCTTCCATTTCTTAAACACATGCAAAAAGGCTGGTCTTGAACGCACTGATAGGGAGCATGGGCTGTGGTGAGACCTTCGTGAGACGGGCTAGTTTTATTGTTTTAATCCCAAAGGGCAGGTCTGTCTCTGGTGAATCCTCTCACCCCCTGCACCTCTGGCCTACACCCCTGTTTTTGGATGCATAAAAAAATAAAAATAAATCTTTAAAAAAAAAAAAACAAAAAAAGATGGGATATTAGAGTTTAGCCTTTCAGAGATGGAACAGTCTTAAGTGGCCTTTTGTGCATGGAGTGGGCCCAAGGGAGCAAGAAAGTGGTCATGAGCTAAGAAAAGCAAGTGGTTGGAAGGAAATGAAGCAGACGCATGATTGGCCCTTTGTAAAAGTTGGTGCAGACAAAGGTTACCAGCCGAGGATGTGCTGTCATGGCCCATAGCCCTGGTTCTCAACAGGGGGCGAGTTTGCCTCCTGGTAGACAGGTGGAAACGTCTGGAGATATTTTCAGTCGTTACACCTAGAGAGTTGCTACTGGCATCAGATGGGAAGAGGCACAGGACAGCCCTCACAACAAATAATTGTCAAGTCCCAAAAGTTACAAGTTCCAAAGTGTAGACACCCTACAGAGGGGTGTGAAATCATCGAGGGTGGTGGCAGGATTTAAGATGAAGAGCAAAACCATAAATGAGGTGCCTCTCTTGATAATATTTCAACTTTCTTTGTTTGTCACGCAAACTTGGACAAGGCTTTCGATCCTTCTAGAATTCACTTTCCCCATTTGAAAGAGGCCACAACCCTTCACCAATCTCACTCTCAGTCAGTTGAGGAAAGAACAAGACCTTGACCTGAGCCCCAGTTCCTCCCACTCAGTAGACTTGGACCCAGGTCAATCACCGAGCTTCCCATACCCAATTTCTTCCTCTGTAAAATGGAAAATTATGTCTACTCCACAGAGTGTTTAAATGAGCTCACCTATGTGAGATGCCCCCACAGGCCTTGTCTCAGAGTAGCCTCTGGGGAAATGTTTATGGAATCCACAGGGGAATGAGCACAGCTGCGCGCTTTAAGACAAAGAGCACATCATTAAGAAAAATATTCAATTATGACTCTGATTTCTACGATAGTAATTTTCTTGTTGACATGTGTCCTTTGTGTCCTCTGTTCTAATGTGCGTGTTAAAAATCCTAATGCATGGACTGTCAACATTTTTCCTGCTCACTCGGTAGCCCCCAGGAATCACACGGCACCTCATGTAAGATTGTTCTTCCCCCAAAGAGCCGCCTTGTTCTCACAGAGAACAGTAGAGACCCTCGCGCGTCAGCAAAGAACTGACCGCCACGTCCACGTCCGTCAGTTCCTCCCAACTCTGTGTTGTTTCAACAGGTGGTGGCGACGGAGGAAGATCTTGTCCCACCCATTCTAATGGACCCTCCTCCCAGAGCAGACGGGCTGGACCACAGGATTGCAGCTCACATTGTCTCCATCCTGCCCTCTCTCTGCCTCACGGAGAAGGAGAAAAAGGTCAGGTGGCGTGAGATACCCCCAAAGTTGGCAGGCGTTGATGAAATAAGGACTCTTTCTTTAAATCACTATCATTTCAATTCGGATAGAGCCTGCACGAAATGTTCTCCTCTGAAGAAGAATTGGAGAGCAAAGCGGTGCCCAAGGGCCCTCTCCTGCTCAACTACCACGATGCCCGTGCCCAGAAGAAGTATGTGCTAAAGGTAATCACGCCCGCGTCAGCCTCGTAGCCGATGCGAGGAAGGGGATCTGTAATTATACCCGTGAAGAAAACGTCAGTCACTTAGGATGAAAAATCAGTTCATTTTTCTGTGTACCTGGAACCTTCGGCAAAGTGAGAACTAGGTTTTTTGAACTTAAGAAAATAGCTGTAGGGCCTCCCCGGTGGCACAGCGGTTGAGCGCTGGGTTGTGAAGCTGCCCGCAGCCTCTGCAGTGTTGGTTCCATCCCTGGCCACTGGGTGAGGGTCCCACATGGCGCGCAGACCTCTCCTGCCACCCGCTGCTCCCCTCAGCAGTGTACTTCGTCAGTCTGCCTATTCTGCTCCCCGCTCTGGCTCTGGTGAATTCTCTCACCCTCCCGCGCTTCTGACTGTACCCAGTGCTTGTATAAATAAATAAATCTTTAAAAAAAAAGAAAGAAAGAAAGAAAGAAAAAAGAAAATAGCTGTAGTTTTTCCTCCCCAATCACCAGGGTTTCCCCTATTGGTGACACGAGAGAGAAGGTTATCACGTTCAGCCTCGCCGTCTGCGGGAGGCCCCTGGCAGCTTACTGTCCTGTCTTCTGCCGCGTTGCTTTTTCATCAGGACCAGAAGAATTTCGACCCAGTGCAGATTGAGGAGGACATGCACGCCAGGTTGCCGCTGTGGAAGTTCCTGGAGTTCCCGCTGCCCCCGCCCTGGAACAGCACTAAGCGTCTGGCCATGATCCACGAGCTCATGCACTTCTGTACAAACGGTGAGTGCGGTGCTTTGCTTTAGCGTCAGAGCCCCCTTCCAGAACGTGTGCCTCCTGAGATGACTCGCCTCTTTGCAGAATGTGTTTTGATTATTGAGGGACCTTTCGGAGGCCCAGGTGGGTGCTTTGACTGACAACAGTTTTCTCCTCCTGAGCCGGGCCATGAACAACAGTAGAGTTAATTATAATGCACAATAGTCTTCCACATCACACACAGAGTTTCGTCACGCTGTTCCCATGAGGGTGGTCTTCCCCCGGACCCCCCCGCATTGACTGGGCTTAGGGGACCCCCCCCCCCCGAGCTCTGGCTGGGCTTAGGGGACCGTTTGCCAGGGGACGGTCCTCTGGTGGTGATGTGGTGCTAACAGTGTGTTTGTTGATTGAAATTAACCTCTCGCGACAGGAGGGCAGGTGTATGTTTTTTGAGAACGGCGGAAAAGGGGCTGCTTCTCCATGCAGCCAGAGCTCACTGGAATTTTGCAATACAGACAACCATTTCTTTAAAAAGAAATCCTATTTCCACTGGAGGCGAAATGCCGATGAGGCTACTTATGAGGAAGAATATGAAACCATGTCAGTATCCCTGGTGGCCAAGAAAGCGTTTGGCCTGGGAAAGAGAAAGGCACGTCGTGATTCTTCCTTCTCCTTTTAGTTCCATCCCGAAGAAAATGACAAGACGCTGTTATCTTGACTTCTTTTTTCATTTTTAAATAGAAATAGTCGCAATCACGGGAATGCGGTTCTGGCCAGCAGGGTCCGGTCCCCTGCGGGTGTCGCCTCTGTGGTTTCACCACCATCCTCTTCCTGATAGTCCTTGGAACATCGGCTTTTGGCCCCTGTCCTGTCCTGCCACCCTCACTGCCCCTCCTGCCTTCTGATAACATGTCACTCTCTCCACCTCCACTCTGCGCCCAGCGGGGTCCTGGTTTCATCCTTAACAGGTCCAGACCCAGCGTCAAGTCCCCTGACATTTAGCCCTGCAACGACTTCCTTATTTCAGTCAATGGCAACTGTTTTCTACCAAAATTCATCATTCCCTGATTCTGTTGGTTTTTTACCCTCATGACCCATAACTAGCCCAGGACATCCCCCAAGATCAGCCCTGCCCAGCACCCTCCCAGCCTCTCCCCTGACCCTGACCCTTTCACTGGCTTTCCTGTTGGCCCGGAGCCTTCCACCTTTTTCCCCTGCTCTCTCTGGACAACGGCCAGGGTGGCCCCACTGAAGTCGGTCAGAGCTTCTTGCTCAAAACTCTCCAGCGGTTGCCCAGATCACTCAGAGTGAAATCTGGCTGCTACCCACTTTTCCCACTGTTTCATCCAGCTGCTCTGTTGTCCACTTGTAAGCCCGTCACCCGGGCAGGCCCTGCTTCGGCGTCCTCACCCTGCTGTCACCCCTGTCTCTGTGCTCTTTCTCCCACAGATCTGTGAGGCCTGCTCCCCTGCTTCCTGCATGCCTTTGCTTGATTGTTCACAGGGTTTTTCTCTACTTAACACAAAGTAGGGACCCTACCCCAAACATTATCACTTTTTACCCCTTCATCTGGCTTTGTCCTTCTTACCACCACTGATCTACCGCTCAGTCACCTGTTTACTCTCTCTTCCCAAGCACTAAACCACACACCCCATGGTCAGGAAGCTGCTGTCCTGCTTCTAGTATAGTCCTGACTGCTGGCAGGGGCTCCAATAACATCCACGAAATGCACGAGTGGGCAAACTCCCCTTCATTCTGTCACTGTTACCTGTCCCCCGTCTCTCTTCTGAATCTCCCTGTCACTTTCTAGAAGGAACCCTTGTGCCAGCCCCAACTCTGTCTTCCCTTGTTGAATTCCATGCTGACCTCCTAGCCCGCTACCTTGAGCTCCTAAAGTAAAGAGCTAAGGCTTGTCTTGAATCCCAGACACCTAGGAGAAAGCCAGTTATGTCGAAAATAAAAACAAGAGGGTGAGTGGGCAGATGAACAAATGACGTAAAAAAGAAATACACCAATGAAAGTATCCTTTCAGGGCCTCCCCGGTGGCACAGTGGGTTGAGCGCTGCTCTATGAAGCTGTCTGCAGCCTCTGCAGTGCTGGTTCAATTCCCAGCCGGCCAGGGAGCTACCCACATGGCGCAGCAGACCTCTCCTGTCTTGCCCGCTGCTCCCCTCAGCAGGGTATTTCAGTCATCTGCCTGTTCTGGTCCCCACTCTGTCTCTGGTGAATCCTCTCACCCCCCGCACCTCTGGCCTGTACCCCAGTTCTTGTATAAATAAATCTTTAAAAAAAAGAACGTATCCTTTCATTTGAAAGGTGTGGTAGAAAGAGGTCTTTCCTGAGCTCTGCTGAGCAGGGAAAGCTTCTGAATATAACAGACTGTCTGTTGGACACAGTGAGTAATATCTTTTTGTTTAAATTATAACAGCAAAAAGTGCTTTTGTTGAAAAATTGTTTAAACCTATTCAGCCAATATGGTAGCCCTGGAAAGTCCAAAGGGAATTAATCTGGACATTCATTATTGATGAAGTTGTGTAGTTTGGGGGTGTCATCTTGGTAAATTCTCTCTTGAGTGTGTAGCTTATTGCTACTAGGTACCTTGGATATTTGTTGCAGAATTAGGGAGCCCATGTCGGCGCTCATCCTGGGGTGACTCCATTTCATTCCAGGGGCAGACCCCAGCGGCCCCTCCACCACGTGGCAGTGAAGGCATTCCTAACAGCCCAGGGCCTGCTTTCTTACAGAAAACTTGAGCTGGAATGAAGTAGAACGAGCCTTCAAAGTGTTTACTTTTGAGAGCCTGAAACTCTCTGAGGTTGACGAAGAGGGAAAGCTAAAACCATCCAGGATGATGTACGGGACCGACGCGGACACGTTCAACATACCCTGGGACAACCCCGCCAGGTTTGCTAAGCAGATCAGGCAGAAAATTCTCATGAAAATGAATGCCCAAGAGAACAAACTGCAGAAAGGTACATGGCTCAGAGGGGCTGAGAGGTGTCCTGGCGTTGGATGATGGCCCGATTTCCTAACCATCTCACGGATCCTCTTTATTCTGACTAGATGTTAAACCCAAAGACAAGACACTATTTATGCATCCGAAATTGTTAATGCCTGAACAAGAGGATGAGATTAATAAAGAAACTCCAGGTTCTAGACAGGCTGATGCTAACAATGTGAATCCTTTTTCTGACGTGAATAATAAGGAATCCTCAAACCCTCATGATGGAGAACAGTCCGATCAGAAGAGGAGCTTGGACAACCTGCTCCATCCTGAGCCTTTGGGTAAGTGAATGTGCCTGTGTGTGTGCACATGTGTGTGCACTTGTGTGCGTGTGCATAGACACTATTTTAGAATGTAAAAACCAAAAGTGATTCAAGATGCTTTATTTAAATTTAAGTACCTCCATACTTTAATTAAAAAACTATTTAATATCTAAGTTGTTTAACTGAACTTTATTACTGAGTATTGTTATTTAATAAGGTCTTGTTCTTTTTTTTAAGATTTATTTATTTATGCACATAAGAACTGGGGTACAAGCCAGAGGTGTGTGGGGGTGGCGGTGAAAGGATTCACCAGAGCAGAGTGGGGAACGGAAGAGGTAGATCTAATGAAATACACTGCTGAGGGGAGCAGCGGTGAGTCAGGAGACATCTGCTGCGCCATGTGGGTCACCTCCCTGGCCAGGGATCCAACCCATGCTGCAGTGGCTGCTGATAGCTTCAGAGGGCTGAGACTTAACCCCTTGCGCCACCAGGGAGGCCCAACTTCTTGTTATTTAAACCCTTGTTTATCAAAATGTCCTTGTGTATCTTGCTTTTAGTAAATGTAGTACAGTGAATGTAATTAAAACTTGCATCCTTAGTATTTCACGGGGTCATTGTGATTATACACAAATTAAAAAAAAAAAAAAAAACAGCTGAAATAACATAAGGAACTTCCCAGGACAGTGGTTGGTAGAAAGTTCAGTGCTCAGTGATCTCCTTAGTTCCTGTCCTCTCCCCATTATAAACCAGGACATTATTCTCATTCTAGCTACATCCTCACGAATATCGTTCTATCAGGAGATGCAGATGCACAGAAGAATGTTAGGCTAAATTTGTTTTCATTTCCCTTGTTCACAGCTGTTAGATTTATTGCTTAAAATACAACTCCGTTATTTCCTCTTATCACCTTCAATGACTCCCTAATACTTGCAAATTGAGGTCCAACTTCCTTGCCTTTTTAATGTGCTGCTTCTAGTAGCACCAAGTTACTTTTCCAAATCCCTTTCCACTTTTTACCTTTTGTTCACTTATCCTATATTCTACCAAAAAAAAATGACTCTATCTCCTCTATGCAGCCTGCTCTTTTTTAATCTCTGTGCCATTTTCCCACACACCCTCCACCTAGAATTCTTTTTTATTATATTATGAACAGGATTTAGTGGCATCTCCATGAAGTTTTGTTAAATGTGCCAAGCACAGATGTCTCCACTAGCATTCCCATGATTATAATTAATCTACTTTTCTTTATAGCCCCACTTATAGTTTCCTACTACTCATTACAATGATTCATGTGCCCATGTTAAGGCCTCTGTAACATCACAGATTCTTAAAGGTCCTATATATGTTTATCTTAAAATTACTAGCCATGTATGGACTACAGAGCAAGTCTCCACAAAGTTTCATAGGCTCAAACGTCACCGTGTGTCCTCATACCAGAGTGAAATTATGGTGGACATCAATCACAAGAAAGATGAGAAAAATCCCAAATTTTCAAAATCAAGAGATACACTTTTATATAACACCTGGGTCAGGGAAAAAATCTTACAGTGGAAATTAGGAAATTTCAAACTGGATGATAATGAGAATATGGAAAATTAAAACTTGTGGAATGCAGCTAAATTAAGAGATATTCAGAGAGAAGTTAACAACTTGAAATACATTTTTTAAATGCTAAAAGTTAATTAACCAACAAAATAAATCTAAGTAAAATGAAGAAAACAATTAAAATAAGAGAAAATCAATGGCATAAACATACATGCAGTAAAGAAGTTAAAAAGTTTGGTGTTTTGAAAAGGCTTTAAAAATGAGAAATCTTTTATACAAAGTTAACACAAAAAAAGAGAGAAGCCTTAATAATCATCATATAACTATATCAGGGATAAAAATCAGGAGTAAAGAAACAGGAATAGCAATAAATGAGGTGAGAGGGGGTAGCAGAGGGAAGGAAATGACATTTATTTAACATTGCCTGGCAACATTCCAAGCACTATGCTATTTTGTGCATATTACTAATGCTGTGTGTAACATCAAGCCCATGAAGATGATATCTTATCCCAGTTCCAAAAATAGACAACAAAGACACGGAGGTTTGAAGCAACTTATTCAAGCACAGGTGAGTAGGAAGTCAGGAATTCAGCAGCCGTCTGACTCCAGACCAGTGCCTCCCTGCAGGCCTTGCTCAGTTCCAGAATCCCTTGGTGCTGCCACCCAGTGGTTTAGCCATATCTGTACCATTTTCTTCATGCTGATACCTGTGCTGATTGAGTTGACTTTGGATTTTCCTTACTGTGTCTCAGTAGGCTCTATTTCCTGGTTCTCTGTCCTAAATACCCTTAACCATTGGCCCAGCACGCATGTGCGCTCTCTCTCTAACACACACACACACACACACACACACACACACACACCCTAAGTTAACCTGTGATGCATCATTGTCTCCTATGAGAACAAAACCACTCTGAAAGGAAGTCCCTTGGAGTCATATGGAGTCAGAGTAAGCCAGTAAAGATATGACATGATTTTTTTTTTTTCTTTTTTGTTTTGCTGTTGATTTTGCTTTTTCATTAAAAGAGCTGGCGTGTCATTTTCTATGCAAAAGGCAACTTTTGCCACCTGGTGGCCAGACCATAGGAAATGATGTTTGGGTCTTGGTAGAAATGAGATGATCATAACAAGGCCTAAGTCGTCAGAGCTGAAAATGCTCTAATGGCCAGTGTATCCAAGAGACCAAGAGGCCAGCTCTTAAGAGCTGAACCCCGTAAGGGACGCTGCTGTGTGTTGGCCTGGATCTAGAAATCATTATATTTGAGTAGGGGAGGGGTGGGGTGTCTCAGTGCCTCTCTGTGATGGCTGTATTGAAGGGAATTTTTTGTGGTCGATCTTGCATTTCCCCCCAACTCTGAATCGCACTTCTAAAGCAGCCACTTCTCATCTCTTTAAACAAAGAAGAAATCATTCACGTGTTTCCTGCACAACCATCTTCGTATCAGATACGTACAAAAGCCTGGTCCTGGGTATGAAGGCTGAATGTTTGTGCTTTGCTTAACCAGCCCCTGGATTTCCATCTGAGACTGTTTTTGAACTTGACAGGGCCTATTGGATATTTATGAAAAGACTGAGAGTTGATAACCATGAGGCTATAGGTTTAGATGTGCCCTTTATGCTTGTTGGGTGTTTTTTTAATAAAGTAACTGCTTTGCAGAGGGATCTTGTTATCTCTAAAGTAAAACAGATTAGGAAGGCTGTTTTTCAAAGGGATGAGAATGCATTTATTTCCAGATGTGTCAAAAACTACTGAATCACACTGTCAAAGGATTAGGCAGTTGAAGGCAGAAATCAGAAAGAAAGAATGATTTTTACTCTACTATTAACTGAAGAGTTCATATTAGTTTTAGAATGTTCTTTCCTTTGACAAAATAACTGATGCACAGTTTTTGAAAACATGTTTTCTAAACTGGAGACTTTCTGGATCTTTGGACACAGGAGGGAATATCAAATCTCCAGGAAATCTGGCAAACCACAGAATAGAATAATTTTTATTCCACAGACTTCATATCAATTGCTTCAAGGACACATGGGACATCATGGGCTATTTAGTTATAGTTGGCCTGCGTTCTCTCTTGAGTGCATGTATTTCTATAAATACTGAATTGCATTGACTTTATAGTTTTCCTCTAAATCAATGTGGAACATTCCTGCTGTCACCTTCACCAGCCCAAAGCAAGATGGAATTAGTAGCGAAAAATGTAAGTAGCTGTGTTTCTAAAAGGAAGGAAAACATTAACCTATCCTTGGTAGACATAATTAACTATTCCCCCTAGAAGCCCAGGCGTGGTTCTCTTTGCTATAGAATTAAAAGTTCTATCTAGTGCTTACCCAAAAGATGCCTACGTCGTGGGGTTTCTTCCATATTTTTTATTTCTCTCTATCTCTGTATTCATTACCAATTTCAATTTATGTGACTTTGTACACTGATTACCTACTAACATGCTTGGTGTTCAGGGTAGAGTTAGGGAAAATAACATCAAGAACTTATCTTCAGGAATTTACTTTCAAGGTGCAGAGACGGACATAAAGAAAGAAATAGCACAGGCATCCCTTGATTGTCAGGAGTTCATGTTGCACTACTTCACTTTTACAAAGAGACTGTGTCAGTTCCTGTTTTTTGCTAAGCCAAGGGGGAGAGATCAAAGAGGGTTTTGGCCTTCACAACAAAAGGTGCAGCGTGGAAAGAGTTGGCGGCGTTGGTTTTGCCGCAGCCATTCTGCAGAGAGAGCCCAAAGGCCCTTCCCCAGCACTGCTGTGTACAGGCTTGGAGTATCCTGTCAACCCCGCTTTTGCTATCTACTGGCATTAGTTTAGGTTTTATGTATTATTTGGCGTGACTTGGTAGTTTATTTTGGCATCTGGGAATACTCAAAAATTTCCATCTAAAGGAATAGTCGTAGCTTCTTCACTTTGCACCATTTGGCTTAGGAAAGGTTCCTCTTAGTCCCCCTTTCAGATACTGGAGAAGCTTGTGTCAGGCATCGATAAGCCTTATGGTTAAAAATAAATAGGGATGAAAGGTGGCTCTTGAGGACGTGACATGTGAGCAACACACACGTAGGCAGTCTGGTGCTGGGGCCCCAGCCACCCATTCGTTTACCCACTTAAGAAACTTTTGTTACACTCCACGCATACATCTGCATGTGCTTATGATAGGGTTTTAGAGTAATAAAATATTAATATAAATGGAACACAAGTTGTTCAGGGTGATGAAATAGTATCATTTTATGATAAGAAGTGGATTCATCTGGTCATGCTCCTTTCTATCCCCACACTGGTCTGTCACCCACAGAAGCTTGAAAAGAACTAGATAATCACTGGTGTGATAGAAGGAGAGTTTATTTCCAGATTGAAGTGTGCGTGCCGGCTTAAGACAAATGGACTGTCCTAAGCAGTTGACGTCGTCTAATCAGTAAATATTTGCAACGCCTGCAGGTAATGGTCCCTTGTTCAACGTGAGCAATGCCGTCTGAAGGCCGAGCATGTGATATGATTTAGGAATGTAACATGTAGGAAGCGTGGTTCTTTTCAAAGAGTTTAGTGTAACTTCTCTAGGTAGACACAGATTTAGAATTACTGCCACAAATGCCTTTTTGGAGGCATGAAACATGCCTTTCAGGAATTGCCTTTTCAGCACAGAAACATAGATCATATGGGCAACAAAAAGGCACAGCACTGACCAAGGCAAGAACAAAGTCTGAACACAACTGGATTTGGTGTCTTTGATTTACAGAGCGGACCACAAGCAGCGAGATCAAAGATGAAGCAGTCACAAAGGGCTATCCTTTTGAAAAGGTAAGGAATTATTTTCCTAAAAGTGTAGATACAAGTAAGATGATCTGAGGAAACCGTGACCCAGAATGAGAAACAGTTAAAAAAAAAAGAGGAGATGCTTAGCAGGAAAGTGCAGATGCCAGAGAAGAGGGATGATTCAAACATCCCTCGCCCAACTCCTACCAGAGACAAAGGAGTTAATTTCTCTAGCCAGCTTCAGCAAAACCCCCAAGCTCCAAGTTCCTCTCTAGACAGTGTGGCTTGGCAACCTCACAAACACCTGCTGGCCATACAGCCCTGTAGAGCGATGCTGTCTTGAAGTCAGTTCAGAAAACCTGTCTATAATTGCTAACAGGACTCCGAAGAGTATAACCTAACAATAAAAATATTTAGATTATGTTGCCCATTACAAAAAAAAAAAAAAGTCAAAGGCATATACTCTTTCTGGCAGCCCTTCTGCTAAAATGCGGCCATATGGGTTTATACATATGCAGATTTCCCCAATTAGACGGGGCACATGCTGGCGCAGAGACCCCAAGAGGGCTCCATTTGGACTTCAGCAAATCAAAACTGAAACTGTATTCCGATGATTTTTAGAAACCCAGGAAGATGACTGTGGAGGCAGAGTTAGAGGACATAAAGAAAACGCAGCAACGCAGCCTCACGGACTGGAGTTTTACTGAGCATTTTAAACCCAAAGTTCTGCTGCAGGTATTAATGGGCTGTGAGTCTGGGGGAGATAGTTGCGTGGTTCTGGGGGATCATGTGTGATTTAGTACAGTTCACATCGGGGTCATTCTCTCAGCTCGGATTCAGATTAATACTCCCATCGACTTCGGCTGTAACACGATCATTACCAGCTTGCACGGTGCATGCCCCCCAAGTCTCCAAAATAGTTAAACATGCACTTTTCAAAAGTACATTTTAGTAAAATCTTTTTTTTTAAATGTACGTGACTACTCTGCATGATTTCTAGGGAAAAAAAAAAAAGAAACTACTAGGTATTATTGGGAAGCAACTTCACTTTCTCCCATTTTGCCTGTCAGTTCTATTCAGTTTTCACTAAATGGAAAAATATTTCCTGAATCAATCAATAGATCAGTGGAAGCTGCAATAGGTAAGACTGATTGAACACTAGGCAAGGCTTGATATGTGTCACTAGCTCCCTTAGCCCTTGAGATACTCCAGTGAAGAAGAAACTATTTAAATGGTAGGAGATGGGCGCATCTTGACTAACACTGACTTTTGTCCAAAGGCACATGACTGGTCAGTGAGAGAAGCAGTGGGAATCCAGAAAATCTGACCCCGGGACTTGTGCTCTTAGCCACCATGCAAAATAAAAATAGTCGATAACTAACAACTTCTGTTGCTTTTCCATTTGATGCAAAAATCTGGATTGCTTGGTTTTATCTTTTTAATTTCAGTGTTACTTTTAGCAGACTTTTACATCCAAAGTTTTGAATCCAAAGAGTCTTATGGAAAGTGGCAGCTCCCTCCCAGGCCTGCGCCCAGCGTTCCAGGGGTAGAAATCTGCAGTGCACCTACCTGTATCTTTTGTACTAAGCTCCTTTATCTCTGAAGAGCAGGGATGCTTGGTTTAGTTTGAATCTTATTTTTGAGCATCACGATCAGTTGACTCCCTGTGCCTAACACACACACACACACCCCACACACACACAAAACAGCACACAAATATACACACACCACACAAATATGTACACCACACACAAAACACACCACATAAACATACACACACCACACATACAACACACAAAACACATACAATGCACACATACACACAACACACAGAGCAAACACACAACATGCACACTACATAAACATAGACACACCACACATACACACACACACTCATCCCTACACTCTCAACTAGCTTTTCATTCTCTGAAAATATAAACTGTCTTATTTTCAGTTAAATCATTAGATAATATTTGCCTTATGTTAATTATACAGATGTCATTCACGGCAGGACTGGGTGGGATTCTGATTACATTTTCCTTTTTGACACTTTCTTGTTTTCCCCCAGAGTTCCTTTTCCCATTTTTCAAACGTATTTAGTTTACTATGCATTCATCACTGCTCATCCCCAAGCACTCTACCAACAGTAAATCTCCTCGCAATTCACTCAGACCTAGCAGGTACTCCATCACTTTTATGGTCTAAGCAATATCTCCCCATATGCTCGGATGCCTGCCCGCCCTTTGGGGCTGCCGCACAGCTGTGGTCCTGGGGTCTCCCCTCTTCCTGACCGCATCCTTTCCCTCTGCTCGGTTGGATGCTCTGTTTTCTGAATCCCATCCCTTCTTCCTGCTTGCATTTCTCTCTTTTTGTAAGGACCATCTCCCAGTAGCTTCCCGAATTAAGATATATGGCAAGTAGTTTATAGTTTCTGGTTTATAGAACCAGAGACACACTATGGGGGCGGGGAGGGATTAGGGTCAAAATAAGGGGGGGATTGTGTGGGGACTATAACCAAGATGAAAATGCATACATTGTGCAAAAATGAAAAAAGAGGAAAAAAATATATAAAAGGAAAAAATATATATATGGCAGGTAAATATATGAGGCATTGGATGTTTGAAAACATCTTAATTCTATGCTAGCAATAAAATTTTTTTATCGAAGGAATGTGGTTTATAACATTATATATGTTTCAGGTGCACCACATTGCAAATCAAAGTCTGTACCTGGTACACTTTGCTCACCACCCAAAGAGTCATTTCCATTCTTTGCCCTACAGTCAATCCCTTCACCCCCACTTCTTTCTCCTTTCCAGTAACCACTATTTTGTTCTTTTAGTCTAAGAGTTTCTCTTGTCCTATTTGTTCATTAATTTTATTTCTTTATCTTCCACGTAGGAGTGAAATCATGGAGTGTTTACCTTCCTCTGACTTATTTCCATAAGCACAATACTTCCTAGGCCCATACATGTTGCTGCAAATGGCAGGGTTTCATCTTTTTTATGGCTGACTAGTATTCCATTGCATATATGTGTGTGTGTGTGTGTATGTATTTTCTTTAGTCAATCATCTGTTCATGGGAACTTAAGTTGTTGCCAACTCTTGGCCTTTGTGACTAATGCTGCCCTATTAATTGCATTTAACTGACAGCCAGGCTTTCTATAAATGCTGCTAAAAAACATTCGCCTTCAAAGTTTTGAAGGCATTCTTTAATAGTCTTCCAGCTTCCCGTATTGTCCTAGAGAAAATGAAATTCTGATTCTTGATATGTGGCTTGAGTTTTAAGGCCTTCTCTTGGTTCCAGGATTCTGGGTTTTCTGTGGCTGCACCTTTGGTGTGGTTCTGTTGTCAGGTGTTGTACTGCTGAGTCTAGTACAAGCCAGAAACTCCTGTCTATTTATACTCTGGAAATGTTCCACAAACTTTTCCTTGGAAAATTTCTCTCCTCTATTTTCTCTATTTTCTCTTTCTGGAACTCCTATTATTCTGGAGTTGGACTTCCTAGATTGAACTTCAAATTTCCTATCTTTTTCCTCCTGGCTACCCATGCTTTTTCTTTTGGTTCTAGAAATATGACTCAACTTTCATCAAATTTTTCTATTGAGACTTTTATTTCTGTATCATCATTTTAATATCCTCAAATTCTGTTTATAATTTCAAATTACATCTTATAGCCTTCTATTCACATTCCCCAATACTATTTCCTCTCATTTCTGTGAGGATATTAAAGTGCTTTGAAGTCCTATTTTCTTTTCCCTGTGTTGTGTCATTTTCCTCAAGTATTTTGCTGGACTTCATGGTTTTGTGCTTCTCAATTTTTCTTATTAGAGAGTAAGATCCAATGCTGTTGGCCTCTGTGCTCGCATTAATAATGAGGCACTAAATGTGGAATAAGAAATGATGTATGAAGTCAGTGCATGGAAAGGAGTTGTCATTTTTTTCTATTTCAATTTAGACTCAATTGTTGGGTGATTTGACTGCTTGGTTCCTTGGGAGCTCCATTAGTGTTGGTACATTAGGTCTGGACTTTCGGGATATTAGGTTTGCCTATTATATTCTCGGGAGACAGGAGGGAATTTAATCTTAAAGATATAACTTGCCTGTCAGGGTGTGGAAGCTGAGTGAAGACAGGAGGGAGATCAGGCATCATACCTGCCAGTCTCTCGATCTGCACTGTACAATGTGCTCAGATTTAGCTTCTCAGTACTTGAAATGAAGCCAGTCTGCACTGAGGGGCGGTGTATGTATGTTACACACTCTGTGTGGTATAGAGCTTTATGGATGGAAACACACATCTATACACAAATTCCAAGAGTTTAGCAAGAAGCAGGCTGATATATTTCATTAACAAATGTTGTATTGATTATATATCAAAATTACACTTAGTTAAGTAAAAGATATATTAAGATTAAACTCACAGGTTGCTTTTTACTTTCAAATACCTGACGGCTGACTCCATCCACAACATGGTGAAATAGGGAGGTTTCAATGAACCTTGTCCCTACGCACATGCACCTAAGAAAAAGTAAGATTTGCTCCCAAGAAATGTCACAAGTTGACCACCAGTGGTGGGGATAGGCCCCAGGCAGGTCCCAGGCAGGTTTTGCTTGGAGCCAAGCAAGGAGAGCTGATAGGAGTCAGGGCCGGGGCAGCAGTTAGCAGAATGGGGGGGAGACAGGTGGGCTGGAGCTGCAGCAGGTGCGGTGCGCGCTCAATGGGGCGTCAGTGAAGGCTGGCTGTGGATGGATGCGCATGAGCGCAGATGCCAGACTGTTGGTTCAGCTGCGGAGGCTCTGATTGCTAGAATCAGGGGTGCTGGAGCCCCTGTCCCCTGCTGTGAGGGGGGACCAGAGAGACCTCGCACACACCACACACCCTGCACCCGACACCCTGAGTGTCTGGGCCCTCGGCCCCTTCCCGTACCCCACAGGGGAACGTGGCAGAGAGGTGGGACCCTAGAATTTGGGACCCATGAAGCAGAGGACAGAGCTCACTCTGGGAGAGAGGACAGGAGGCCAAGTCAACCTCCGTGCTTGGGATTGCCTCCCTCCAAGACTGAGGCTGAGTCTTGGGACAGCAAGTCTGGCTCCTGAGGTGATTATGCCGAGGGAAATGAGACAGGGGTGAAGGACAGCTTTAGGGTGGTTTCATCCATCTGTAGAATGTGAATAACCGGGAAAGCAAGCTGAAAAATCTCAACAACAAATAAACCTTAGGCTCTGTGAGAAACGTAGTTGTTACGAGAGGGAGGAGGCTGGGGGAGGCCAGGTGATGGGGTGTCTGCTGGGCGGGGTTGGGGGGTGCTTCAGTGGAGGGTGAGTGGTGCATGTGCATACATGAGGGTGTGAGGTTGCAATCCCAAAAGTATATGCTTATGCAAATAATTGGCAAATCAATAAAATTGAGGGAAAAGAAGATAAATGACAGAACGAATGAATGCATGCACTGTTATCCAATTGAAAGTTAAAGGAATAAGCTCTTCCTTAAAAGCCAGAAAATTCTAATCTGTTTTTGTCTTTAATACATTTTCCACTTTCCACCACAGAATTTTAACTCTGTGATACATTTTTATGCTTAAAAGTCTCTTATTGATCCCCCATCACATATCTTTGCAGCAAAATGTGAATCTAAAAGAAAATTTGAACAAATGTCCCCTGTTTTTAGCTATTAAAATTTGTTACTGGATTATTATTGTAATAATTATTATTGCTCAAAACAAATATTTTATACATGTTAAGAAAACAAATGGAAAACATAAAACACCAAATTTCAATGGAAAAAAAAAAACACCATTGACAGTCCTGGATTTTTTCCCCTCCCATGTCTATGTGGGCAAATACTACTTGTTGCTAGATTGAAAGTTCAGTATCACATCTATTTCTCTTTTATATTTTTACAGCTATACACAGTGAAGAAAATTTTAAAACACATAAGAAGATGAGGTTATAAAGAATATTATAATAGTAATATAAATTAATTATTTGAACTATTTCTCAGTTATTTGCCAAAAATCACACAGTGATCTATCAGAAATATTTGTTTATAATCTCTCATCTGGCTATATGATTAAATTTTTCCTTCAAATTTTTGAAAGCGATGGGTTGAAAACCACCTGACTTTCCAAAGGAGTCATGACTCAGTAACTGGAGTCATGCAGTTACTTAATTTTTAGGAACTATACCAAAAGAATTTTTATCTGACTAGCAATTATATCTACTTTTTAACTTAGAGGTAAAGGATTAAACCTTATGTCATTAGAAAGGGTTGGAAAAATAAAGATATTGCTAATTGAATGAATTTTTGCAGCTATGATAGCTTAAAAATAAAGAACTTCTGCTTTCTCTTGTGTTTTACGAATATTACCAACAAAGCCTTCCTGTCTCAGCTATGGGCAATTTAATCCAGTAATACTCTATAATCCTCATTCTACCATGATATCCTAGTCATCAGCCTGCTCATACTCTTGCCCTGCTCCAGTCCATTCTCTACATATCATATAGTCTATCAACTTCATCATCTTGCACATACCTCTGTGAACTCCAGGAGGATCTATAAGAATCTTAACCACATTTTATTTATTTATTTATTTTTAAATTATTTTTTTAAAGATTTATTTTTATTTATTTATACAAACACTGGGCACAGTCAGAAGCGCAGGAGGGTGAGAGAATTCACCAGAGCCAGAGCGGGGAGCAGAGCAGGCAGAAGGACCGAAGTACACTGCTGAGGGGAGCAGCGGGCGGTAGGAGAGGTCTGCGTGCCATGTGGGACCCTCCTCCAGTGGCCGGGGAGCAGCCGGGGGTCGAACCAGCACTGCAGAGGCTGCGGGCAGCTTCGCAACCCAGCGCTCAACTGCTGCGCCACCTGGGAGGCCCCTTAACCACATTTTAGAGGGGAGTATTATCTCTCTTGTTCACTTCTGTTTCTCTAGTACCTACTCAGAGCCAGGTGACTAGTCAATGCCCATTTTTAATGAAATAATTAACTAATTCATTAATGAGACCAATAATACTAATATAGAATAAAAGATAAAAGCCAAGAAATAAATGAAGAAAGATTATAATGAAAACCTATCAAACACTGAATGAGGGCTAATATAGTCTAAGAAGCTCAGTGCAATATATCCTAGTGGCTAAAGTAAATACAAAAACACAAAGATTCTAGGGCTCTCACAGAAGGGAGGACATATTTGCGCCCAAAGGGAGCCCACTGATTCTGTGGGTTGAAGTCTGAGAGGACTTTGCCTTTCAAAAAAGCAAAGCACTGGGTAGTGTCCTCCATACAAAAATGTCTTAAAATGCAAACATCGCATCTGCGCTCCTGCTGTTGACTCCCTAGGAGCAGATGAGAAGTTTCAATTCCACACCATGCGGATACTCAAACAGGGGACTAGATCTGGGAAGTAAATGTATTATTTTGGTTATGCTAGCAGTGTAACATTGAAAGCAAAAGCAAAACAACCTTTTCCTAACATAATATGCAATTCCATACCTTTGGATAATCCAAACAACAGAGACCTGAACGTTACCTACATCCAATTGATGCTGAAAATTCAAACAAAACCCCAAGGTTGTCTGATGTATTTTCCTACGTACAGATTTCCTTGTGCTGGTTGGCAGTGAAAAGGAAATAGGACCATAGGCCGCCTGCTGTGGCACAGTTCTTATACAAGAACTGGGGTACAGGCCAGATGTGCGGGAGGTTGAGAGGATTCACCAGAGACAGAGTGGGGAACAGAACAGGCAGACTGACGAAATACACTGCTGAGGGGAGCAGCGGGTGAGACAGGAGAGGTCTGCTGCGCCATGTGGGATTCTTGCCGGCAGGCCGGGATCAAGCCCGCGCTGCAGAGGCTGCAGACAGCTTCACAGTGTGGCGCTCAACCGCCTGTGCCACCAGGGAGGCCCCCCAAAATGCAATTGTTTTGATTTTCAGGTTCTTCAAGCTGCCAATGAGCAATACAAGTGTGTTGATTCCTATTACCATACCCAAGACAACTCTTTACTGCTGGTCTTTCATAACCCAATGAATATGCACCGCCTGCATTGGGAATACTGGAATACTGCTCTCCACTCCAACGTTGGATTCCGGTAACCAACATAGTTTAGTTAGTTATCATAGTTTGGTCAACTTAGTAGTTACTAGATTTTCTCTCCTTCGCTGAAGCTAGGTGGTTGGATCCTGAGCTCACTGAGCTGAATATCTGCTGTGTGCCCGACACTGGCTGGTTTGGGATAATCCCACTTGATTTGGGGAAAACTTAAAAAGAAAACAACTGAGCAACACCCCCATAGCGGTCATGTCCCAGCAAACAGGCTTTAGGCACCCGTGTCTTGGTTTTTCCCTTCCAGCTTCTTAGTTATTTTTTTGTTATCTTAAAACTTTGCTCTCTTCTCATTAATAATGAAGGTATTTCATTACTTTTTTTACCAGGCTAATGTATATTCAGTCTTTATTATTTTGTGTAGCATTGTTTTAATTCTATGGCTATAAAACACAGAAAGAGAATATGAGATAATTGGGAGGCAGGATGTATGCCTGCCCACAAACACAGGCACTTTGAAGTCAAAAGATGGATTTTTTAAGTTAAAGCACAATAAATATACTAAGCTAAATATCGTGAACTATTAATCTGTGTTTTCCTTTCTCTTGTTTTTCATTGCCAATAATTACACTTTTAATTTCTTTTCTGGTCTTATTCGCTGACCAGGACTTTTATGTCACTTTGAAAGGGCATCCTTGTCTTGCTCCATGTCTTGAATATTCGACTATTAAATATGTGTGTGGGTTTTTTTGGTTGTTGTTTTTACTATAGTACTTACATAGATAATTCCTTATTCAGTTAAAATTTTTATCTTCTGCTACTACTTTGCTATGAGTCCTTAGTTACAAAGTGTTAATAAATGTATCAAATGATGTATTTTTATTTTGTAAAGTGGCATTATGTTATGACATTATATAAATTTCAGATGTGCTCAAATGATATTTTTCCATCATTTTAAATGTTTATATTTTTCTTTTAGTTTTTTAAAGCACTAAATTTCATCTGTAGATAGTCCAGTGTTCAACCAGTCTTGCATTTCTGTGAAAGCCCCAATCTGCCCATCACGTTATTGTTTCTATAATTTGCACAACTGGTTTGCTAGTGTATTGGAATATTTGCATCTGTTTTCATGGGCAAGGTACACTGCAAATTTTCCTTTTTAAATGTTTGTTTCTGGCTTGGGTATTGAGATTATATCAGCTTCAAAAATTAACTAGGGGATGCTCTCCTTTGCATAAATCTAAATATCCATCTGCTCGCTACCAGTTTCTAAGATCTGAGGCAAAAGTGAAGCCAAGTCTTTATCCCTGAGAAGCAGAAGTGACACAGTGTGTGTGTCAATTTATAGAGTCGATGATGGTATATGACCAGCATCCTGGAGTCACCTGCTCCCCATCCACACAACAAACCTGCATCTACCTTGGAGCAACTGCCTTTCAAAAAGAACGGAGGAATCAAGAGGCAGTTCATTATTTAAGACTTCATTTGCATAGTCAGTATCTTAAGTATTTAATGACCTTAACTAATATTAAATCAATTGCAGTCTGTTCTTTGCTTTTTTAAAGGAATTATTTGGAACTTGTCGCAAATTCCATTCAAGATTGGATCGTGAAAGAAGAAGCAATCTATCAGGAATCTAGAATGGCTGAAGAAATCAATAGGACCAAGGCTGAGCAGGAGTTGAAATCCACTGCCAATGTGAAAATCTCTTCTCCTAGTAAAAATGTTTCTTCTAAAAAATCTAAAAGTAGGTTGAGTAGTTGAAATTATATGCAAAGTCCAAAGATTGTCTATTTCCTCATTTAATCATGATTGTGACTGTTTCAGGATTAAAAAGTTGCCCACAAAATTGCTGTGGATCTGCACTTTCTCTATTAAAAAAAAAAACTAGAATAGCTGAATTCCAACTAATGATGAGGTTGTTCCCATGTGAGGTAATGGAATGTTTGTCTTATAGGGTCCCCACTTCCTGCCAGATCTAGGAGATTCAATCTCCTGCACAGAACACATGAGATGTCAGGTCAGTGGCAGAGTCTCTATCTGGCAGGATTAGTAGCTCAGCTACATAAGATTGCTGGTGATATGTGAGGTAAACACAGAGTCAGCATGTCTCCATCAGGACAATCACAGATTTCCGAAGGGAGGTTAAAACAAGATATTCCTTTAAAGAGCAAGCAGGGCCTCCCTGGTGGTGCAAGGGCTTAAGCACTGCACTACGAAGCAATCCGCAGCCTCTGTAGCATGAGTTCGAGCCCCAGCCGGCCAGGGAGCAACCCACATGGTGCAGCAGACCTCTCCTATCTTGCCTGCTGCTCCCCTCAGCAGTGTATTTCAGTCAGTCTGCCTGTTCTTCCCCCCGCTCTGTCTCTGGTGAATCCTCTCACCCTCCTGCATCTCTGGCCTGTACCCCAGCTCTTGTATGCATAAATGAATAAATCTAAAAGAAATTAAAGAGCAAACAGAAGAACCCCGAGTCTAACTGTGGTTAATACCTAAAAATAAAGGGGAAAAGGGGACAATTGAGGGCCAATGGCAGGGATTTGACAGGATGTCAAATACAGAGCTTTGTTGTTACTAATTCCAGGGATTTTGGCGCTGCTGGGCAGAAGGGAGGAGAGAGGTAGCCAAAAAAAGGTAGGCTACTTGATAAAGAAGTAGAACAATGAGATGAGATGATTTACTTGGCTTTGTGCAAAGGGAGTCTATGTTAATATTTATTGTTTCTTTTTTTTTAAGATTTATTTTTATTTTTATACAAGAAGTGGGGTACGGGCCAGAGATGCAGGAGGGTGAGAGAATTCACCAGAGATAGAGTGGGGAGCCGAACAGGCAGACTGACGAAATACACTGCTGAGGGGAGCAGCGGGCAAGACAGGAGAGGTCTGTCGCGCCATGTGGGTATCTCTGCGGTTGGTGGGGCTCGAACCAGCACTGCAGAGGCTGCAGACAGCTTCACAGCGCTGCCCCAACCGCCTCTGCCACCAGGGAGGCCCATATTTATTGATTCTGATAGCCAAGGTGAAAAGTGATTTCCCCTAAAGATGCAAAGCAATATAATGTCTAAGGTTTTTGCACTCCCTGTCAATGAGCAAAGTGATTTGTACCTGGCTTGATTCTAATGTTAAACTCAGAAAACTCAGGCCATGATGAATCATTTGCCAGCTGGGCCCTTCTTCTAAAGGGGGTGCTACTAAGTGCGTGGAGTCGTGGATGCACTGTATGAAAAAGAGGGGTGGGGGCACCGCCTCACAATTCTTGACTATTAATGAGAAAAAATGTGGGTTGACTGCCTTTTCTTTGTTGTGATTCTGAACAGAACGCAAAGTTAATAACTATCTGTAGAAATCTGGAAAATATCAATTGGGGATTGGGATATATCAGGTAAGTGTCGCATTTAGTCTGAGGCCCTTCAAGTTAGGAAAGATGCGTCTTCCAAACAGCACGATCGCAATGGCAAGAGCCGGGCTTACATCTGGAAGGAAACGTTAGATTTGCTCGGTGTAGCTTAAAGGATTACACTAGGATTGCTTAAGTGAAAGCTCTAGTAAGAAAGATTCCAGCTCAATAGACGCTTCCAAGTCTCAGCATAGTTAGAATGGGGCTCACTGCATCTACCAAGAGTAATTTTCTCAGCCCTGAAGGAGCTCAGTTGTGTACTCTGGAGTTGGCCAAGGAGAATGAAAGGCGAGTTGGATTTGATACCTTTGAGATCCCCCTACAACCCAAAACATTTGGTCCTTTCATGCAACTTTGCTGGAGGGCGTTGCTAAGAAATTTTATTTTCTCTAGATGTAGGTGCCAGAGGAGTCTCCAAAGCAGATATACCAGATCAAGAAAAAGACAAAGACAAAGAAAAAGACAAGATTCCTTTCATTTTGGAAGGTTCTCTCAAGGTAACCCCATGACAGACAAGTGACGCTGAGTGCTCACAGATTCGGATTTATTTTATGATGGGGAGTAAATCCTGTTCCTTTTTTTTAAAATGCATTTACAGGCATGGAAAGAAGAACAAGATCAGTTGGCAGAAGAGGAACGCCTAAGAGAAGAAAGAAAAGCAGAAAAGAAGAGTAAGGAAGCTGGAAAAAGGAGAGGCAAGGAAAAAGTCGAAAAAGAAGACAGCAAGTTTTCCAAAAAAAACTTTAGTCTCAGGGACAAAATAAAAGAAGATCAAATAAATGCCTCAGAAGTAGCAGCGGCGCCCCACCAGGAACCAGAGCCCGAGAAAGTGTACCCGGTAAAGTCAATTGTCTGAAAAGCCCCTTTGGGCCATTCCTAAGGGTTTCTGGAAAAACACGGATTCTGGGCAAAGGCTCCCAGTCTTGGCCACACAGCAGGAGGCCCGGGTTTCCTCTGGTGTAGACAGTCTCAGGCGTGTCCCAGTTCTTGTTACCTAGCACCTGTTCAGTCTCAGCCACCATGATAGGAATCGCCTCAAATTTTTCTCGAGTGTCATGAAGCCAGATTACTAAGGGCGGGAAAGGTAGAAATGTGGCACAAAAGCTTCCTCACTTCCAGTTATGCACACGCGCAACTGTGACAACTCAAAGCAGACACAAATTGGCTTTATCTGTCTCCCAGGATAGGGTTTGCCAAGTCCCTTTGGTTGCCTCGCTGTAGGACCCATGGTTTTTGCTTGTGCTCTTCTATGACGAGACTACCCTTCATCGCTGTCTCGCTCAAGTAGATTTATGAGGAAACCTAGGCTGGGAAAAAATGTACCATCCCTGTCTTCTAGTTATGACTCTGTGTCGGTTCTCAAGCTTTGGCTTTATTAGAGTCAAGGGAAGTGCTATTAGTAAAAAATATCTTTCATATGTGGCCTCCCTGGGCCTCCCTGGTGCTGCAGGGGTTAAAGTCTCAGCACTGTCAAACTGTCGCCAGCCACTGCAGCATGAGTTCTATCCCAGGCCAGGGAGCTACCCACATGGCGCGGCAGACCTCTCCCGTCTCCCCGCTGCTCCCCTCAGCAGAGTATTTCAGTAGATCCGTCTGTTCTGTACCCCACTCTGTCTCTGGTGAATGCTCTCACCGCCCCCCACCTCTGGCCTGCACCCCAGCTCTTGTACGGCTAAGTAAATCTTTAAAAAAATAAATTTAAAAAATATGTGGCCTCCCAAAATATAAAGATTCAGTTCTTCTCAATCCATTAGTTCAGTTTTAAAGAGAAAATGAACAGCTGTGAAAGAGAGATTGGTTTGTTTTCCTGCACCCTGAGCATAGCCCTACGATTTGATTAGGACTGAGCTAGGAAGATGCCCCGTGAGTGGGGCTTAAGGGTACCAGACCTCCATTACTTCTGCCTGGTACTGTCACACCACCGGAGAGGCGCGAGGTGCCCTGGTCACTGCTTCTGGCTCTACAAAGCGGCTGAGAAATCATGCAACAGAAATAAATCTCGGGGCCACTTTGACCGACTCCACCGCGGACTTGATTTGTGCCGACTTGCGGTCACCCCAACATGCCATGTTTCCTCTTCCAGTTCCGCGGATACAACATGGGCGACGTGCCCGTCCAGATCGCAGGGGAGAGTTGCTACCTGTATCCTTCGGATGGAGGGAGGATTGAGGTCGAAAAGACAACATTTGAAAAAGGTATACACCGCGGGAGCAGCTGAGGAACGGCTAAGATCTTGCCCCATCTCAGTGGGCCCGGGGCCTGGCCCTCTCCTGTGCCCCTGCGCCCATGTGTGCCACCCTGGGTGCTCCCAGACCTCAGGCCCTGGGACATGCTGGACCCAGCAGAGCCCCGCGCAGAGCTTCCCTGGGGCACGCAAGTGAGGACTTTCCACTTGTGAAAATACTTCTACCCAGTCGGGAAACCGTGGTTATGGGAGCTGTGCTAGGCACAGCATGAGGAATAGTCACTGCCACACGCACCGCCACGTCAGCAGCCAAGGTCATGCTAAGTAAAGCAAGTGCGTGGTGTGGGTTCCGGGGCACACTGTGGGGCGCCCTGCCAATGTCCAGTTCTTTTAGCCTCTGGGCGAGGGCAAGTCTTTCCGTGGGTGGGGCCTGGCAAACGAGCTGCAGAGGGCAAGTCTGGGGAACCACACAAGGCAACGTTAGCTCTGCCCAAGGGAGCACGGGTCTGGGCTCCAGGGAAGCCGCGTGGTGTCCACAGGGCTAAGCTGCTCACTGGGCTTCATCGTCCCCTCGATGGGCGTGAGGACATGGGCTTTTTTGACGGCTGCTTGTCGGGTAGAGAGCAGTGGTCACCGAGGACTGCGAAGAGGTCAATGTGGGGGGATGTGCTTAGGACCCTTTTCAGTGTCTGCGAGATTATGCACCCCAGTGAGGGATAACTGGGCTCCCCCCACATCCCCTCCAGGCCTGTGGCCCGGCCCACACCTCTTCCTCTCCCTACTCATTCTCTGCCTCTGTCCCTCCCTCCTGGCTGCCTGCCCTTACTTGCTCTCTCTGCTCTCCCTTCCAGTCTCTCTCCTCTCTCTCTCTCTCTCTCTCTCTCTCTCTCTCTCTCTCATCATCTAGTGACTATCAGTTTAATGAGGAAAACATGGTAGAACTTAGGAGCTGTTGCCTGTGTGAACCATGGCTGCAGGGGAAGCATTATGACCCAGTAGCTGCCACACCAAAGCAGCCATCACACCAACAGTTTTGAAAAGAAAAAGATCTGCAAGTTACACAGGTTGCTTAAAGAGTGATTGTGAGAGCCTCCCTGGTGGTGCACGGGGCTAAGATGCAAACTATGAAGCTGTCCACATCCACTGCAGCCCGAGTTCGATCCCTGGCCAGTGAGCTGACCCACATGGCGCAGCAGACCTCTCCTGACTCCCAGGTGCTCCCCTCAGCAGTGGATTTCAGTAGATCCCCTGGTCTGCTCCCCACTCTGTCTCTGGTGAATCCTCTCACCCCTCACACGTCTGGCCTCTACCCCAGCTCTTGTATGCATAAATAAATAAGTCTTTAAAAAGAAAAAACACAGCTCCGAATCACATAATTGAGAAAGGCACTAGACTTGAGTTTTATAATACAATGTTCTGTTTTCAATAACTTCCTCTCTGATCAAGATTTGCATATGCATTCATTGTATGTATGTTTCAGATGGTTTCATAATAAATACAGTACTTCTGTGCTAATCCTATCAATTTTGAGAGATGATAGCTCACAGTTGAAAAGAAAAGCCTAGACTTTAAAAATAAATAACTGACAGAGAACAAATCGTAGTTCAACCAGATGTTATTTCTGAGTCTGTATACCTGAGGACTATGTACTGTTATAAACCCATGCTGCTTTAATTAAAAAATAGAAAAGGAAAAAAAAAAAAAAACCAGGAGAGGAGGCAAAAAAAACTGGGTCGGAACGCTAGAAAAGAAAATGTGTTGTTAGGAAATTTTTTTTCATTTTTAATTGAGGTAACATTAAGGATCCCCCCATCAGTTATCACCACCGCCGTGAACCCACCATCAGTCACGCACCATCCACCCCCTAGTCCATTCTGCTTCCTTCCCTCTTACCCTCCCCCCTGGATGCTTCAGTTCTATAGTCAGTATTAGAGGGTTAGTTTTTCAGCTGGTCTAATTCTGACCCTTGATTTTGTATCTCTATACACAACATATTAGTGACACCATCTGGTGTTTATGTTTCTCCTTCTGGCAATTTTTTTTTAAGTTTTATTTATTTGTTTGTTTGTTTGTTTATTTATTTATTTATACAAGCACTGGGTACAGTCAGAAGCGCGGGAGGGTGAGAGAATCCACCAGAGCCAGAGCGGGGAGCAGAACAGGCAGACTGACGAAATACACTGCTGAAGGGAGCACCCGGCGCGGCAGGAGAGGTCTGCGCGCCATGTGGGACCCTCACCGGTGGCTGGGGATAGAACCAGCGCTGCAGAGGCTGCAGGCAGCTTCGCAGCCCAGCGCTCAACCGCTGCACCACCGGGGAGGCCCTCCTTCTGGCGTATTATACTGGCCATAATCCCTTCCAGTGCCATCCATGTTGCCACAAATGGCATGAATTTGTCTCTTTTGATTGCCGAGTAATATTCCATTGTGTATACACCCATCTCTGGGATGCACTGATCTGTTTGGGGGCACTTAGGCTGTTTCCTTAATTTGGCCAGAGTAGACAGTGCTGCAATAAACATGGGGGTGCAAGGCTCCTTTGAAGCTAGTATTTGTGAATTTTTCAAGTCAGTGGCTAGGAGTGGAATTACTGGTCCTTATGTCAGATTCGTTTTCAATCTTTTGAGACACTTCCACACTGCTTTCCATAAGGGCTGGACCAGTCTGCATTCCCGCCAGCAGTGAGGGCAGCTCCTTTTCTCCACATTCTTGCCAGCACTTACTTCTGGGACATTTTTACAGATGTGAGATGGAATCTCATATGGTCTTGACTGGCATTTCCCTGATGATAAGTGAAGATGAAACTTTTTTCTCCTGTGCTTGTTAGCCACCTGCCTTCTTTGGAGAACTGGTTACTTAGTTCTCCTACCCATTCTTTGACTGGGTTACTTGTTTTGTTTTGTCCCCTGTTGAGTTGTGTTGGGAAAATTCTTACATGGTCCTACTAATAATAAAAATGATTATAGCTAACACTCATGTAATTTTTTTAAGATTTATTTTTATTTATGCATACATGAATTGGGGTGGTGAAAGGATTCACCAGAGACAGAGTGGGGAGCAGAACAGGCAGATACACTAAAATACACTGCTGACGGGAGCAGTGGGCGAGGCAGGAGAGGTCTGCTGTGCCATGTGGGTAGCTCACTGGCTGGGATGGAACTCAGACATTGTGGTAATAGCGCTGAGGCTTAATCCCTAGGCCACCAGGAAGGCCCCCACTTATGTAATTCTTTATAAATTGTAAACTCTTCACGTGGATTATCCCATTTGGCTAGTCATAAAGTTAAACACAGGTATACATTAGCCTCACTGAGTTATTTTCTCTGCTGGAATTTGCAGGTATCTCCCTGATCTACTTGCCATTTATTCCTGGGATTCCGCCTGCTTTATTCTTTTATACATGGCTTTATAAAAGTGGTGGGATCCCTCAGTATTTCCATTCCCTGGTTTAATTACTGTGCTGTTTCTCAGCTGTCTTGTCAAAGAGTTCATAGGGCATCACCATCAACCTTTGGTCCACCCCTGATTCTTCCCAGGCCCAACTTTTATCAAAGTGAAAGTGAATAAGGACAAACACAACTTCCTAATTCATTTAAAAGACCCTAAGAAAATTGTGAAAAGGGAAGAAAAGGAAGAGGATTATTCTTCAGAAGAAGAGAGAGAGGAAAAAGATGAGGAACAAACTCCTGAAACAGGTAAGCAGCTGAGTCCTGTGGCCAGCGGGTCTAACCCTCACCCATACGTGACCCCCCCCAAATTCCCCCAGGAAACACTGCGCATCCCTGTCCCTTGGCACGCAGGCCTGACCTGCTGCACAGGCTTCAGCCTCTAAATTGGAACAAGGTGAGTCCTAATCTGAGACTCAATCATTCCTTCATCTCAGGGACTTTTTCTTTTCAGTTATGAAGCCCATGTCTGCTTTCCTCCATTTCTTCATCCCCTTTCCTTCTGTAATGTCTGCTGTCCTCCACGTCTTATATCTTGTTCATAACTTCCTCCCGTTTGAATGTTTACTCTCGGTTTTGACTCCTTTTTTCCCTTATTTTCTAAGAAACTTATTCGAATCTCAAAAGTGATCACCCTCCTGCCCTTCCATCCCACCACTGGGTAATAAATGGTTTGGTGGGGATGCGTGTTTTTGAATTCCTGTGCATGTGATGTTTTAAAACAGCCTCTGTGTGTTTTAAAAAAAAATCTTCCATTTTTTCTGAGCATAGATTTTTTTTTTTTTCCTCTGACGAGTGTTCTTCGCTCTGTTTACTGGAGTCCTTTCAATGGTTTGCTTCAAAGTATTTTCTCAAACTTCTGCACAATTGCCTGTTGCCATTGGCAGTGCATACTTCTGCCCATCTCCCTGCTGTGGTCAACTCTTAGCATTCATTTTGGCTCCAAAATGAATTTACCATTTAAATTTACCATTCTAGAAGTTACGTCAGCATGAGTCAGTATATTTTAAATAAATATTATCCTATCTTGACTATAGGATAATGGAGGAAGTGGTAAACTGGAAATGAAACAACAAAACAAAAAATTCACATTCCTTTATGTATACTTTAAGAAAATATATTAAGGGGCCTCCCTGGTGGCGCAAGGGGTTAAGTCACAGCACCATGAAGCTCTCCACAGCCACTGCATTAAGAGTTCGATCCCCGGCCAGGGAGCTGACCCTCATGGCGCAGCAGACCTCTCCTGTCTCCCCGCTGCTCCCCTCAGCAGTGTGTTTCAGTCAGTCTCCCTGTTCTGCTCCCTGCTCTGTCTCTGGTGAATCCTCTCACCACCCCCCACACCTCTGGCCTGCACCCCAGTTCTTGTATGCGTAAATAAATAAATCTTAAAAAAAGAATGTATATTAAACATTTTTCTTTGAAATTATGTTTCACTGAGGCAATTTTAAAATGTGTTTTAAAATTGAAGGAATTTTAAATTTTATTACAATGTTGTAAACCCACATTATCTCAGTAAAAACACGATTCAAAAAAATGTAAACCATTTTAAATGTGAGGAGGAGATTTAAGCATGTATTTTAAAATGTGGGAAAATTTAACCTGATTGGGTGTTTTTAATTTTAAAACTCCTGCAGATATTCTACCAAATGAATAACGACATATGGCTATGTCATCAGCCAGCTTACTTCCCCTTCATTTCAACATAAAGCCCTTCAGACAAGAGTCTCACATCCTCATCGTTGTAATGCTGCTCGCCTCCAGCAGCCTGAGTAGAGGCTAGTCACTCGCTAAATCAGTTGCTTTTAAGTTGATTGTGACCCACGAGCTCAAAGCTCCATTCATAGCCTTTGCATTGAGTTTTGCTAAGATTTTAATAAAATGGAGATGCCCTTGATTCCATTTCATGTTTTAGAACAATCAGATGCAAAGAATAAAGCTGTCAGCAAGTTTGGATCTTTCTCTGCCACCTTAGAAAATGGAATCTGCCTCGCTATCAGTTACTATGGGTCAAGTGGACTGGCGCCAGGTAAGAGAGACACCACAGGAAGGGTGAGTGTCTCATGACCAAGGTTTCCGCCCATCCTTAGCCTCTTCACTGATTGATAAACATTTTCTGATCTAATCCCCCTCATTTCCTGAACTGTGTGGATAAATGTGTGCACCTATGTATGCATACATGTGCATGTTTGTGCACGTATAACCTTCCATCCATAGAGAATAGCAGAGCTTTGACATCTTAAATAGCACTTTTATGTATATATTACCTATTACTACATATACTTAGAAAGTCGTCTATATACACATGTGTATGTATACTAATTTTCTGTTAATTAGCTCATGAAAATAAGCCATCTTGTACGTTTGAGAAATAAATTTTGTTTCACAAACCTATTACACGGGAGTTCTTAATTTACATGTCTTATCCATTTCCTGTTCATAGAGGATAAAGATCCTTATTTGGAAACAATGTTGAATATCCCATCAGTCCATATTCCAACGGTGATTCCTGTGGTAGTGACTGTTCCTCAAGGCAAGGGAAAAGTGAAAGGAAAAGGTAAAGAAAAACCCAAGGAATCTATTAAAGAAGAAGAACAGCCAACAGAAGAAGAGAAAAAGGTAAGTGGACCATGGACCTCTTCTCTCTTCCCCCTCTACTCCCCCCTCCCTTGTTTTCTGCCCTTCTCTTACCCTCCCCCATCCAGAGTTTGGATCACCGAACTCCATTTCCACCTCAAGTTAACTTTTTAAATACAGTAGGTGTGTCAGTGGTGCTGTTTCCATCTTGAATAGATAAGAAGAAATTTGCACACAGGAGTTGAGTCCCCAGGCCAGACACATACTGTCAGTGTAAATTGTCTCAAGTTATTCTAAGCTCAGAATGACCAATTTAGCCTCTTTTCCACCTTTGTTCTTGGATGGTCTTGCTTTGACTTGGTCAGATTCCTACCATTCCTTATTGTAAATAGCTTTATTTACCTTCGTTGGGATAAGATATGCTTGGAAGAGGAGCGTCTGTAACTAACTAGTAGAAACACTTCCATTTGATAGAACTGGACTTAGATATTGAAGTGCTAAGAATTCAATGAGACTAAGGGACAAGGCACTTCTGATCAGAGTGAGCTACCCTCTATCTCCCGCCCTTCACCACATGCAAACACACACAGACCTACAGAGACACCCACACATAGGCTTCCCCGGGCCTCCCCCCACTGAGTCTAAGCATTTTCTCAATAGAAGAATAGAGATCAAAAAAGAGATTCTAAAGGAGGGAGAAAGAAGCTTCTGATCGAATCTTCACATTTGGTACTTACAAGATGGTTACACAGTTTGTTCAATGTCCCAGTACTCGGCTGTTGGAAGTTATGGGGCTGAGTATATCATAGCCCCTGCACAGGGTTCACATAGCTGTCCCGGGTGAGCTTTCCTCTCCCCGGCCACTTGGGCCTTGTTAAGTAAAAGTATTTCAGTGTTGAGTGCTGATGAGTCATTGAAAATCAGGTCCGCTGGGGCCTCCCCGGTGGCGCAGCGGTTGAGCGCTGGGTTGCGAGGCTGCCCGCGGCCTCTGTGGCGCCGGTTCGATCCCCGGCTGCTCCCCGGCCACCAGAGGAGGGTCCCACATGGCGCGCAGACCTCTCCTGCCACCCGCTGCTCCCCTCAGCAGTGTACTTCGGTCCTTCTGCCTGCTCTGCTCCCCGCTCTGGCTCTGGTGAATTCTCTCACCCTCCCGCGCTTCTGACTGTACCCAGTGCATGTATACAAACAAACAAATAAATAAATAAAACATGCCTCTATTAAAAAAAAAAAAAGAAAATCAGGTCAGCTGAAGGCATCATGGAAGCAAACCCATCGGTTCACCCAACAATTTATTTTAACTGATGTTATGGAAAAGTGGGGAATGGTTTTGTGTATAATGATGGGTTTTTCCTGGCAGGTTTATGTCTCTGAGCATTATTGTTCATTTTACAGAATTTCATAAGCTTTTCCTTTTAAATTTGCTCTATGTTTTTAATTGACTTTCAGCTAGTTTTTCATACATTATATGTTAGTAATAAAAGAAAGGCAGAACAACCTGAATGAGCAGTTGAAGTCAAGTAAGAATAAACTAAAGATCCAGCAATGAGAGATCAGTTGGAATGATTTTAGTGACTAACTGGAGGTAACCAGTTGGAAAAACTGAAATGATTTTCCTTAGGACATGGTTGGAAGTAACTGAGTAACTGTTATTCTGGAGCTCACCCAACCAAGCAAGATATTCAGGCATAGTTGGCACATAATTATCTAGGATGTTGTAGGGTAAAGAAAATATCAGGCTTTTCTGCCCTTCCGCCATCAGGATAGATGATGGATCCTTGTCCTGAATGCATGCCTGATGGCGGGCACCTGGAATAGGGTGTGGGCATAGGTAGATGGGATTCAGCTGAGCTAAGACTGTGCTTTTAAGGGCGGCGTCACGGGGACGCCAGCAGCACCAGCAGCAGCAGCAGCAGTAGCAGTAGAAGCCAAAGCAGCAGCAGTAGAAGCCGAAGCCGAAAGAGAAAACGAGAAGCAGCAGAACAAACGCCAGAGAGCCCAGATAAAGTAAAGACTTGCTGGGGGCTGGGAGGCCTGCCAGCCTCCCAGCCCCCCAGCCAGCACCCCTGCCTGCCATATGCCTGGTGAACCCCAATAAAAAACCTGCAAAACCACTGAGGACTCTGACTCCTCCTTTACCCGGTCTGCATGGGATCAGAAAACCTGCACTGTGGCCAGTCCTGGCCTTTACAGATGTCTTATCCCGTTCTCTTAAGTAGTCACAACCAAACCCCCATTAATTTACAAATGTTTTTATTGCCTCTTATTATTGCCTCTTATTCTGTAACAAAAGCAGAACATGCTGGTTACAGAAAAATAAGTACACATGTCCTAATAGCATTAAGTATCTAATAGCAAATTAGAAATTACGCAGAGGTAGTGGGGGTGTTTGTCTGTCCTTACACATGCCCACAGAAGCATCTTTCAAGGTAAGGTGAGCCAAAGCCCCAGATCCTCCATGATTCTTTCCCAAATAAGACATGCCAACTATTGGCACTATTGTTTGACTGATTTACCTGCCCGTGTGTCCATTGTACAGGCAGGATATAAATTTCACAAAGACAGAGACTCCTGCACCCTTGTGGGCCCCCCTTCCTGGCCCACCAGTTACGGGAAAATCACATACTAAGCATTGTGTGTGGTCAAAATAAATCATCAGTTATTTAGGGAATGACAAGTAATTATTCACGTGTGAACTATTCACAGGAAGAAGTGGAACCAGAACCTGTTACAGAAGACACCACTTACGTCCCCACCTTCCAAAACTTAAATGTGTCTTGCCCAAATGGGCTCCTTGTGACTTTCATTGGGCAAGGGTCTTCAGGTGAGTGCTAGCCTGGGGGTCAGGGAGGCAGGGGCACAGAGTCTGACAGGAAACAGTTAATTCACCATGGAAATTGTGTTTTTCCCCTACCAGTTAAACATGCTTGTTGTGGATAATGAGCAGGAGACTAATAGTAATGATACAATCGTTTTGGGTACTTAACGGTGGGCCAAGAATTATCAGAATACTGAATATACATTATAAAATACAAATACTTCATAAGTTAATCACTCGATTTTACAAAATAAAGTGAAGCTTCAGAAGTTTCAGTAACTTGCTCAGGGTGATTCAATGCCTAAGTTGACTTGATTTTTTTTTAGCCAAAATGGAATGCCATTTTTGCTCCAGTGATGGCAGAGTCAGTGCCCTTAACATGTACTGTGAGGCCCCATCATCCCGACTCTGGAAGGATCAATCATATGGGACTTTGCTGGTTTGATCAGAGCAAAAGACAGTGGACCCCAAAGTAGGCAGCAGTAAGCGCAGGTGAAACAGTTGAAGAAAACCAGCCTCTTCCCAGGGATCAGTGCATCACTTTTATAGAGTCTGCATTTCTGTTGACACTGCACGTGGTGGCCCTTAGCCTAGTAAGATGAAGAAATAAGTACAGGTAGGATTTCTCCTGTTAACCTAATGAGACACCCACTTTGGTGATTGAAATCCAGTATCACGTAAATAGAGGCCTGTTATTACAGTAGAAGTGGGAGGCGCCACAGAGCAACCCCTGAACTGGGACTTGAGTTCTAACTAACCAGATGGCCCTTTCAGTTGCTTACTGTCTCTGCTTTTTCATCTGACAAATGTTACGTCAGTGGATTCTACTTTATTTCACAATGAAATATCCTATTCTCTTATGTACACCATATCTGAAAAGTGTATCTCTCAAAGAAAAAGTGTATCTACTGCAAGATAATTCAGTGTTGTATTTACTTGCAGCCAAAAGAAAAGAAACTAAACACTGTAGTTAATCTATTTTGTCACATTTTTGCTTTTCATTAGGTTTTCTGAATTATTGAAAATAGACCATGGGCCTTGGTTCTGTTTCCAAGGTGAAGGTTTTCCGTAATGGCACCCATGTGTGCTACCGAGACTTCAGGACACTGAGGGTCTCCCAAAGTCAGAGAGGCTATGAGTGCAAAGAGAAGTGCCCTGGGTGTACTGCTGAGAACATGACCTGCTTTAAGTTCAAGGACATATTGGGATGTTTGCCTGTTTGTTTGATCCTGTTTTCAGACCCCAGCTTAATACCCATTCAGCTATCTTTTCCAGTCAGATATTCTCATCTTTCTGTCAGGGTAGACAATATGGTTTTTAACTCTTCCTAGAACACATAATCATTCTTAAACCTTCCACATGTTATGACTATCCTAATTTACAACACAAATAGGAAAATGACAATATCTTCATCAAGGTCAGCAAGGACATGGCAGAGAAGGCCACGTGGTATAAGAAAGAACCTGGGTGAGTTGTTTCCTGGGTGAACTTGTGCACATCAGAGCCCACCTCTACCTGAACTCCTCCTTGTATAAAAGAGCAGCTAAAAATAACTTATACTTATTTATTCCTCTAGGATATGCCACATATATAAAGTATTAATTGGAAAAATATGTTCAAATCTGGAACATATTCCAGTGTTAAATTTTTGCTATGTTTTTAACTATGGTCGCAGTGGTGGTTTTTGCAACATAGCACAGAGACCTGGTTCAAATCTCAGCCCTGCCACTTACTGGCTCGGTGACCTTGGCGATGTTATAATCCCCCCCAAGCTCCCATTTCTTCATCTGAAAATTCTGGAAGGTAAAAGTGTCTAATATGAACAGTTGTTGGGGTAGACTGATAAAATACATCAACAAAGCAGTTAGCCTATAAAAATAGATCCAAAAGTGCTTATCTTTGTCACTATTACTGCTTCTATGATTTGAGAAGCTAATCATGAAAGGCCCTCGTTCCAAAATACTTTCCTATCAGTGCGTGGGGCCAGCCCAGATGGAAAACAGTCTGGAGGTTTCTCAAAATATTAAAAATGGGGCCTCCCCGGTGGCGCAATGGTTGAGCGCTGGGTTGCGAAGCTGCCCTCAGCCTCTGCAGCGCTGGTTCGATCCCCGGCTCCCCGGATGAGGGTCCCTCATGGCGCGCAGACCTCTCCTGCCGCCCGCTGCTCCCCTCAGCAGTGTACTTCGGTCCTTCTGCCTGCTCTGCTCCCCGCTCTGGTGAATTCTCTCCCTCTCCCACGCTTCTGACTGTACCCAGTGCTTGTATAAATAAATAAATAAAATAAATAAATAAATATTTTTTAAAAAAAATTTAAAATGGATCTACCATATGACCCAGCAGTTCCATCCCCAGATATCTACCTAAAGAATACAAAGACGGGAACTATGTTCTCCTTTGTTCCATTGTAGTATATTTATGTAGCCAAGCTATGGCTATATTAATGCCCAAAACTGGCCTAAAACTTTGCCTAACTGCCCAAAAACTGATGCGTAGATGAGGAGGAGGACAGGGTGTGCCTATGCGATGCACTATTACTCAGCTCTTAAAAAGGTAAACTCTAGCCATTTGTGACTAAGTAGATGGAGCTGGATGGACTCATGCTGAGTAGAATGGGTCAGAGAAGGCAAGTGGTGCTGGGTGGTGTCATTTACATGTGGACGAGAGAGAAACAAAGGGCCAGATAAAGTCAGACTAACAATAATGCCGAGAAATCTGACTGTGGAGCTGAGGTCACCAGCAGGGATGAGCAGACGGGGTGGTGAAAACAGGGTGGGGGGGATGCACATTAAACCATGGTGGTGGGGCTGGAGGTACTGGGGTGGGTGTGTGTGGTGATAACACCTGTAAGGGGAACTCCTGTACCTTCAAACCACAAACGGTGTTGTAAACCAGTGTTGCCTCACAGACAGACAGACAGACAGAATGATAAATTTTAACTGATACATGAAGGAAAAAAGTATTTTCCCACCAGCCTTATAGAGCCCTTGAAATGCCATCACTCTATGCCAATAATCTACTTTATAAATTGAGAAGAGGAAATTATCCAGTTAGCAAAAACTGAGTTACTACCATGGAACAGAAATTGCACTAGTAGTGTTTTCTTTTTTCTTTTTTTTTTTTTTTAATTTTTAAATGTTTATTTTTAGCCCTTTATTTTATTTTTTAATATTTTATTTTATATAATTCTTACATCATTTTTCATTTTTGCACAATGTATGCATTTTCATTTCTTTTGAAGGAAATTTCTAGGTGATTTCTTCCTTGATAGCTCCCTAAAAGTGGAATCCTGAGAGAAATCTGAATTTGGTTAGAGGTGAGGGCATCGTGTTCGTGTTGAAAGATGAGGAATAACAGAAGAAGGGCAAGGGAGGGAATTCCCTGTGTGAAGGAATTCCCCTGTGGCTCCAGGCAACCAGCTATGGGACACCAGGGGGAAAGCGTGTCCAGGGGTGAGACTCTACTCCCAGGAGAGAGAAAAGTATCAAAGCGGGGGGTGGGGGTGGATAAAGGGAGCACCTCAGGCATCCTGAGAGGTTGACTTACACCCGGAGGGGGTATCTGTGCGTTCTTGTAGATGACTTTGTTTACTGCATTAAAACTGTAGGCAGCAAAAACCAGCACTTGGAACCATGTCGTGACTTGGAATCGGCCTGGTTATCCAGATGCAGGCAAAAGAATGAAAGTAATTAAGGGAGAAGGTAACACCCCCGCCAAACAGCATGCCCAATTCGTAGGAAACCTTTTTTATTTTTAAGATCAGGAAGTGGTGGATGAGAAACCCACTTGGAACATCATGGTGCGACAGAGCTACCCCCAGAAGGTGAAACACTATGAGTCCTACAAGATGGTGATGCCGCCCGTGGAGCAGGAGGCGTCCAGGGTCATCACCAGCCAAGGCACTGTGGTCAAATACATGTTGGACGGATCCACACAGGTAACAGAACATGTCAGAGAAGCTGCACTTTCCTGCTGCAGAGTAAAATAACAAACAAGCTATGGGAGGGAAACAGAATTGTGGTACTGGGGTGGGGAAGAGGGGCAACCCATGTGAAAACGGGGTGAGTGACACGGGAAGTGACAAATGCATAGTGAGGGGAAACATCACTGTCTGTGTCACCCAGGACACAAGTAGCTTATTCTACACATGATGCAAGAATGTGGACTGAACATGGTTCATCTCCTCTTCTGAGGCAAATGGGTCGTCCGTGGATCAGAAGATTGGGAACATTCTAGAAAATGCAACTTAGGTGGGTCTTATTGATGGAGAACAAGAGCAAAGTTTCAAACATGGAGAAGGAAAAAAATCCTTGTCTGTACTATGTACAGGCATCGTGCATAGTAGGTAGATAATTAAAAATCAGAATGAGAATTCCAATACAGATGTTTCATGGACGGAGTCTGGGGCTCCATCCAGACCCATGTGCCCTGCCCTGCTTCTCCCTGACCACAGGGAGGGAAACCCCACAACCAGACGCTCTGCCACCACCAAGTGAAAGGGATCTCAGTGAGGAATTTGACCAGGAACCCAGGAATTAGTAAGCTTGGAGACTGCCAGCCCCATGAAAGAAAAGTACAAGATTCAACAAATTAAAGAAATAGGACCAAGAACAAGAGAAAAAGTTGCTACAGAAAGTCATCAGGACTTCTTATATATTAGAATAACAATTGAAAAAGGGAAGGGGGAATTCATGAGGGAGAGAAGAGTTAAGAGATGTGGGAAAGGGATCTATGGAATAAGGTTTCCAGAAGAAGAGAATAGTGAGAAGGAAGTGGGGGAAATGAAAGAAATAATAAAGGAAATTTTGCCAGAGCTTAAAAAAATACTTGAGATGAAAGCAGGGTACCAAATACCAAAACAGGTTTGATACTAATTATTTTTTTTTTAAGATCACTAAGATGTGTGGTAGTCCAATTTTAAGACTGCAGAGATAGACAATTCTAGAAGCTTCCTGAAGGTCACCAGAATAAGAACGAGATGAGCTCTGGGCTTCTCCTCAGCAGACCGACGGCAGCTCTTGTGCTCACCGGGCAGGTTGAAGTGGTTGATACCAGATAGATGTGCCTGTAGGAGCTGGAGACACTGTACATAGTGGGTAGATACTGATTGAAACAGAGACTTGGAGATAAAGCTTTACGTGTAGTTGTGACACTGAAGAAGCGTGGATAGTTGCCCAATTGCATATGGGAAGGGTGAACAATGGGACAAGAGTAAGCCCCGAGTCAATTCAATCCGAGGCATGAAATGGAAACAAATAGAAGCCAATGGAAAACCTGAGCTAGCATTGTCCTGCCGGTCAGTAAGCTGTTGTCCCCATCTCGAAACCCACGGATGTGGAGTCGTGCAGCGGTGCGTCTGGAGGTCTGTGAGCAGCATTTCTCTGCGTTCCTCCGGGCCTGTTCCAGGCTGGCACATTGAAAACGTGAAACGTGAACCAGCCTTCTTTGCTTCTGACGGCGCCCCATGTTTGCTTTCCCTCAGATCCTTTTTGCAGATGGGGCAGTGAGCAGTAGCCCAGATTCAGGACCCGTTTTACCCCCCACTGAGATGCCAGCGAGTCCTCACAGCGGGGACTTGATGGACACGGCCTCCCAGCAAAAGTCAGAAACGGCGCCGTCTGAGACGGTCATCACGAAGAAAGGTAAAGGTTGGAGCCACTCAGTTTATGGCATGAACCGTTCCATAAAGGTTCCATGGGGTAACCTTCACTCACTTTAATCTCCTTTATTTATCTATATCCACCTACGTGTATATATACACAGATGAATTGTGACTGGAATCGGTTCCACGAACAGCTTTCCCCTTCGACACAGCTCCTGTCCCTTCCCTATGGCGCTGCCTCCTCTCGCACAGCAATAGCTCCAGCGCTTGGCTGCTGTCTTCACAGCTAGAGTTGAGGGTCCCGCATAGGCCCCTCTGCGGTTCTCTGACATTTTGCCCAGAGTCGCAAGGCCACATCCACTCCAGGCGTGAGGTCCTCAGACAGAACCTGAGGTCCTCACACAGTAGCTTCTAGAACAGAAGGGACATAGGTCCACACAGAAGCTTCCAAGTATCTTTAACAAGAGGAAACTATTTCCAGATTTGGCAGGCCCCCCTCCCCTTGTTGACTAGACCTGATCGGGCACCGAGTCTGGGAAAACAGGCATCTGATGGTTTTGACTTTCTCAGGAGGTGAGCGCTCAGGCCTGCTGGTAAGAGAGCGTGAAGGGGGCAGCAGCTGGTGATCGTGTCTGCCACAATCAAACTGCAGACTTGCTCTCCTGTGATGTTCCGGTTTACACCCCGGACCACTGTGCAAATGTCTGCTTTCTCATACCCTTGCCAGCCCTGGGTATTTCCATTATTTTCAGCTTATTCAACTGGATAGAAAATTAATGAACCTTATTGTTATATTAATTTGCATTGTTTGATCACTGGCGAGATTCAATGGTTAAAGATGTTTAGTGTTTTTTTTTTTTTTTTTTCCTTTTCGTGAACTATCCATTCACATTTTTTCTTGTCTTACTCTTAGGGGTTCTTTATTTCTGTATTAATTTGTGAGAGATATTTATGTAGAAGAGATACATGTCGGTGCACCAGGCACAGTTCTGAGTAGTAAAGAAATTAACTCAGCTAGTTCTGACAACCTTGTGAGCTATAGTTTCATGACCCCATTTACAGAGATGTCGCGTAACTTCGTAAGGTGGTGGAGCCAGGACTTGAATTCCAGTCTGTCCCAACATTAAAATGAGTCTCACTTCTCATCAGCCTTTAGTGAGATGAGATCAAGATTTAATCATTTTTGTCAATTTCACACGTCTAATCACAGGACCCAGTAACTTTGTACAGACGCAAGTTGAATTCCTTTTTGGTTGCTCAAAATTTCGTGAAATAGATTTTCCTTCATTAGCAGCAAAAGCTTCCTGGTTACAAAAGTGCACGAAGTATCCGCAGAGCTTTCCCTGCTGGCCAGCTCGAGGGCTCCCTCTTTTGCTGATAGGAGAGGAGAGAGGACGGAGGCCTGGCCGCTTCACTTGGCTCAGAGCTCTCCCGACTTCAGCCCTGCCAGATTTCTTCACAATGGTGCATTCGCTTAAAAAAAAAGAGAGAGAGAGAGAAAGAGAGAATTTCTTCTTAGAGTAATTTAGGTTGGGGGAGGGGGTGGCAGGAAACAAACTGTAAATACGCAGTTTTCCCATTTTCTACTTTCTCTCTTCCCAGTTTGCAGTTTTCCCTGTTTCTAACAACTTGAAAGGGTGAAACTTTGGTTGTCATTGATGAATCGATACTGATGCATTATCATTCACTCAAGCTCATAGTTTACATTCGAATTCACTCTTTGTGTTGTGCAGTTCTATGAGTTTTGACAAATGCATAATGTCATGCATCTACCATTAGAGTGTCCTACAGAATCTGACCACCCTAGAAACCCCCTGTGCTCTACTTATCCATCATCTCCACTCTCTGACCCTGGACCACCCCCATCCAAAATGACTGGACATCCCTGACCCTTTTGTTGACTTGTAGTCCCCCCTTGTCCATATTGATATATAGTTGTTGTATTTCGTGTAGTTGTTATCATGCTGTTTGCAGACCTTTTAGACTGACCTTTCATCTTGTAACATACATTTAAGTTTCCTCCATGACTTTTCATGACTTTTCATGATGCTCATTTCTTTTTCTCTCAGGATTCTATTCCATTGTATGGCTGTGCTCCAGTTAGTTTATTCAGTCACCTAGTTAGGAGTATGTTGGTTGCTTCCGGCTTTTGGCAATTGTAAATATAGCCATGGGATTTTTGTATGGACATAAGTTTCAACTCATTTAGATGCCCAGGAGCGAGATTCCCTGGCATGGACATGTTCAGCTTTATAAGAATTTGCCAGATTATCTTCCAAAGTGGCCATCCCATTTTGCATCACCACCTGCAATGGACGTTGACCAACTTTTCCTTCACTTACTGGCCATTTGCATATCTTCTCTAGACCAATGTGTGTTTAAATCCTTTCCCCAATGTTTGCTTGCTTGTTGTCCATTTGTTGTGTCAGTGTAGTTGTATATTTTGGATACAACTTCTTGATCAGCTAAATGATTTGTGACTTTTTTCTCCCACTCTGTGGATTATCTTCCCACTTTCTTGGTAATGTCTCTTTTGATGGTGTCGATTTTGATAAAGTCAAGTTTATTCTGTCCTTAGTTGCTTCTGCTTTTGGTGTCATTTCTAAGAAACCATTTCACATTCCACAGTCACAAAGATGACTCAAAGCTTGCCAAGCCCTATTCTGTATTCTGACAGATTTTTTTAATCTGTATGAGTTTATTCAGTAGACGTATGTTTAAATTTCCTAAAAGCATAAAATATTTGAATCGGTGTTGTGCTCCTTATACTTTGTTAAATAATAAGTATCTTTGTATAGTTCTGTCAGATTTTCCTTTCTATATATTTTAAGGCTATGAATGTAGATACTCACAAATTTATAGTTGTTATGTCTTTGTGGTGAATTTAACTTTTTATGGGAATGCAGTGGCTTATTATTCTAAGATTCTTTTTTGTTCTAATCTCTATTTTGCTTATATTATTGTACCTTCACCAGGTATTTTAATACTTTCCAAATATAACTTTTTCCACACTTTCTGTGGTTTATGTTTAAATGTGTCTCTTGGAATCAGTCTCTAGGGGTATTTTAAAATTTCCATTTGGCAAGTTTTTTTCTTTTCCCTGGAGGTTTTTGTCTATTGTATAACAGACCTTTTGTGATAATATCTTTAGGTTGTCCTCATTCTTGAAAGATGATTCACAGATTATAGAATTCTAGGCTGACAGTTATTTTCTTTCTGCACCTTGACAAAAATGCCATTCTTATTGTGTTGCTTTGAAGATAATTTAACTATGCTTAAAATATTTTTTTGTAATTTTAATATGATTTAACTGGGTGTGAATTTCTTTCTATTTATCCAGATGTAATGGACTGAGATTTTTAGATCTGTAGGTTTTAAATCTGTAATAGCTTTCATTTATCTGCAAACTTCTCAATAATTTTCTCATCAAATGTTATTTCTGGTCCATTTCTTTTCTTTTCCTTGTCCTTTCCTGCTTTCTAGAATTCCAACCAAACTCACATTGGAGGTCTTTTACCTCTCTTTCATTACTTCTAACACTTTGACTCTTGAGCTTCATTGTAAGTAATATCGACAGCCCTGTCTCTTGGTTGTCTTTTAACCCACTGGACACATAAATAGATCCAAATTCAATCTTATGATAGTGGAAAGATTTAGCTTGATGTGTCTTCTCCCTTGATTGCCTGCATTAATTGAGTCTGCATCTGAGGCCGTGACTCACGACTGGGTTGCACATTTTGTGATCTCTGCTGTCTTGGCTCACAATTTGTTTCTGGATCTGAGTTTAACCTCATCGTTGAGACTTGATAAGATGGACACATGGCCATGGAATTATTCCTTGTTATTCATATACATGAAGTGAACCTATCCTGAGAGACTGAGATCTTAATCACAGTTCTATCTTCCTGTTCCAAATGGAGGGTGGTGGGGAGATATGGCAGAGTATGCAGCAGGTGGTGGTCACTGCAGAGATCAAACTGTGTACACCCTGCACCCCAGCGAGAGGTCCAGATGCCTGGCTCTCCAGATCCAGGACTGAGGAAAGATGCTTCCTCTCCCCGATCGACAAAGTGACAAAATCAGGGAAATGATGAGTTAAACATCTAGATTCGGGAAGGAGTATGAAAATTTGACTAACGTGGAGAAACAAAAGTAAGCTTTAAACACCAGGGTGCAGAACCAAAGCCTGGAATAAGGGAAGATACAATTTGTGGGAGGAGGTGGGATCCAGCCAAAGTTCAACTGCCGAGAACACGATAGCCATACCTTGATGTTTTTCTCTCTTGAGAAATTATGTAATAACTGAATGCCACTTAGAATGTCCGTGCCACCATGTCCAAGTTAGCTTACACAGTCTCAGAACTTAATGGATTATTTATATGCTTGGTATTATAATTATATTCTTGGTTTCATTTTGCTTGACCTCCCCAGGAAGAAGCCACAAAAATCAATCATTAATGGCACATAAGAGTGATATCCAGGAACCGCCACCAGAAATATCTCAAAATATAACTCCCGTGGAAGCTCACGTAGGCACCTGGTTTACAACCACACCTGTCGGAGATCGGATTGGCACCAGAGGATTAGAAAGGATAGCAGATTTGACTCCGTTTTTATCCTTCCAGTCCACAGATCCTGTCCATGGAACGGTATGGCGAGCTACTGCATATTGCAACATTTTCTAAATGATTCAAGTTCTGAAACAACGCATAGTGGGTTAGCTGGCACTTAATACATTTTCAATAATTATATGTTAAGTAGTGGCTGGATAGGTGAGTAGAGGGATGGATGGATGAATGAATGAGTGGATCCGACTTCCCAAATCAGAAAACATTGTGTGGCTTATTTGACCAGCACAGTGTATCATGAAATACCAGCTTCTGAAATCAGAGAAAGGTAATGAATTTTCCACACCACTCCTAAGACATATCAGTAATGATGCCATAGATATTTGTGTTGCCTGTATTTGTGTATATCTCATATCTTTTAGAAGTGAGGGACGTTATTTTAGATATGAACTTCATTCCTGCTTCTGTGTGTGCACCTGAAGTGCTAGAAATTTCTTCACAATCCTTAACTTTAAGGCACTTACTGTATATGTAAGGAAGTATCCACACTAAATAACTCAAGAATTCAACATCGCCTCAGAGCCAGTGGGTGTAATACACAATTTGTTTGTGCTGTGACACGGAAACCCTGAGATGACCAGTAGCCTTCTCTGTGCCACACTTAGAGTTCGGGTTTTTTACATACATGGTCTCATTCGGTCCTCACACTGGTGAATACTATCACACGGAAGAGGAAACCGGACCTCGGTGAGTTAACAATGTGCTGGAGTGCTGGGTCCAGGGAGTGCCGGAGCCAGGGCTCGAACAGGTGGTCAGGGTCTGAGCCCGGCTCTTTGCACGGCTTGCCTAGCGCTAGGCCATCCTCTGTGGAGCTCCACAGTGCCCCAGAGTCTAGATAAGAAGACTACTCTCTGCCATCTCTGCTTTCTGGACTCTCTGTCCTTTTTTCCAACCACACACTGTTGGTCAATGCGGAATGCCTGGGGCCGCGGAGGTGACGCTTACCTCCTTGGGTCTGTCTGCTTCTTGGACATGGTGCTCTTGGGTCTCGCCGGCCACGGTCATCTGCATTAAGTCTGTCCTTTCCAAGGAGGCGACCTGGGTCAGACCAGCTGACATGAAAGCAGGAGGAGCATTCACTCAGAAGTCAGGCACCCCACACGCCCAGCCGGCTCCCCAGCTCCCCCACTGTGGGGTGTCAGCCTCCACCGTGGGGCTGTCCCTGCCTGACTTCCAGGACGCGGGGTGTCCAGGGTGGGGGGAAAGTTTAGAGCAAGGGAGCGAGAGGAAACGTCCTCGCATGGACGGCTCCCCGGCCGTCGGGGGTGTCCCGCGGGCCCATAGCGCGGGGAGGCCTGCAGTGACCGCGGCGCTGTCCCTGTGCGCGTCCAGGTCATGACCACCCGCGAGGACAAAGTGATCATTGTGGAAAAGAAAGATGGGTCTAGGATCGTGGACCATGCAGACGGCACCAGAATCACCACCTTCTATCAAGTGTTCGAGGATCAGATTGTCCCCCCGGGTGATCCAGAAACGAGTGAGTTTTATCGTCTAAATACATGATAATACTCAATGTCTTTGGCGTCCGACAGGCGGCCGAGTCCTCACGGGTTTTCTTTTTTTTTTTAAATTTTTAAATTTTTAATTTTTTTTTATTTTTAAACAATATTTACTTCCCCCCACCCCCTCAGGTGGAGTCCCCATAGAGTTTCCTTCCCCAATGCACCCGTGCACCATCACCTCAGTCCCCCGCACTGCTCCCTCCCTCCCTCTGATCCCTCTCCCTCCTCCTCCCCTGCAGGATGTCTCTGGTTTATAATTGTCCATTTTTGCTTTGTTCTGTTTTGTACTGTTATTTTTTTTTTTTGCACTGATGTCTTATTTGGTTCTCCTATATTCCTGCTATAAGTGAAACCACCCGATATTTTCCTTTTTCCTTCTGGCTTATTTCACTGAGCATAATTCCTTCTAGCTCCATCCCTGTTGCTGCGAATGGCATGAGTTTATCTTTTTTGATTGCTGAATAATAGTCCATTGTGTATATATACCACATCTTGGGCATTTGGGTTGTTTCCATGTTTTACCTATTGTAAATAGGGCTGCAATAAACATAGGGGTACAGGGTTTTCTAACATGCATAAGGAGGTAACTTGCAGGAGCCCTCGCCAGCAAGAGCACTCAGCAACGTGGGATTTGTGCCCTGTGCCCTGGGCAGACTGGCCGGGACAGCCCTGCTGTTTGGCGTTTTTACCACTAAAACCCCATAGTCTGGATCGGTGGCAACTAAAAGTTGATAATCATGGATCCTTCAGGACTCTCCTCAGCACAGACAGGCTATTCCAAAGAGGTGGCACCTTGCCCTGCAAGCTGGCCCCGAATTGTGGGGCAGGTGAGGGGGGCAGGCACAAAGCAGGCTAAGCAGCTCCTCGGGAGATGTTTCCAGAGAATCTACAAGCCAGTCACCCTCAGAACCTGGTTTTAAAAATTTTGAAATGCAGCTATGCCTGACTCCCTCCTCTCTTCTGCCAGAGTGTGTGTAAAGCGATGAATGCTTCCTTGCATTCAGTACACATTCAGTGCAAAAGAAATGGCCAGTGAGGGCCTCCCCGGTGGCGCAGCAGTTGAGTGCTGGGTTGCAAAGCTGCCCGCAGCCTCTGCAGCGCCGGTTCGATCCCCGCTGCTCCCCGGCCACTGAAAGAGGGTCCCACATGGCGCGCAGACCCCTCCTGCCGCCCGCTGCTCCCCTCAGCAGTGTACTTCGGTCCTTCTGCCTGCTCTGCTCCCTGCTCTGGCTCTGGTGAATTCTCTCACCCTCCCGCACTTCTGACTGTACCCAGTGCATGTATAAACAAACAAACAAATAAATAAAAAACATGCCTCTATAAAAAAAAAAAAAGAAATGGCCAGTGAGTGGGGAAAAGAGACGCGGTCATAACCCACTAATTGGAGTGAAAATTGAAAGTGCCTACTTGGAAGGGAAATTTTAAAATGTGTAGTAAATTGAAAATGTGCATTAACTCTCTCTCTCTCTACAGAGAGAGATCCTTACACATTTGCCCAAAGAAACATACAGAGGTGCTACTTGGAGTATAATATTAAAACGCTTGGAAAACACAAAAGTCCACCTGTTTCAGGGCAGGAAAAAAATGTGCTATATTCTTACAACGGGGTGCTGTATAGAAGTTAACAAGGAAAAGAATGCACTCACACACACACACACACACACAAACACATCCTCAACACATCCTCACACATACATATTAAGATGTCTAGAGATCTCAAAAAAAAGTGAAAAAACTCAGGTGTACACTGATATGCAAAGCAACATACAATCTGTAAATTTAAAGCACACAAAACTTATATTGTTCTTGATATATATATATATTTATTTATATAAAAGTATCAAGCTGGATTGTGAGAGAAGGGAGTAAACCCAGGAATAGGGAGAAAAGTGAACTTTCACTTTATCTAGAATTCCTCTCTCTATACATATTAGACGAAAATGTTGAAGCAGAAACGCAGGACATTAACAAGAATACATCTTGAGTGAGTAGATGAGCAGCTAAGTTGTATTTTATGCTTTTTCTGGATGTTTTCAGTTTCTCAAAATAGAGTAATGAAAACCTCAGTCGTTTGAGTCAGAAGAGTTCTTCTGAAATGGCAGAGAGAGTCGCCCCCACACTCAGGTCATGGGGTGTCCCCAGCCCTGGGTCTTGGCTGCCGGTCCAGCAGCGTGGAGAGGGCCGCTGAGGTGTGTTTCCTGGTGTGTGCTGTGTCAGCGCTGCTCTCCTTGCCTTTGCTTGCAGCCGAGGGCCCCCAGGCTGTGCCCAGGCAGGTGAAGTGCATGCAGATCGAGAGCGCGCACTATGCCACTGTCATCACCAACTGCGAGGACAGCAGCTGCTGCGCCACCTTTGGGGACGGGACCTCTGTTATAGCCAAGCCACAGGGAACCTACCAGGTAGGTCTGGGCGGATGAGGAGCGCCAAGGGTAAGAGTCCACTCATCTAAAAAGCACCCCCCTCAGGGGCAGCGAGCTTTCCGGCCATGCGCACAGCTGCCGCTGTCTTATTTGATTCAATCACCTTATACTTTTTCCATCTTCTTTTCACAGTTTATTCCAGAAAAAAACATTGCCCTACTTCCCATAAAGGCTTTAGTATTTGGGTTCAAGGTTATAAACCAAAGTGTTGGTGGAGTGGGGAGGAACCTTTCTCTGGTCAGCAGGGTGGGTGTTAGAAGCCCCTATGTGATCCGCCTTGTAGCTACCAGACCAGCTTTGCCCCCGGCCACCTCTGCTCTCACTGCCCAGTCCTCCTGCTTCCACCTGTCCCATGTCACCTGAGCTCCCCACAGGGCTGCAGGGGCCTGTCCTAGAAGGGCACTCACACAACTGAAGCTTTCTCCTTGGAGGGTAAAGAAGCAGCACCTTTGGCAACTCCACTACCTACCTGCACCCCCATTAACACAGCCCCCCCGGTGTCCCTGCATCCTGTTCGTCTCAGAAGGATTAGCTTTTGCCTTTCTCCTTGCTGGTGTCATGGGACACTGAGAGCTCAAGGCCAGAGATGGCAGCTGGAGACCTGCTTTTCCTGTGAAAGCTGCTGAGCCAGTGCCCCCCATGGGGCCAGCCTGTACCCTCTCTCCCCCCAGTGCAGACCATCTTGGGGCAGAGAACGTATTGAATATGAGAGGTCACTCTGAGATGTCATCATTGAGAAGAGGGAACTGTTTTTATAGTATTCAGTATGTCCATTCTTTTCTTTAGCTCATCTATTCTTTTTTTTTAAATAAATTTTATTTTTATATTCCCCATACAATTGCAACCCCCTTATTTTGACCCCAATCCCTCCTCTCCCCACCCCCCACCCCCCATAGAGTGTCTCTGGTTCATAGTTGTTTGTTGATTTTGATTTTCACTTTCTTATAGTTATTCATTTTCCTGGTCCCTTATTTAAGTTTTCTAGATTCCTGCTAGGAGTGAGACCATCCGGTATTTTTCTTTTTCTTTCTGGCTTATTTCGCTGAGCATGATCCCTTCCAGCGCCATGCATGTTGCTGCAAATGGCATGTGTTTATCTTTTTTGAAGGCTGAGTAATAGTCCATGGTGTATATGGACCACATCTTCTTGATCCAGTCATCTATTTTTGGGCATTTGGGTTGTTTCCAAAGCTTAGCTATTGTAAATAGTGCTGCTATAAACATAGGGGTGCAGGTGTTCTTTGGAATTGATGTTTCTGTGTCCTTTGGGTAAATACCTAGGAGTGGAATTGCTGGATCCTATGGAAGCTCTATGTTTAGTAGGTCAAGAAATCTCCACACTAGCTCATGCTATTCTTACCGAGACTCTTCGAAACAGTCATACGAACAGCATGATCTATATAGAGTAATGGACATTCGTTCTCAATGGTGAGGAGTGACTCTGAAAGCACCTCCAGAATGATGAGGTAAGGGCCTCTGAAAGTCCACTCCTCCCTAAAAACAACAGAAAACTGGAAAAAATTGACAAAATCAACTTTTTTCAAAACTCTATAACCAAAAGATTAAAACAATTTGAGGAAGAAAGAGAAACTCAAAAAAGAACAAGAGTCAAGGTGATTTAACTTGTTGTGTTTCCTCCCTCTCCAGCTCCACGGCAACCTGGAAAATCAGTATCCTTACACTCAGGATGGCAAGAAAACCAGCAGACTAGGAGTTAGTGAAAGAGGAAGAATAGAGCCTCCTCGGTGGCCGAGGGGTTAAGTCTCAGCTCTGTGGGTTGAGATCGATCCCCGGCCAGGGAGTGACCCACATATGGCACAGCAGACCGCTCCTGTCTCGCCCGCTGCTCCCCTTAATTAAAAAAAATATATGTATTAATGAGGGCACAAGACGATTACTTGGAAAAGGTATTAAATAAATAGATAAAATATGAGAACATAGGAGAAATTATATCTTCCTTATTCAGTTCGCCTCCTTATTTGTCCTCCCTGAACTTTTCTAAGTCGTTTCTCATCTCATGTTTTCTTCCCAGAAACAGTTTGTGGCTGAGATCAATGGGCGATTTTTTCCCTAAAGTAATATCCTGCGTCCCTCCAATTGAACAGGACATTTTTAATATTTCTCTTATTTCCTTTGCCCCTCCAAGGTGTTGCCTCCGAACACAGGCTGTCTTCATATTGATAGGGATTGCTCGGCCACGTACTGCCACGAGCCAAGCAGTGACCTGTACCACCCTTTCCAGAAACGTGAGCAGCTGAGAGCGAGCAGGTACATCATGAAGCACACAGCTGAGGTCATCTGCGAGGTCCAGGATCCCGAGGGAAACACTTTCCAGGTAAAGTGCATCACTGATATGGAGGGAGAGGCTCTGGCTTGGCTTTGGAGGTATTTCACGCTGGCAAGTTTCCTTGCAGATTTTGTTTGTTTTCACCTTTGCCACTTTAGAATTTCTTATCCACTTATGGCCAATATCACAGGCAAGTAAGAATGAATATCAAAATATTTGATTCTCAGGTGACCTTCCGAGGTGTTTGTGCACCCAACGATTGCCATAGTGGAAGTGTTAAAGCTGAATGATAATTAGAGCAGAGGGTAATAGCAACATCACTCCATCTAAAAATAATGCCAATTGGGCCTCCCTGGTGGTGCAAGGAGTTAAGACATCACCATGAAGCTATCTGCAGCCTCTGCAGCATGAGTTCGATCCCCAGTCAGCCAGGGAGCAACCCACATGGCGCAGCAGACCTCTTCTGTCTCCCCCGCTGCTCCCCTCAGCAGTGTATTTCAGTCAGTCTGCCTGTTCTGCTCCCCACTCTCTCTGGTGAATCCTCTCACCCCCTGCATCTCTGGCCTATACCCCAGTTCTTGTATGCATAAATAAATCTTAAAAAAAAAAATAAAAATAGGGCCTCCCTTGGTGGCGCAGCGGTTGAGCACTGGACTGCGAAGTTGCCCGCAGCCTCTACAGCACCGGTTCGATCCCCGGCCACTGGCGAGGGTCCCACATGGTGAGACAGACCTCTCCTGTTGCACCACTGCTCCCCTCAGCAGTGTATTTCATCAGTCTTTCTGTTCTGCTCCCCGCTGTGACTCTGGTGAATTCTCTCACCCTCCTACACTTCTGACTATACTCAGTGCTTGTATAAATAAATCTTTAAAAAAAAAAAATAAAATAAAAATAATGCCAACAAAAAGGGATGATAAATGAATGCTCTGTAGCCAGAGGAAAGTGGGAGCAAATGCTCTGGGCAGCAGGCAAGTTTGATTGACAGGCAGAGCCTCCGTATGAGACATATTCCTTAGGGAGGATTCTAGTAGGTTGAAGATGGGTAGACGGGAATCTTAGAGGTGCTCAGGGATTTGATGGCAGAGCTCTGCCTCCTGCTTCTCTGTCCTTCGACACTGCAAATACATGCTCTGCTCTAAGTCAGGCACTGGCAGTCCATGGCCACTTGCCCATATAGACCCATGAGCTCAAAATGGTTTTTAAATGTTCTAATGGCTGCAAAAAATCAAAAGGCGACTATTTCATGACATTTCAGTGTGGTTAAGTAGTTTGTTTGAAGCACAGCCTTGCTCCTTCGTTTACATTCTGTCCGTGGCTGCTTTTGCATAAGTTAAGGAGCTGAAATAGAGACCCTAGGACCTGAAACTCCTAATATTGTTCCTGTCTGACCCTTGACAAAGCAGGTTTGCCATCCCTTCTTCTGGACTCATATCTTCTTCTTTCCCTCCTTACCCCACAGTAGAATTTCATCTATTGACTGGTGGTTGGTGGAGTTATTTTTTAGATTTGACTCCACACCAAAAAGTCCTCAGGGCCTCCCCTGGTGGCACAGCGGGTTGAACACTGTGCTGTGGGGCTGTCCACAGCCTCTGCAGCATGAGTTCCATTCCCAGCCAGCCAAGGAGAGACCCACATGGCATGGCAGACCTCCCCTGCCTTGCCCGCTACTCCCCTCAGCAGTGTCTTCGGTCCGTCTGCCTGTTCTGCTCCCCGCTCTCTGGTGAATTCTCTCGCCCTCCCACACCTCTGACCTGTACCCCAGTTCTTGTATAAATAAATAAATCTTTAAAAAAAAAAAAAGACAAGTATTAAAAAAAAAAAGTCCTCAATGGAATTTTGATTTTGAAACAAGTCCTCATACAGCTTATTTTGTCTGGGGAAAATAATGATGCTCTTCACAGCATGAATTCAGGCTACTAACAAATTTCAAATTGCAGTGAATTGACATAGACACCTAAAACCCCAAACCCTGCAGGCTGAACCACGAGGGAGCTCCAGGGGAAGCATTCTCCTAGGATTGATGGTCTTGTAGGGCGTCTCTCCACTGGTCTTGCAGCCAAACTCACACTCCTTCCGGGAGAGACTGACAGGAGTAATGCCTGGGACATTTCTTCTCATATTGACATTAAATATGTTTCCCTCTGCAGCTTATCCCTGAGTCCTCATCCCGTGCTTGGAATCCAGAGCATAACCCCCCTCTGTACAGTCTCTGTTGTAGTATTTTAAGATAACTATCATGTGAGGGCCCTTTCCTTCCCGTGCTCCATGCTCCCAGCCCCTTGACCTCATCCTCAGCCATGAGGCCTGAGTCACTTCTGTCCTGGTCACCGTCCTCCGGATGTCTCCCAGCCTGTCTTCACAACCCAGCTTTGTAAGTAGAGAGGCGTCCCCAGTGCAAGCTGTACTTAGTGAACAAATAAGTTATTTGTACTTGTTTCAAGTAACTATGCCTGGTTGTTGATCTTCCCAAAAGCTCGCCTGCTTTCTCAAATGGAATCCACAGAAATGTAAGCTTTCTGGCATTTTTGTTCCTTTTCAGCTGCTTGTCTGCTTTGTCTCTTAGGTCATGGCTGATGGGAGTGTGTCCACGATGTTACCGGAAAATAATTTGGACGATGATTTAAATGCAAAAACTGAGGACTGTGAGAGCTTATCAACTGTTCATAAGAATCAGCAGCAATTCTCTGATGAACACGTCCCCAGGTAATACCATCGCGATGATTTTTTTTTCTTCAAATTCAAGTTCAAGAAGCATTATAAATGGAATCCTTCAAGTGATTCAATTCCTATTCCTTCCAATAGATTTTTTGTTATCTATACGGATGGGTCAGGAGTGGAACTCCTGCGAGACAGTGACACAGAAGAATTTCTGTCCTTGGCATATGGAGAGTCGACTGCTGTGGTTCTCCAAGAGCCCGTCCAGGAACAGCCAGGTAGAGCTGCCACACATCTGGGATCCACTGTCCCTTTACCAGCTCTCACGCTCCTCATCCAGTCTGTACATGTCATCTCTTCTTCTTCACCTTTGCTCACTTTTCTTCTCCACTTTCCCCTGGCCACAGCCACCCACTTATCCAGCCATTTGAGTTTATGTTGCTGACAAGCTGCATCTGAGCATCAGCCTATACGCACTGTGTAGCTAGGAGCCCCTCACCTGCCCATGCATAGACCTGTGTCTGTGTGTAGGTGTGTGCTCCGTTCCCTTGTGTGCCTTCATTTCATGTTGGTGGGAAGAAAAACAAAGACAAGCAAGATATCTCTTGTAAGTACTTTTTTAAATCACTCTGTAGGCGTACCCTTGATGAACTCAACATACGTATATTGGATGAGTGAATTAGCATGCCAACCTGAAATACGAGTTCTATATTACATTATTGCGGATTTACAGTATTTTCAGTGACTTCAAATAAATTAGGATGTGGCTAGAGATTGAATGCTCATTGTATTCATGTAATATTTTTACATGCAAAATGTACATATGTGATACATGTACATGTAATATTACAGTAATATGTGTATTTAAGCAATCATATAAACTTGCACTTTACCAGTTTACAAAACCTATGTGCTGAGTCGAGGCTTGTGTGTGTGGGGGTCTATCTTTCCCCTTCTTGGTGAACGTACTTGGTACTCTTATATGAATATGCCTGAATTTCTACACTGACATTTTCTGGTGTATCCATGCACATGCCCATGATGTGATAACCTTGCTCTTTGTGAATAGGGAAAACAGGGTTCTCTGTGTAGTGAATGTTCGGAGTTGTGTGAGAATCGTAATTCATCTCAAACTTCTTTGCTGCTCAGTCATTTAACTAGCAGCTCCTTGATAACCACCATGTGGCAAACATTGACAGGCTGTTAGGAAAACAATGGAGAGCCAGGACAGGCCTGCAGCTTTCCTAGAGCTTTCATGCTAACTAGAGAGATGGGCATTCATTACTGAGTCATACAAATAACTATCTGATTATAAATTGGGATAAGGTCTGTAAAGGAAAACTATATGGGTCTCTGAGAGCATCTAACAAAGGAAACTGACATGGTCTAGAAGGCTTCCTTGAAGACCCTAGCGTAACAGCTGGTGGATAAGTAGGACTTAACTAAGATAGGAGGGGGGGAGCTTTTATTTGGAGAATACAGAGGAAGAGGTCTACAGCATCAGAGAACAGGGGTCAAAAGAGCGAACTAGCTGAAGCACAAGGGTAGAGGGGTGCAAACTGAGGCAGGGGAGAAAATGTTTTGGACTCTTTTGTCCTGTGAGTAGTGGAAAGTCAAAGATGAGTTTTAAACATGGCCTGATACAGTCACCTGACTGCTAGGGGAGGTTCATTCACAGAATAGATGTGGATAAAAGCTAGTTGTAGTTGTAGCCCAGGACAGGATCTCTCCAAGGCAAATGACCTAAGGCGTGGCCAGTGGAGAGGGAAGACGTGGATGAACTCAAGAAATGTTTAATGGTGGAACTTGGAAATGATTTTTGAAGCACAGTGAGGCATCATTTAATACTCGCATGTTACCTAAATCCAATCTCTAAGTTTTAGAGTGACTACGTCTCACCTTTCTTGCTATATGGCAAGGTCTGTAAGCAAAATCTGTGTCTGGCTTATCGGAAAGTGGTTGTTGCATTTGGGGACTATCTACTGAATTTCTCAGAATATTGTTGGGGACATGATCCTCTGCCTTGTCCCTTTGATCCAGGTGTCCTGAGCATCACTGTCCTTCGCCCTTTTCATGAAGCATCTCCTTGGCTAATGAAGAAAGAATTAGACACGATTGTCCCTCCCAATCTCCGGTCAAGGTCATGGGACACATTTCCCCCCACTGAGGTATGCATTTTTGTGTTGAAAAGTCACTATATTTGCATATCCATCCGACCATGACCAGGGTCTTAGACCCCTTCACGTACAGTCATGTATTTTCATCCATGAGTAAATTGTTAATAGGCTCAGAGTTTCATATTTGAAGTTTTAAAAATTTGAATATTTTAGAGGAATATACCTGACTAGCTAATCTCAGTTTTCGTTCTCATCCGTTACATATTTTGGTGCTGCTATCTTAGGTGCAAATATACTAGTAGTTGTTACTGCTTCCTGGTGCATTGATTCCTTTATCATCATAGAATGTCATTTTTGTCTCTTACTATCTTTTTGGACTGGAAGCCAATTTTTTTTTAAACTTATCTTAATTCAAGGTAACATTAGTTTACGATGTATCAAGTCTCAAGATTATACTTTTTCACCAGGCCCATCACAAATATCTGCTCACCATGGACCACCAACCAGTTGCGATTTTCTCTCCATCCTCTTCCCCACGCCTTCCCCTCTGGGAACCACCATTCTGCTGTCAGAGTCTACAGGTTTATTTTAGTTTTAGTTTTTAAGGTATTTATCTTTCTCCTTCTAATGTATTTCACTTGGCATAATCCCCTTAAAATGGCATCCATGTTGTAGCAAATGGCAAGATTTCATCTTTTTTTTTGTGGCAGAATAGTGTTGTGTGTATCTGTCACATCTTCTTTATCCATTCCTCTTGTTTTGGGGTACTTAGTTTTCATATCTTGGCTATTATGAATTATGCTACCGTGGACCTGGGGGTACATATCCACGGGTCTTTTCAAGTTAGTGTTTTCAGATGCTTTGGGTAAGTCAGAAGTGGGATTATTGGCTCACATGGTATTTCTATTTGTTTGTTGGTGGTGTTTTATTCATTTATTTATTTTTCAGGAACCTCCACACTGTTTTTCATAGAGCCTACACCAGTTCACATTCCCACCAACATACTTCCCAGTACTTAATATTTCTTGACTTTTGATTACTGTCATTGTCATTCTAACTCAGTGTGAGGTGAAATCTCATTGTGATTTTGAGATGCCTACTTGGATCCTTAGCCCATTTTTCAATTAGGTTGTTTTTTTTTTTTTCTGTTAAGTTTCACAGGTGTTTATATATATTGGATATTAATGCCGTGCTTGATGTATGATTTGTAAATATCTTCTTCCTTTCTGTAGATTGTCTTTTTGTTGTAATGTTGGTTTCTTTCACTATGCAGAAGTTCTTGAGTTTGATATACTCCCATTTGCTTATATTCCCTTTTGTTTCTCTTCCTGCTGGAGATGGATTCATAAAGATATCTCTAAATACAATGTCAACAAGCTTTTTACATATGTATTTTCTATATATACTTTACAGTTTCAGCTTTTATATTCAAGTCTTCAAGCCATCTTGAGTTGACTTTAGTATTTGGTGTAAGATAGTGGTCTGATTTTAATCTTTTCCATGTTGGATTTCCGATTTGCACAGCCCATTAATGTGTGGCTTACTTATGGGCTCTCAATTATAGTATAATGATCTGTGTAACTGTTTTCTGCACAAGTACCATACTGTTTTGATTACTATAGCTTTGTATTATAGTTTGAAGTCAAGGAGCATGATACTGCCAGTTATGGTTTTTCTTCTCTGGATTGTATTGGCTAGTTTAGGTATTTCATAATTCCATGCAAATTTTAGGAAGTTCTGTTCTATTTCTGTGAACAATGGCATTAGGATCTTGTCGGGTTCATGTTGAATATGTGCATTACTTTAGATAGAACGGCCATTTAAAGAATTTGTGTTCTTCTGATCCATGGTTGTGAAATATATTCTCATTTCTTTGCTTCTCCTTCAATTAATTTCAGCTGTATTTTATAGTTTTGGGTGTCCAAATCCTTCACTTCTTTGGTGAGCTCTCTTGGTGTAGCATTCTTCTGGTCAGTTGTTAGATGTTCCTCTTAGAAGCAAAGCAGGAACCTTCTCCATCACTACCTTGGTAATGTCTTAATTCACTAATCCTATATCAAAGTTGAGTATCTTCCTATAATTTGAAAATTATGACAAAGAATATACCACATCTGAGATTAGTGAAGGAAGTGATTTCTCTTCCTCAAGCTCATGCTGTGACCTCCTATGCCTGGTAGCAGTGACCCTTTCCAGTTATGCTCCTCAGTAACCATCACTGGCCAGACATTGGGCACTGATGAGTAATTGAAAATGAAGCTTGTCTGACTCACCTCAGGACCTAGGGCGTCAAAGTACACCACTCCTGAATATCAGTTACAAGGATGCCATAGAGATATCAGTTACAAGGATAATATAGACAACAGCGTCAACTCAAGGCAGATGTTTCTGCTCAAGTGATCTGAGAAGACTCTGGACATGCATAATCTAAGAGTGAGCTCAAAGACTGTCCAAATGAATGGGATGAATTTTCTCTCGTAGAATCCCTCTGTGTTATAGAACCAGAGAGTTAGAGACTGCTTAATTCCAAATCTCTTAGACTACCTCTGGGTATTAGAGAATAGTGCACAAGCATTTGGCTTCAACTAGACTGCTGTTGTATTCCCATGGCATCACACTGCCCTCCCCTAAGTGCTAGCCAGTGAGCCATGATGCAACAGGACTTTTAATATCCAGATTCTTGGTAACATATATAAAGAGGAAAGAGTGCCCTGTTCTTTTAGCAATTTTCCTTTTATTTGGAAAACTTTTTGAGAGCAGGGATCATTTTTTTTCCATCATTATATTGCCTAACAAGTAGTTTCTAACCCAATAGATCTGTAACAAGTACTTTATGGTTAAATCATTATGATTTCTTTCTTTTGTGGTTGTTTTATTCTGTTAACAGAAAAAAATTCCAGGACCTCCATTTGGCACTCAGATTTGGAAGGGCCTTAATATTGGATCCAAACAACTAGTGAGTGCCCCAGCCCCTATACTTAAGAGCCCCAAAGTGCTGCAGATACGCCAGTTCATCCAGCATGAGATCATAAAGAAAGAAATGAAACGAAGACTGCAGATTTCCCTTAAGGTAATGGAATCCAAGTATCCTGACCCAAAAGAATGAAGAAACAGGCCAATCATTCCCCTTTTTCCTGAGGAACCTTAAATCATGTAATTCTGCCAATACGTATCTAGTAGAAAACATAAATATCAGTCTTACCGAGAGTAAGGTTGGGAGGTAAAAAAATACCTGTGAACTCCCACAGGGTATAGGAACTATCAAGATCTCAAAGACGTTGAGAAGATAAGTAACTTTTATATGTAATTGCTAAGTTCTCCTTTCTCATTCTAGAACTGTTCTAGTTACCCCTGGCAAAAAGGTTGAACTGCCTATTAATCTGATAGTTATCCATGGAAGAAAAGAATTGTTGATTTTTAGAAATGATCAAAGAATTCATAACAAGTAGTCGATTGTATAATCACATCTATAATACCCCACTGGGCTGGAGCTCCACTAGCTGCTTAGACCCAGTGTTAAGATTCTTCTAGTTAACTCTCTCAAAGCAGGGATCATATGTGTTGTATTTGCAATGAGGTACCCAGCACCTGGCATAGAGCTGCAGACCATAATTTACTGAAACTTGTCAAATATTTTCAGAAAAAAAATTGAAGAACATTTGTCTTGGAAGCAAAGCATGAAGTTGGACATATACTCATTCATGGGTGGAGTCATAGACTAGCCCTGGAAAGGGCTCTGGGAACCATCTGACCCAACTCTGTCCACTTCATTGATGGAGACACTTGGAGCACCGAGTTAGAAACCGGGGCTCTCCAAGGTCCTCACACAGTTCTAGTGGATCCTGTGGTATTTAAAGCTTTGCACTTGGAGTTGTTGGGTCTTTGCTGATAAACACATTAAGGAAAAGGCTTTCCAGATTTCTTGGCCAACAACTGTTGAGCATTGTGAAGTCACACATTCTTAGTCTTTGCACTATTTCAAGTTGATGTTGACTATTTTGTTGGCTTTCTATCATCTCTCTGATTTTTATGGATCTATTTTATCCTGGTGATCTAGGACTATATAAACCATATCCTAAAGAAAGAAGATGAGCTACAGGAAATGACAGTTAAGGATTCCAGAACTGAGGAAGAGAGAGGCAACGCTGCCGATCTCCTCAAGCTAGTCATGGTGAGAAAGAAATGACTGTATAACAGTGTTTTTAATATTGCTTCAATATCAGATACTTCAAAAAAATCATAAATCATCGCTATTTCTATCACTTCTATGAAGCATTTTCTCCAACTATAGAAAGAGGAATTTCTGTGAAAATCAGCTTTCTTATATATAACATTTTATAGTGTTTTTAAGCTCACCCTTAAATCCTAAATAATTCTAGAAAAACAAATTTTTATTGTCTTTGGAGAAATTAACATTTATTGAAAGGTTGAAGGAATTAATGAACTAGAAAGGAGGAAGAGAAAGGAATTCCTACAACTTAAAATGATTTTATTTTTAGAAATTTGTTAAGTGAAAGGCCTGACTAAAGAACATCACATTTTCATTTGTCATTAAAAACTTCAATCATATAGTGATTTTATAAAAGACAATTTGAGCACAGAAAGAATGCATATAAACAATGTGAATTTTGCATGTCTTGTAACCATCCTCACTTCGGAATCCTCTCTTCATTTTAGTCTTTCCCTAAAATGGAAGAAACTGCAAAAAGTCATGTCACTGAAGGTAACTATATTCAATACTTTTCTGCAAAACATTCATGGATTTCAGAAGAATGATCTTATATGTACTTCTCCATCATTCTCTCATCTGATAACAAAAGTGCATGTATAGATCTCTGTGGCCATATTGTATTGTAACATTTTATTTATATGTTTCTATCTGCCTGAATTATGAGATTCTTGAAAATCATGATTGCCTCTATAAAGTTTTAACTTTCACCTGTTGGATGAAAAAGTTGACATTTGAGGGTCTCCCCTGGTGGCGCAGCGGTTGAGCGCTGGGCTGTGAAGCTGCCCGCAGCCTCTGCAGCGCCGGTTCAATCCCCGGCCCCCGGCAAGGGTCCCACATGGTGCGACAGACCTCTCCTGCCGCGCCCACTGCTCCCCTCAGCAGTGTATTTCGTCAGTCTGCCTGTTCTGCTCCCCGCTCTGGCGCTGGTGAATTCTCTCACCCTCCGGCACTTCTGACTGTACCCAGTGCTTGTATAAATGAATAAATAAATCTTTAAAAAAAAAAAAAGAAAGAAAAAGTCGACATTAGATGTTTCTGTTAAACTCCACTGTATTTAGAGCATGGATAATACACAGGAAGGAAATAATCAACCAACTAACATTCTCTCCATAAGAGAGAATTTTTGAGCAACTACACAGTTATCACCAAAGCCTTGCAATGTTTTATACTGTATGTAGCTCAAGCAATCTGCTTTTGGATCAGATATCCTCAAATAAAAGATATGATACTTGTTTTGGAATATACTCAGCCCTAACTAGGTACTTAATTGTTTTTGATGTGATTATAAATGGGATTGTTTTCTTTACTTATTTCTCTTCTAACTGCCTGTTGCATAAAGGCCTATGCAGTAGACTTTTGTGTATTGATTTTGTAGCCTGCCTCTTTACTGTACTGTTAATATATTTCTAAATCTTTTTTTAGTGGAGTCTCTAGGATTTTCTGTGTATATTGTCATGTCATCTGCAAATAGTGATAGTTTTACTTCTTCTTTTCCAATTTGAATTCCTTTTAATCCTGTCTCTTGCCTCATGGCTTTGGCTAGGACTTCAATACTTGGTTGAATAGTAGTGCTAAAAGTGGGCATCCTTGTCTTGTTCCTGATCTAAGAGGGAAAGTTTTTAGCTTACTCTCTTTGAGTATGATGTGAGCTGTGAGTTTGTCATCCATGGCCTTTATTATGTTGAGGTATTTTCCTTCTAATCCCATTTTATTTTTTTTAAAGATTTATTTATTTATTTATACAAGTGCTGGGGTACAGGCCAGATGTGTGGGAGGGTGAGAGAATTTACCAGAGCCAGAGCGGGGAACAGAACAGGCAGACTGATGAAATACACTGCTGAGGGAAGCAAGGGGCGCGGCAGAAGAGGTCTGTCGAGCCATGTGGGACCCTCGCCGGTGGCTGGGGATCAAACCGGTGCAGCAGAGACTGCAGGCAGCTTCGCAGGCCAGTGCTCAACCGCTGTGCCACCAGGGGAGGCCCTTAATCCCATTTTTTTACCTTAATCCCATTTTAAAAGAGGTTTTTGGGTTTTTTTTTTTTTTTATCATAAATGGACGTTGAATCTTGTCAAATGCTTTCTCTGCATCTATTGAGATGATCCCATGGTAGTTGTAATTCCTTTATTTTTGGTGTGATGAATAACATTAATTGATATATTCATGTTGAACCATCCCTGGAAATAATACTTCATCAGTACATAATTCTTTTAATACATTGTCGGATTCCATTTGCTAAAATTTTGTTGAATATATTTGTGTGTGTGTGTTCATCAGGTTTTATTTATTTATTTATATTTTGGTGATCTTTTTCTGCTATTAGTAGATGTGTATGGCACGTTTCATCTTCCTCACTTTTTTGGAAGAGTTTGAGAGGATCGAGACTAGTTAGTCTTTGAAGGTTTGGTAGAACTCGCTTGTGAAACTACCTGTTCCTGGACTTGTTTTTTGCAGGAGAATTTTGATTATGTCTCAATTTCCTTGCGTGTAATGATCTGTTCAAATTTTCTATTTCTTCCTGAGTCTGCCTTGTGAGGTTGTATGAGTCCTGTGTCCATTCCCTCTAGATTTTCCAGTAGGTTTGCATAAAGATATTCATTGTAGTCTCTTAATGATCCTCTTTATTTCTGTGATGTCTGTTTTAACTTTTTTTTGATGTGTGATTTCATTTATTAGCGCTTTCTCTCCTTTTATTTTTAATGAGCCTCACTAGAGACTTGTCTGCTTTGTTTATCTTTCCAAAGAACCAGCTTTTGAATTTTTATTTCTCTTTAATTTACTTCTGCTCTGAACTTTATTATTTCCTTCTTTCAAGTAACTTCTGTCTTTGTCGTTATCTCTCCTTAAGGTGTAAGGTTACATTATTTGAGATATTTCTTGTTTCTTTGACGTGTATTTCTATCAACTTCCCTATTGGCACTTTTTTGTTACATCCACAGGTTCTGGTTAGCTCATGTTTTTATTTTTGTTTGCCTCCAGGTACTTTTTAATTTCTCCTTTGATTTCCTTATTAATCCAATAGTCATTCAGTAGCCAGTTGCTTAGTCTCCACGTATTTGGAGGATTTTCTCACTTTCTTTTTATGGTTGATTTCTAGTTTGATACCACTGATTTCTAGTTTGTATAGAAAAATATACTTGATGTTATTTCAATGTTGTTGAATTTATGGACACTTATTAGGACCTAATAAAACATGGAAACTTCTTCAATCTCCTGTTCACATCCCACAAAAGCTATGCTCTTCAGAATAAACTCTGAGAATCACTGTCCACTTTATCAAACAACTGTTATGTTACATTTTTATCCTTAGATTCAGATTCTTAGATTACTTTAGAAAAACAATTTCATTTTTTTTTTAATTTTGGTGCTTCCTATATGAAGAAATTCAGTTGTAGAACTCCAGCTGCTCTAATGATGTGGGATAAATGAGGTGTCACGACAATCTACAGTTGACTATAAGCTGTGCTTCCTCTAAGAGGATATTTCATAGAAGTATTCTGGCTTTCTGCTATATTATAGTGGTTCACAGAGATTCTAGTAAACACTTGATAGACTAAATACAAGCTCTTGGAAAAACAAGTGAGTAAGTGAGTAATTGAATATTAATTCTGTGGTGTGCTGTGAAAAAAAAAAAATGAGAAGTTAAACACATCTTTTTTTTAAAGTTGCAGCTCACCTAACAGATTTATTCAAACAATCTTTGGCTGCTATACCAGAATGTCCTCCAGAAACATTTGATAAAGATTTCTTGGAAAAGAAATGGAGGTAAGCGGATCCAATCATGTTTTCCAACTAGTATTAAGCATACAATACTAAGAGGGCGTGGAGGGCTGCTGGTGTCATGGCTATGAGTGACTACATCAGTGAACTCACAGGTTTCTTCTGCAATACTGTTAACAATACAGTGGTGGGATTTTGTTGTTGTTATCTGAGAGTATTTCCCCTTTTCACCATACTTTCCTTTCCTTTCACATAGGCGCCTAGAAACATCAAAGAATTGGAAAGAAAAGATAGCTCAAAGGAGGTAATTCTATCCTGAAGCATACATATGCCTGTGGAAAGGCCCAGTTTTGTAAAGCTGTGGCATCGCAGACTGGGATCGGTTGAAAGCTACTACCAGCTGTTAATCTTTTCTACTTTTCTGCCAAGTACTCATACAGCATTGTGTGATGGCGTTATTATTTCTTAAGCCCATTTGATAGCTAGGTCCATTCTCTCCCTCTATTTTTTTTTAACTTGTTCATTTTTTTTATTGTTATTTTGGTTTTTTTTAGAGTTAGATTGTATGAGATCCAGAGGCAGAGAATCATGCCTGCTCAGATACATGTCATCACACTGCACCCACCACCAAGGCACCCTCAGCCCCCAACATAGTCCATTGTGGCCCCTCCCTTCTTTGCTTCCCTCATACCTCCTGCCCAGCTTGTGGCCTCAGTTCCACAGCCAGATGTCTAGGGCTTGTCTCTGGTGTGGTCTTTGTCTGACCCTTTGTTAGTTTCTCTACATTCCACATATAACTCAAACCAACCAGTGTTTGTCTTTTTCCTTTTGACTTTTTTCCTCCACTTAGCACTTCCCCCTCCAGCCCATGTGGTTGCAAATGGCAAGAGCTCGTCTTGGTTTCCAGCTGAGTAGAATGCCTTTGTGTGTCTAGACCACATTTTTCTAACCCACAACTCTGTCCTTGGGCACTTAGGTTGTTGTCACAACTTGGCTGTTGGAGATGGGGCTGCAGTGGACATGGGAGTGCAGATATCCCTTCCAATTAGTGGTTTTGCATTCTTGGGTAGAACTTTCCCTCTCTTAAGCAAAAGATTTCTCAGATATTTGCTGGGCTTTGATAATTTTAACATACTAATGAATATTCTAAAATTATATGTAGATCATAATCATAAACATTCAAGAATTCTTAGAATATATTTCAAGAAATAGGAAAGAGAAGAGTCAAGGACAAACAGAAAGTGACCCAGCGAGTTATCCCTCTTTCTAAGTTTTATGGAGTCTTGCCCGGTGATTTCATTTGACATCTCATGGGCTAACCCTAAGTAAGGAAGGCTCAGACATGGATTTTTGAGCTGATATATTGCCCCCCAATACAGGGTTCTGGTATTGGAAAATAGCAATTGCTTTTATTTATTAATCTTATTTATTTATTTATTTAAATTTATGTATTTATACAAGAACCAGGGTACAGGTCAGAGATGTGGGGGGCGAGAGGATTCACCAGAGACAGAGCAGGGAGCAGAACAGACAGACTGACTGAAATACACTAACAGCAGTTGCTTTTATTTTACTTTGAAGCTATGTTTTTCACAACTGAGTCTTCAGGCTTTAATTTTGTTACCACAGTTACTGAAATTATGGAAATCAGTAGAATCTGGCCTGGCATTTGAACCTCAGAGAATTAAAATACACACAAAAAGGTGGACCATATGGATTATAGTCTTTTGAGATCAACTGTAAAATCAAAGTAACATGTGATATCATCTATTTTCTCTAAGAGTCTGGTTTCTGAGTAGTAAATTTTACTGATTCTAGAGGAAACAGAAAAGGAACCAAACAAGTCAGTTAAAAAAAAAAATGTCCAATGAGTTCATTCTTAACCAGTTTTTAACATTAGTGATGGCATGTTCAGTGGGATTTAGAGGTAAAATACAAACAAATAGTGATTTTAAATACTCTGTGTCTTCTTTTGTATCATTATGAAAATGTCAACCAGGAAGGACATTGAAAAAACAGAAAATTATCTAATGGAAATTAGGAACAAACTAATATCACCTTACTTTAGTTCTGAATTTTGCAAGACATTTCAGTCTCAGGTAAGTGAACGTAATTAACAGTTTAGCAAGAGTCTTTATAATGGTAGACACAGTGCATCTGTTGTTACATAATCTAGCTTTCCTCATGTTTGATTCTTTCCTGCATCAACCTCATTGACTAACCTTCAAATCCACATTCTTGAAAGCGTTTGAGAAGAAAGATTAATTTCACATCTAACACTTAAAAATAGGCCTCTGCTAATGTATTGCTGCCACTCACTTCCCTGCCTTGTATTAATGTCATCACTGTCAAGTCCCTCTCCCATATATTTTATTTTTATTTATTTATTTTAAGATTTATTTATTTATTTATTTATTTATTTGTTTGTTTGTTTGTTTGTTTATTTATGCAAGCACTGGGTACAGTCAGAAGCGCGGGAGGGTGAGAGAGTTCCCCAGAGACAGAGCCAGGAGCAGAGCAGGCAGAAGGACGGAAGTACACTGCTGAGGGGAGCAGCGGGCGGCAGGAGAGGTCTGCGCGCCATGTGGGACCCTCCTCCAGTGGCCGGGGAGCAGCCGGGGATCGAACCGGTGCTGCAGAGGCTGCGGGCAGCTTCGCAACCCAGCGCTCAACTGCTGCGCCACTGGGGAGGCCCTCCCATATATTTTAAGTCTTTCTGGAGTCAGGTTCCCTTGGTTATGATGATCTTTGGGTAAATCCCATTTTAAAGGATTCATTCCATTGATGCTTGCCTTCCGGTCAGCTGCTGACACAGCTCGGAGACCTTGTAATGTCTTGGATCTTGGAGGCCCAGGGGCTCAGAGAGCACCTCTGCTTCTAAGAAGCCTTGGAACCCTGAAGCAGAGTGAATACATGAATGTGTTCAAATTCCCTGTGTCTGTGAACATTCCAGCTACTGCTATTACCCAGAGGCTGCCTGAGAAACAGCTATGGGAAAGTGTGACTAATTAGCAAAGCTAGAAATAAATTAGCAGTCTCCTCCATTTTGAAAACAGTTTTTGAGCAAAGGAAAATAACTTCTTATTTTAGTTTGTAAACTCCATGTTCAGGGTCTAAAAATGACACTTTCCTCTTTCCGCTTCAACTGAACATGCTTTTGGCAGTCGCCTCTGCCCTGTGTGGGTCTAAACTAAGTCTTTTTCTTTTTTTTTTTTCTTAAAGTTTAATTATCTGGAAACTCTTTCCAAGAACTTGCCTCCTTTTACAAAGAAAGATGAAGATGAAAACAAAACAGCGGTTCAAAGTGAATCTGATCTTCGTCTAGGTATTGGGATCCTTTAGCTCTTACCTCCTATTCATGTGCTTAATTGAAGAATATTTAATAGCAGCCTCATAAAGCATAACTCGCTTTTACTACCTTTTGTCTCAAAAATAGCTCATGATACAACCTATTATGACTTCTGACTTGTGTGTTGAGGCTTGACTGAGTTATATGAGGAAACCAAGTTGTAAATTAAAGCTAGTGTTCATCCTGTGTACTAAAATTTACCTAAAAACATTAAGAAGACCTGACTAATAACAAACCCACACAAATAAAAACAATTCATCTCTGGCAGGGAGCCAAGCATGGAGGAACAATGGAGAAAGCAAAGCCCCTTTGGCAAACAGTGAGCAACTTGGACATCCTCGTGCCAAAACTATGAAACTAGATCATTATTTAACTCCATATACAAAAATTAATTCAAAATGGAATGAAGACTTGGATATAAAGCCTGAAACCACAAAATTTGTAGAAGAAAACATAGGAGACACATGCCTGGATATGTATTTGGGGACTTAACTCCAAAGGTCTGGGAAACAAAAGTTCAAATAAACAAATAGGACAACATCACACTAAATGGCTTCTTCACAGTGAAAGAAACCACCACACAAAAAAGGTAGCCAATGAACTAGAAGATGTTTCCACATCATATGTCTGACCAGGGGTTTAGTTCCAAAGTATATAAAGAACTCACACAGCTCCACACAAAAAGACAAATTACCCATTCAGCAAAATGAGCAGAAGATCTGAGTAGACACTTCTCTAAAGAAGGTCTAGATGGCCAACAAGGACATGGATGAATGCTCAACATCACTTAAAAGAGAAACTCAAATCCAAACCACAGAGGCACGACCTCGCTCCTGTGAGAATGACCTATATCAAAATCTGGAAACCACAAATGATGGAGAAGCTGTGGAGGAAAAGAAACACTCATTGCTGGGGGGAATGAACCCCATAGGGTGCAGCCCCTATGGGAAATGGTGTGGAAATGCCTTTAAGAATCTAAAACTATTTCTCAGTATTCTAAGTATTTATCTGAAGAATATGAAATTATGAATACAAAAGAAGCATGCACCTCTCCTCATTACCCACCTGCAAATGACTGAATAAAGAAATGGTGGGGGATACATTCAATGAGATACTGCTTGGCTAGATGAAATAGTGCCCTTTGGAACAACATGGATGGACCTTGAGACGATTGTGCTCAGTGAAATAAGTCAGAAAGTGAGAAACAATTACTAGGTAGCCTCACTCTTTTGTGGAATGTAAATAACCAAAGAAAACAAACTGATGAAAATAATTCTTAGCCTATTGAAAAAATAGGGTGGTTGTCAGAGGGGAGGGGGTGAAGGGATGGGGGACACCACTTGACTGTGTGGTGGCCTGGAGTGTCAATAGAGGTTGAGTGAGGCCCATGCACCTGTCAGACTGGGACGCCATAATCATGTCTTTAGAATGATTTGTAAGCCAGTGGTAAATCAAAATCTGACTTAAAAATTTCTTTTAATTAAAAATAAAGGGCCTCCCCTGGTGGCACAGTGGTTGAGCGCTGGGCTACGAGGCTGCCCGCAGCCTCTGCAGCGCCAGTTCAATCCCCGGCCATCGGCGAGGGTCCCACAAAAAAAAAAAAAAAAAAAAAGTATGCCATAAACATAAGTCCAAAAGAAGGAACAGTGAATTCCTGTGGAGTTTGGAAATGAGAGACAGGGAGAAGTCACAGGAATGAAGACTGATGGAGCTAGTGCTGCCACCTCCTGCTCCTTGCACAGAGAAAACCGGCAGTCGAGCTAATCTCCCTTGAGAGGGTGTGAGGCCACCGAGGGTGTTCAGTATTCCAGCAGCCAAGGGCTTCAACCCGGGTGCATGCTCTCGCTCTAGCTCTCGGTCTCTCTCTCTCTCTCTCTCTTTCACACACACACACACACACACACACACACACACACACACACATCAAAATGCATTTTCATGCCCAGTACTTGATAAATATCTTTAAACTGTTAAGTCTTTCCAAAGATGGAGGGAGACTGGTATGGGGGTGGGGAACCTCATACATTGCAAAGAAGAACACAAACCTTAGAAGTCATTGGACCACTGTCCAAGATCTCACTTGGTAATACTTGTTTTTCGTTTCCTAGATTCCCAGCCCGATATAACTTCAAAACAGGAAGCCTCAGACACACCAAATCTTCCAGAAGATGCTAGCAAGGTTATCAGCAAGGCCACCAGCCAGGACCACACTGAAGACTCTACCAAGCCTAGGAGAGGTATGGCGGTCACTGCTCTTGTCTCGTTGTCCCGAGTGAACATTGAGCATTTGTGCAGTCTGGGAGGTGGCCCGGAGGGTGGGGGTATGTTTGCCAGTTACAGCCAAAATTCTGGAGTATCACAGACCCTGGAACCTTGGAACTTTGTAAGGCTTCTTAGCCCCTAAAAATATTTCAAAAAATATTTGAGGTTGAAGGAAATAAAAGGCAAACACGTTTTTTAGGTTTGTTATTTTATTTTGTGCACCCCAAATTAAGAGGCAGTCAGTTATTTTACCAACAAAGTGAGTTTATATGGAAACAATAACAAACTTTTGAGCAGCTAGTGATTTCATAGCAGAACTGAAATTGGCATCTATTTTTCAGTAATATTTTGGCCTGCAGGTGCAAGAAAAGAAACAGAAGATGTAGTCTCTGTCTCACACAGCACATCCTCTTTATGGGTTGCAGAAGCTGGAGCAGAGATAATACAGAATAAGACCTAATTCAACTAAATATGATTGGTCAAAAAAAAGGAAAAGTAGTACTTTAAATTGTGTAGATAAATGTGCACCCATTGATCCCTGGGGCCATATTCCAAATTGAGAGCTTGATGAGAATCTTCTGGTGTGTCCCAGTTACCTCTTATAGGGTAACCACAGGGTTACCCCACACCACAGGGGTGTGGATAAATGAAGAGACTCATCTACATAAGGCTTTTGCCTTCCTTATTTTAAATATTTTCTCTCTTATAGGATTTATTTAGTGGATGACTTTGATGCCTGTGTGAGCCAGTCCTTGTTCTAGGCATGAAAACATAGCAGTAAAAATGCCAAAGTCTTATAGAGATGTATGTACTGTGGGGAGACCTAGACAATAAATAAGTAAAGAGTGGATTAATTTAGGTTTTAATCCATGTTATCACATTAATAATACATTATAATGTTTGAGCGTGTCTTGGGACAGGACAGCATCCCATTGGGGCATTAAAGGTCCCTCTGTGAAGGGACAATCACACCAAGACAAGAACAAGAATGAGCAGCCATGCAAAGACTGGGGCAGAGGAATATTTTAGGTAGTGGGAAGAAGAAGTATGAGTAGAAAAGAAAAGGCACATTACTAGAAGTTAAATGTGTGAATTCAAGTCTGCGTACCCTCAGCTTTCAAGAATTGGTTTTCAAGTTTGTCTTTGACCATCTGTTTGGTTTCCTCTATTCCATATATAAGTGACACTACGCTGAAGACACATCCAAGTTCAACTCATCAAAGGCAGAATCGCTGGACTTTTCAGAATCTTGTAGAATCTTTTCTTTGTCTATTTCTTTTTTTTAGTGATGCTAGTAGTCCCTGCTCTGCCCATCTCTCTGGGTTGTTGCTAGAACCAACACTAGGTAAAACCTCTTTGCAAAATGTAAAGATACAAAACTAGAATTAACAAAAGCCTTCCTTCCTTTAAATAAGATTTTTAAAAGGGAAAGAACAGCTTCCCAAACTGGCTTAGGTTCTTTTATGTATTCCATTCCGGTCTTCCCTCAAATGTCTTTGAATAAAATGTCCATATGGCATAATTGAAACTTTCTAACAGAACCAGAACCTTTTGAGCCGCTGAAAATCCCAACCCAGTCGTTGCTGCAGGATGTTACAGGACAAGCAAGGAAAGAGAAAGTGAAATTACCTCACTATTTGCTGAGTTCCAAACCCAGGTCTCGACCTCTGGCAAAGGTAAGAAGGACATGGGACAAATTCCCCACAGCCAAATCAGTGTGTATTGTGGTCCTGACTCTTTGACATTGATTCTGGCCATGGTTTGCTGCTATTTGATGTATAGTCTGTCCAACCATGACCGCCTTGAAGTCCCACTGAAATAAACTAAAACAGGGCTTTGCTAGAATCTACTAGGCTCATGTAAGGAATTTTATGAGTCAGCTGTTAAACCATCTGTAACTAATAATTAGCCATGTTGGGCGTATTTACACCACAGGAATCGGCAAATGCTACTTTATCAAAGTTCTTCTCGGGGAGCCAGCTGGCCCACCTCTGGCCACCTTTCTCATGGCTTAGGATAAAATTCACACCACTCAGCAATGGCGTGACCCCATTTGCTTCCTTCTTCCCCTTACCTTGCCCCAGACTCACTCTAGACTTCAGCTATTGTGGGTTTCTCTTCATTCTTTCAAAGCCCCAAACTCCTTCTTTCTCAGAGCCTGTAAGATTAGCACTGCTCCTCAGCTCTGTTGGGAAGCCTGCCTTGAGCCCACTAGTCAAGAGCTCACAGTGATGCTTTGAAACTGTCACTGCACATCATGCTCATGGCCTTCACAGAATGATCTGCAATGTATGCTTCTCAAATTTTAATGTGCATGTGTATTACTTAGGGATCTTGTTAAATACAGATTCTGCCTCACTGAGTCGCCTGTGGGGCCTGAGATTCTGCCATTTCCAGCAGCTCCCAGGTGAGGTCAGAGCTGCCTGTGTGAGAAATAACACAGGGGGGAGGGCAGTGTTTCTTCCAGTGACAGTGGCAACACTTGAGAACTTTTATATATGTGCAGACACGGGCACTACCCCAGGCCCACTGACTGAGAAACTGAAGATGGAGTCAGCAATTTGGGGTTAACAAGTCTTCCAGGTGATTCTGATGGCAGCTGAAGTATGATGATCATTCATACAGAGGAAAGGGCACAAATCTTAAATCAGGAAAATTGGAGTTTGAAACTCTACCACTTACCTCTTAAGCAAATTATCTAGCGTTCCAATTCTGGACTTGAACTTCCTTCTCCTTAAAACAAAGCCTGAGGCATTTGCTTACAGTGCTGTTGCAAGGACTACATGAGACCTTAAAGGGTTATTTCCTCCCAAGACACACAGCTTTTTTCCTCCGGTGAGAGTCTGTTTCTTCTTTTGGAAATGCCTAATCGAACCATTTTATTTTATTACTTTTTCTTTCATGCAAAGGTGCACAATCCAGTTGGAGGCAGAGTGAAAACATCGTCTGTTGAAGCTGCCACCATGAATAAACCAGACTCATCCCCTTTCGGATTCCACCTGCTCCCCTCATCAGTGAAGTTTGGGATGCTCGAAGAAGGACAAACCTATACGGCCACTGTGAAGCTCAAGAATGTTGGGGTGGACTTCTGCAGGTGAGCGAGGCCCCCAGTGTCTGCTCAGGTCACCCCTCCCTCTCTGCAGTTCACCTTTGGCTATACCGGTGAACGTTGATTGCACTGAGCTGTGATTATACCTTGAATCCTGAGTCTTCACATCATTGTGTCCTTTCATTTATTCCTGAGCAAGTCAGTATTAGCCAAGCTTCCACTCTGTAAGGGGCACTTATTGCCCTCCACCCCCATCAATCATGAGTCATCCTTTGGTAGAAACAACTCAAGGTCTGAGCTGCAGTAATGAAAAATGAAGTCGCACAAGTGCTACAATAACTAAAACACAGAACCTGGGACTCTCTCAGAAACCACCACTGACCCTCATGACAGCTGACCTTTGTTTGCACTTTATGAGCAAAACGTGAATTTAATTACATTAGTTCTACATCATCGAGGCAAAAGGAAAATAAAAGTTTTAATCATTTGACTTTGAAAATCTGACTTGGAATCAGTGACAAATACCTGTGCTCCCAGTCTAGACACCCTGTTGAAAGTATACCCTGACATTCAGGGGCAAGAGAGAGCCTGTCCTCCACTGCTGGATCAAAACCAGTAGGGTCTTAGAGCTTGTAGAGCTGAGAGACTATCACAAAGGACACATGGGATCACTTGTGTTAAGGTCTTGGAGGCCAGAGCAAGGCCAGACTTCACACCTCCCAGCGCAGGTTCCTGGCAGCTGTCCACCTCCCCGGGGGGAGGGGTTCCCCATCAAGGGTGCATTTGCCTCAGCCTCGGTGTCACCCCGAGGACAGTGGTGAGTCCCCTGAGCATGTTTTTATTCTGGACTCAGGCTTGGCCTCCGGCGGAGCCCCACGCATGGGCCATTTAGAAGGCCTGTGGCCCGTTTGAGTTGAGTCAAATCCCCAATCTCAGGAATCATGTTTTCTTCCTCAGAAACAGCCTGATGAGGGGCACAAGCCACCAGAACAGGCAGTATTGGTTTTTGCGATTTTTGCCAAACAAAGTGGGTGGGGAGCACTAGAGCAGCAACCTCGGCCTCATAAAAGCCACCCAAGCGCGTCCTGCGTGGAGCTGCAGCTGGAGAGGTTGCCCTCCCGGCTGGCTCACTTCAGCCACCGCGGCCCGGGGTCAGCTCAGAGGTGGGCTCGCCGTGGCATTTTAATTTACTCCAGGCCTTTAACCTTCAGCAGCACCCACAAACCACAGGAAGGGAAACCCATCCACAGGCGACACGCGCAAGCCCTGGCTTCTCTGAGCCTTTTCTGTTTCCCTCCTACCAACCCCACCCCACCCCGGCGCGAGGCCGGCTCCCGGGCTGCACTGCCTTCCAAAAGCACCTTTATTCTGCAGCTTTTCTAACACCATGGGTCCCCTGTGAATTTTAACACCGCCCCAATTTTCTAACATCGCAGTAGCTTCGCACGCATGTGTTCCATGATGGCCTCAGTTTATCCCCATCTTCTTGCCTGGCAGGTTTAAGGTGAAGCAGCCCCCACCCAGCACGGGACTGAAAGTGACTTACAAACCTGGGCCGGTAAGTGCTGTGTGCTCACTGTGTGTGTGTGTGTGTGTGTGTGTGCGTGTGTGCACGCGCCTCTGTGACTTTTTCCAGTGAATCGGGTCTTTGAGTCCTTCTATCCCTGCGGTGTAACCGTGTGTGCGTCTGCTTCTTCCAGTGCCCTGCGTAAAAGCTTCCTGCTGTTGGTACAATGTGTGGCTTGAGGTTACTTAATTCATGTAATCACCCTGAAAAAAATCCCGCGTGGAGACAGAGTTAAACTTCCAGTTATGGAAACATTTCTGGAGCTCACATCGCTGGTGCCAAAGCTTTAATTACGTACAGTAGTTTGGAAAACATTTCTAAAAATTAAATATGATGTAATATGCCCTCGGGCAACCAGTTATCTAAAGCTAAACTGCAACAAATCCTTCTGCAAAGTGAAAAATCCTAAAGAAAAATAAGGAATTATCCCATTCTTTAGATTTGATGTAAGCCTGTTCTGTTCTCTTGGTATCTGCCAGAGAATATTATTTAATGACATACTAAGAGCAAGCAGTATATTAAATTCACCAGCTGCTTCATTTCTGCAAGGATCTCTGAAAACATAATTTAAAATCACAACCTGTTTTGAGTTTATCTGATACATTCCCTAAAATGGGATGTCTGGTATAAAATATATGTATTGCCCCTTTAAATTATAACTTGAGAAGTATAACATAAGGTCCGTCTCAAAACAGAACAAAATCATGTTTGTAAATCTGAACATTCATTTCTTGGTCAGTGCATCAGCCTGGTGCCTTGCTGTTGCATGCATTACACCCAACAAGCTTTGGGGTCCTCCCACGTACCCATGATGTGCCAGGCTCCAGGGAGCGTTACAAGTGGGTCAGACTCGTAGGAACTTGAAGAGCTGGGCCTGTAGAGCCCACTCAAGAGACTAGTGACTGAAAGGGTGAGGGGGGAGCCTAGGTAGACACAGGGGTCTTCCCTGTGGATGGGGTACACAGGGTTTGTGGGAACGCTGAGCCAGGCACCTGGTCCCATCACTATCACAGAGCTTTCAGGAGCCTAGAGACCTTGCAGAGGCACAGTCTCGATGCGAGACAGAGCGTCACTGGCATGGCCCAGCAGTCGGTGGCTGACGTGGGGACTGTGCCGCCATGCTGCACAACGTGTTCTTGGCCACTGGGTCCTCTACCTTATTTTTCTCATCTGAGACAGAGGGAGCTTGCATGGATAATTTCTTAGCCTTCCTCCAGCCATAATATCTTATCACCTGCTAAACAGTAGTGTGGACTCCAGCTCCAAAGAGAAATACATTTTGGGATTAGGTCCACTAATCCATGAGCTCCTCTGAAATAATTTATCATTATTGTCCTGGCTCAGGATCGCAGAATCCTCTCAACATAAACCAAAACCAAAAATCAAAGCGAGCTCTTCTTGCACTGTTCTCAGAAGTTAGCGACTCCTTTTCATCTGAAGTAGGGAATATGCCAGAAACCCGCATGACTGCTGGATCGGCCTTTATAGGTCCTAAAAAACCCAGCATGTATTCTTTGAGCTCACTCTACATGCTTAGATTTTTTTCCCCCCATTTTTACTTTTGTCCTTTTTTGATAGTGGTTTTGGCTTGGGTGAAAATATAATCTACAGACTTTTCCACATGTAAATCTAACCACTGTTCGGTTTGGTGAGTTGCCAGCCCTGGATGAATACGCTCAGGGCCCGGTCGCCAGTGGCATGGCAGGACTCCAGGCCCCCGACCCCCATGTCGTCACCCCCACTCTGCTCCCCCCTGTGGGGCTGGGGACCGTGGGCCCGATGCTCAGAAAAGCAGAGGTGTGGAATACCCTCCAGTGCACACACCTTTACAAGCTCAAGGTTGAAAAAAAACGTGGAAAAAGACATTGTTCAGTGCGATTATTTATAAAGCTCTAGCAGAGAAAGAAAAATCCATTTGTGTCTAATTGCTTTCCATGTGGTAGTTTTTGATTTATTTTTTCCAGATAACTGTTCTCAGGTTTGCTTTGTGACCTGCCTCCTGGAGAGGCCGTGTAGGAGCATAAACAGTTCTTTCTTTCCTGGCTCCTGTTCTCTTCAAGGAAGAGGCAAGAAGCCTGTTCCTTGATGTGTTTCTTCTTCCAGGTATATCAGGTTTCTCCTTTGTTGGTACAAATCTGCATGTAGCTTTCAGACCAAAGCAGTCCCGCATGTAGACTTAATTCTGTCTCCCTCTGCTGGCTTTGTCGGGTTATGGACATTGGGGAATAGTGTAAACTGAGGGGCCCGGCAGGGAAGGGGTGGGATTCACCAGGTCTCTGAGAGGCAATTTAAGATTAAATTTATATTTCTCTTAGATGAAATTGATCTTATCTGCAAGGATTCCAATAGATAGAAATTTGCTACTGACATTTGAGAACTAGCACAATTACAGGCATCGTAAGAATTTGCCGTCAGGATACCTCCAGTGCCCTGGCATGTAGGTTCCTTGTGTCTTTTTCTAAATAACCCAGTTTTCTCCTTAAACAATTTATCCTGAGTCCTTGGGATAAATTGAGAGGAATAAATTCATGGAAGACTTTAAATACTTGGCTTAAATTTTATCACATAACCGTCAGACTCATTGAAGATTCCTGCTCCGGTGGGTGATGTAAGCATATCTTTAGAAAAATGGATCCAGAGTTATTGTACAGGCTATGTTAGGAGATAAGAGTGAATGGATCTGCAAATAACCATGGGAAGGTTGCTTCAAGAGGCCGAATGTAAGATCAGAAACTCTAGGGTGCACCAGTAACGATGACAGAGGCACATGGATGAAAGCCGTTTGGCAGGGGAACTGTCAATATATTTATCTCAGTTATTGAGCTCATTACACCCTGAATCACCCATTAACTCAATGGAATTCTCCCTCACAAATCAATGGAGTACTTCTTCTCAATGCTGTTAACAGCTTTTCTTCATTGAGGTCAAATTTATCCATGAGGAAAATGAGTAGAGCGTTTAAGTAACTTGCCCCGTTAGCATGAAAGCCGAGACTTGGACCCAGATAAGTCTGACCCCAGCAGTACGTTGTGTCTTCCAGGTGGCATCTGGTTTGCAGGCGGAGCTGAAAGTGGAGTTATTTGCCATGGCGTTGGGAGAGGATGGCGCCAAGGGATCAGTGCAGATCTCCCACAATATTGAGATTATGACTGAGCATGATGTCCATTTCTTACCTGTGGAAGCAAATATCCTTTTCAGTTTAATTGGAGGAGCCATGTATAGTGCAATCGCAATGTAAGGGCAGGAATAGACACAGTGCAGGTTTCCTACAATCCAGCAGACCGGGTGAAGGAGGAATCAGAGTCCTTAGTGGCTTTTTGCAGGTCTTTTTATTGGGATTTACCCAGTACACGGCAGGTAAGGCTGCTGGGGGGCCGGGAGGCTGGCAGGCCTCCCAGCCTTTAGCAAATCCTCACTCTATCTGGGCTCTCCGGCCTTCTCTCGGCTTCTGCTTCTCTTGCTTCTCTCTCGGCTTCTCTTTTGGCTTCTGCTGACGTCCCCGTGATGCCGCCCTTAAAAGCCCAGTCTCAGCCCAGGTGAATCCCATCTATCTCTGCCCACACCCTACTCCAGGTGCCCGCCATCAGGCACGCATTCAGGACCGCAAGGATCCATCATCTATCCTGATGGCGGGAGGGCAGAACAGCCTGACATTTTCTTTACCCTACACATAAACATTAGTAATCTTGTTCGGCATAGGTGAACATGAAAGTTTGGATGGATAATCACTGAATTAACATACATTTCTTTATGTTGATCTCTTGAATCTAGATATATAGACATGAAGTAATCTATTATATGCCAGGTAAACTCTATGAAATATCAAACCTAGAAATGGAAATTGGACTATCTTCAAAGACTGATATAATCTATAGCAGGAAAAAAGTCCTCACCCTTGATTCCTCTATTATTTTAGCCTCCAAATGACTTGAATTATTTGCGACTTTGTGTTATGGGTTGTATCTATTTGATATTTGAGTTGAGTCTCGTGGAATGCAAAACCTTTTGACGAAAGGAAACAAAATAGAAAGAGTGACCAAGTCCATGGCAATTGATAAGCTCCAGGTTTCTGTGAGGACTAGCAGGGAGGTCAGTATGTGAGAGCTTAGGGAATATTAGGACATACAGAAGGAAAATTGGTAGGAATAAAATCATGGAAGACTTTAAATACTTGGCTTAAATTTTATCACATAACCAGTCAGACTCATTGAAGATTCCTGCTCCAGTGGGTGATGTAAGCATATCTTTAGAAAAATGGATCCAGAGTTATTGTACGGGCTATGTTAGGAGATAAGAGTGAATGGATCTGCAAATAACCATGGGAAGGTTGCTTCAAGAGGCCGAATGTAAGATCAGAAACTCTAGGGTGCACCAGTAACGATGACAGAGGCACATGGATGAAAGCCGTTTGGCAGGGGAACTGTCAATATATTGATGTCAATTATTGAGCTCATTACACCCTGAATCACTGTTATTAACACTTCAGTTTCTCTGTTCTGTTCATAATTACATTTTTTGGGTCATTCACTTTTCTGAATCTTACTGTATCTCTTTGGTTAGCCTTTTTTAATTCTTTGGCTTGCTTTTTTTTAAATTTTTTTATTAGTTATGTTTTTTCTTCAACATAAAATTTTTATAAATTCTGGAAAGTTGGTCTCTCCTTATGATGTTATATTCCCTGGAGATCTCAAGGTGCCACATGTTATATATTCTTTGTCTGCACATTTTGCTGCTTTCGAGTTCTCCGCTTAAAATTATTTGCAGCAATAGGTCAGACAACTAAACTACCTTTACTTCTCCTGTAGGCGGCACTATTTTATTTGATTTTAGGTTTTCTGTTTGTTTTTTAGTTTTCTGTATGTTTATTTTTTGCCTCTGCTGGCTTCCATGGGTACTAAAACCTGTTTTTAAAGTCACTGAGTCACAGGGAATGAGAGAGACCTGGAGGGGACCCAGCTGCTAGTGCAAATGTGCTGGGGAGGGAGAAAGCCCTGACTCATATTTGTGACTCCGGACCTGAGATTTTTGTAGTCTGTGAGCTCCACGTGCTTCACAAGGTCAGCACCTGTCCCAAGGGGTGCGGGAGGGGAAGTGTGGCTCAGCACACTGTCCATTTTTTTTTTTTAAGATTTATTTATGCATAGAAGAAGGGTGTAGGCCAGAGGGGGGCGGGGGGGTGAGAGGATTCACCAGAGACAGAGTGGGGAGCCGAACAGGCAGATCTACTGAAATACTATTGCTGAGGGGAGCAGCGGGGAGACAGGAGAGGTCTGCTGCACCATGTGGGTAGCTCCCTGGCCGGGGATCCAACTCATGCTGCAGTGGCTGGTGAGAGCTTGAGAGCGCTGAGACTTAGCCCCTGTACCACCAGGGAGGCCCCCCACACTTTTCACCAGGGAGCATCTGGCCTGTGGGGAGCATTCCAGCTAATTCTCTGCATCTCTCCCCTTAGTCAAGGGTGTGTGCAGCCACACTCTTTAGCTCTCCCCTCCCCACAGCCCCTACTGAGTCATGGCAGTGACAAGTACAATAGAAGACATGGTAAATAGTAAAGGGGGTGTGATAAGTGTTAAGAAGGAGTGCAATTTGAAATGGGGTGGTTAGGAAAGACCTTTTTTTCCTGAGTATTTATGGCAGACTTCTCCCATAGTCATAGAAGGAAATTAACCAAAGAACCATTTTTTTTACTAATTTATCGTCTTCCCCTGCACACAGGTTATTAGATGCTCTTCCAGTGTACCCAAATTTTGCTGCTGATGCCAGCAATTAAGTCTCTTTGCCTGTGTGCTATCAAGATTTATATTTCCTTTCTTATGGATTAGAGATCACCTAATGAGGGAGAGTTTTATTAAGATCTTATATCTACCCACAATGCCAGCCAAGATAGGTTGCAACCTGTTTCCCAAGATTTATTCCCTTCTCCACCAAGAAGCATGAAATATGGATCTTGATATGTTTTGGGGCCTAGTTATAGTGAGTGATGGTTACTATAGAAAGGGCAATCATAGCCTAGAAACAGACACTAGAAGAAACAGAAGAAATTCTGTGAGGAATATCCATCTTTCATCCCCTAAACCTAAATACATAGTGTCTGCGTTGGACAGAAAAGTACTAAAATTGTCTTAAAACGGTGCTGGGAAAGAGATTCCGATTCTAAAATGTTACCTGGGTTTGTATATACAAATGATATGGTCATGGAAATAATTGCCCTTAATGAATATTTTACCAGTTTTAACAAGCAGGAATTATGCTAAAAGACTGAAAGAATTTCCTCAGGAAACAGAAAATCCCATGATCCAGAGGACTTCCTCTATATTGGGGGCCTTCGTGTCTCGTAAGGTTTCGCACTAGCTCCAGTAAGTAATAATTGGGAATTTTATTTTCATCCATTCAAATTTGAGGCCTTACCTCCTATTTATTTGCCGCTTCTTGTAGCCAAAAACCAGTGAGCCATTGACTTAGCCTGGTAGAATGAAAATGATTGTTTTTAATAACTGTGTAGTAGCCACCCCTTTGCATACATGGTCATATCCTCACACTACCTATGAGATTATTTTTCCCATTTTATAAATAAGGAAACTGAAGGCAGAGACAAGCTCTTAAGTGAATAAGTAAAAATTAACCTACTGCTGCGTGATTCTAAAGTTCATTCTTTTAAGCACTGTTTTCAGTATTGAGCCAACTTTCCAAAGAGCAGAAGGTCAAACATATACCATGATGCCCTTTTGGACTTAAGAAATTGATGAAAACCTGTGGCTTTCAAATGTTCTAGACTTAAAGTCCTCACATAGTCTTAAAAATTGAGAATCCCCAAACCTTTTTTTTTCTTTTTTAAATGTGGGTCATATCTATTGGTTTTTACCAAATTAGAATTAAAACTGGGGAAAATTAAACTTTATGTGAAAATAATGAACCTGGCATATTTGCAAATTTTAAATGTAAAATGTCTGACTTAATATAGACTGCAGTTGAATCCTCAGATCTTTTCTCTATTCAGCATGTCACCAATAGATATAGCCTCTGGAAAACTCCACTGTATGCTCATGAGAAAAGGCAAACATTATCTCATAGACGTTTCACAGGGCTGCTGTTACCAAAACTGTGCTAATTTCTTAGAATACCATAGTCAAGTACCGTAGCCAGCTAGCATAAAAGATATGTTCTTGCAGCTCAGGAGGCCAAAGATCTAAAACCAAGGTGTCAGCAGCGTTGGTCCTTCTGGGGTCTCTGAGGGAAATCTGTCCCCAACTTCTATAGGTGCCAGCAACCCTGGTTTCCTTAGCTTATAGCTGCATCACTTCAATCTCTCCCTCTGTGTCGAGTGGTATTTTCCCCTGTGGATTTCTATGTGTCTGTCTATCCTTGTAACAATCCTACTACTCATTGTATTTAGACTACCCTAATCCTGAATGACTTCATCTTAGCTTGATTGTATCTGTAAGACCATATTTATAATGTCACATTCACAGGTTCCCATAGACATAAATTCTGTGTAGGCAAACCCAATATAATGAACCCCCTGGCCCTCCCAAATTCACATCTATCCCACACACAGAGTACACTCACCCCATCCCAACATTCCAAGTGTTGACCAATTCCAGTCCCAGCTGTCCATACAAAAATCTCATCATATCTCAGTTCAAAAAGGCTTAAATCTCATTATCTAAATCAGAAGTGGGTGAGACTCTACCTATCCTGGTTTTTCCTTCATCTGTTGACCTGTGACACTATACAACCTTGTCAGCTTCCAAATGATATCGGTGGGACGAACATAGGACAGACATTCCGAAGTGAGGAGAAGGAAAGGCGTTAAGGAGTCATTGGTAAAGCAAGTTTGCAAGCCAGCAGGGCACATTTCCAAAGGCTTCGTAGACCTAGAATAATCCTTCAGGGCTTGATCTGCCCTCTGGGCACCACAGAGCCTTTACGAGCCTCCACCTGTAGGCCCTCCAAGGCCTTGTTGGCGCTAGCCTCTCTGGGAGGCAGTTGCATCCTCTGAGTAGCCCATTTCCCGCTTGAAGAACCCCCCAAATCTGAGTATCTCCCTTCATTTTGTAATCTTTGTCCTCCTCAAGCCAGGCAGGCAGTGTTTCTGTTGCTACAACATTCTGGAAACTTCCAGTGGGTGCTATGCCTTTAGACATGAGGTTCTCCACAGGTCCCTCCTGGATCATCTCTACTCTTGGCTCTGCTGGGATGATCGTGTTCACAGGTCGCTAGCCATGTCTCTTCGGTGGGTTTTCCAGCCACACCCCTGATGATCTCTCCAGAGTGGGGATCTGGCAATGTGGATAAGCTCTGATTTTTCCAAATCATCAGGTTCCAGTTCCTCTTTGCTGACCAGTTCCTTCCTCAATTTCTTTTTTCCTCTTACATTTTACTATAAACAAGAGACCAGGTCACAGCTTCCATATTTTGCTTGGACACCTCAGCTAAACATTCAAGTTCATTGTTTACAAGTTCTACTTTTTATCCAAAAGCAGAACGCAAGTCAGTCAAACTTTCTGCCACTTTATAAGAAGGACCTCTTTTCCTCCAGGGCTCAGCTGGTCATTTCTGTCTGACATTGCACCTGAAGCATCTTTAATGTTCTTATTTCCACCAATGTTCTGCTCATGGTATAGAAGCTAATAGAAACCTTCTCTACTATCCTCACCTCAGCAAAATTGCTTTTATGATCATATGTCTATCAAGTCTCTTCAAAATCTAGCCTTTTGCTATCATGTACCTCAAAATTCTTCCAGCCTTTACTCATTGGCCAATTCCAAAGCTACTTCCGTATCTTTTATGGCAGCTCCTCACTTTCTCATACCAAAATCTGCTGTTTCTTGGTGCTGCTGCCACAGCAGCATATTAGCACACACTGAGGGGTTTAAAACAACAGGTATCCTTTTGCAGTTCAGGAGACCAGAAATTTGCAACCAAAGTTATCTGAGGGTTGGTTCCTTGTAGAGGCTGAGGGACAATTTATCCTGGGCCTTTTTCCTGAGCTTCTGGTGGTAGCTGTGATCCTGGCTGTTCCTTGGCTTGTGGCTACATTCCTGTCATCCCAATTCTACCTCTTGTCACATGACTTTCTTCCCTGTATGTCCTCACATGGTGTTCTTATAGGGTAAGCAACAGTCATTGGATTTCAGGCCCACCCTCAAGTAGTATAACCTCATCTTGACTAACTGCTTTATCCAGTGACAGACACTACTGCCTCTCTGGTCACTGTTGCACATTCTCTGCTGGAGACAGGACTTAGGACATGTGCCACTGAGAAGCAACTGAATACCAAGTATGCTACCCAACACCTAACTGCTAGATAGGGAATGTTCAGGCTGTTCAGTCTATACTTCTTGTTACGAATGTATCATCTAAGCTTATATAAAACATAAGTATATATTAAATACCTAAACATTAAACATATACACACACATATATAAAATCCATATTTATGTTTTCATACACTTAGATGTTTTACTACAAATAAACCATGCAGGAGCTTTCGTGGCACCGCCTGCTTCTATCAGTACCACGCTTCATTTGTAGAGATAGTTTTTCATTAAATAGTTTTTGTACTAAGTATCATAGGTAGCCAGTAGCTGACTAAGCCAATAAGTGCTGTCTTAATAACCAGAAATTTGCTTGGCCTGGTAATTTTTAATTGATTTGTTAACCTCAAACCGCTAGGATTAAGGTATTTTAAGTTTTCTGACAAGAATGACAATTCAGCTACTAATCATACACATTACTCCTTTTCCCACAAGTCCCCCTTCTCTCTGATTAGTGTAGCAAGAGCAGTACTTGATGACATGTACATCTAAGTGCCCCCCGGAACTTGTTAGGGTTTGCAACCATCCAAAATGTTAATGGGAAAGGCTGCGACTTCTTTATGTTCTGACGAACAACTGTAGAAAAACACCAACAGGTTCAGCCTTTTGTTCTCCTCAGAAATTAAGATGGCTTTCCAGAATGGAACAGTTCCTTTCCCTGGTAGCAGGAGCAGCCTCCTGAAGAAAAAGTTGATTCTTCAGACTGGAAGGCGCCTAGAATGGCATCCTATTCTCTCAGGCTAGGCCGAAAGTCCCTCCCCTCTCATTCTGTCCAACATATGACACTAACATATTCCTGACGTCACTTCAGGGACTGTTTGCTTAAGGAACAAACAGACTCGTGGTTTGGGACAGAGAGCCACGCCACAAGGACCAAAGCTCTTTGCAGACTGAGAAGAAAATGGTACAACACAGTCACTGACATGAAATGGACAAATTCGTAAACACAAAATGCTGAAGCTGACTCTAGAATAGAAAGTCTCAATAGAACTGTAACTAGATGGTTGAATTAGGGATTTAAAAACGTCCCAAGTTTTTTAATAAAAGCAAGACCAGGCCCAACGTAGGTGTCAATTTCTTTTCCTAAAACATTCCACCTCCCCAAATTCCTTCCACATCTGTGTGCATGCGTGTGTGTGTACAGTGCATTCACCCAGAATCGCAGCTTGAATACTCTTTAATTAGAAACAACTGTTTTAGAGAAGAATGAAGTTTGCAATTATGGTATTCTTATATACAGGTAAAACAACCTGCAGGAGGTAAAGTCTAAGGCTGTTCCAGATCATTTTTCTGGTGCATTTCAGCTCTGTAAGTCCATGACTCTGCATTTATGGGCAGACGATGATCAGTTATGCATTCGGCTGTTATAGTAGGGGGTAAAATCTAACAGGTAACAAGTCACCCAACACATTTACTGCCATAAAAAAATAAGAAAAAATTTGAAATGTTAAGTACAACTCCAGTGAATAAATACCTAGTTAGAAAAAAAGATTCTTTGCTCCCTGCTAGAAGGGACAGGAGACAGCTCAATATTAAGAGCCTTTAAACAAACCTTTCAACAAGTCAGACGCTTAAGTTCAAGAAACAGAGCTGCAGTCCCACAAGGGAATTCCCACAGGCAAAGCTGGACCCCAAACCTGACGTCTTCTGCAACGCGACGGCCTGTCTCGTGTTTATTTCCGATGACACCAGCTCTCCCGTGGCCCACTTGCAAGTCCTCTAAGAGAACCAGTAGAAAAAGGTTCCACATTTCTGTCCTAAGTCACCGTTAAAATCAGCTTCTCCCGCTTTCTCCTCTTCCTCTTCTTCTCCTCCAGCTGGCTGGTAGCATCAGCAAAAAACATCACTTCACTTTTTGCCTCCAATTCCCTCTTGAGATAATCAAGACCTGCCATGTTGAAGCCAATGACGTCCTGCGGGAGGAATCCAGGAGATTAAACACACCGTCTCGACACACGGTCAGCCGCGGGGCAGGACTGTGAGACACAGGGAGCCAGAGCTTCAGCGCCGCCAGCCTTCCCTGGCTAGACCTTTTCTTCTGTTTTCTCGCTCCCCAACCGCCACCCCCATCCTCACCAGCTCCAGTGAGAAAGCTTGTCCCAAACAGTGCCAAGGACAAGCCCACACTAAGATACTTCTACGGCACACTATGATTTTCCCCTCATCACCGCATCGCTACAGACACACTTACCCGGACTTGTCTGACTTGTGAAATAGTAGTTTCCCTTAATTTTTCAATCACTGGAACAAGCATTTGGTTGCTGGTGATCTGCCCAAAGTGAATCCTAGTAGGAATTTAAAACAGTTATACTGCAGATAGGGGTAGAAGGTCTGGTTCTACTTTCACCTTCCAGAAATTGCAAATCGATATCAAAACCAAACAAGATATTTCACCACGACGTGGGAGTGCTGCTAGAGAAAGAAAAGCTCAAGAAATTTCTTCCCTACTCAGTTCTGTCTGATAAGTTTTAAAAATACCATCCTGAACCTGGAACAGCTGGCACTTTTCCCAACAATATACCAGGTGGTCACAGATTCTGAAAATGGCATTTGATGGAAAGCTTCTAAGACATAAATACACAACAAAGGTTTACTAATACTTCTAATGAAGCCACAGCAAAATAGACAATCACTGATTAGAAAGTCAAAGTCTGACCTGGAAAGCCAAAATGCCCTGGATGCATTTTTCCCCTTCACCGCCCCACCCACATCTCCTGGAGCAGCGTCCCCCACAATCCTGACAGGCTAGAAACATTCACGGTGCTTCCCTCAGTATCAGGGGCCCTGACTCCTCAGCCCACGTGCACGGCAATAAGAACCAGCAGCCAGAGCGTTAGCGTGAATTTATACGTTCCCAGCTCCTGGCTGGCCAGTTTTTATTTTGTCATCTTTTTTTTTTTATTTGAAGATTTATTTATTTGTGCATACAAGAGCTGGGATACAGGCCAGAGATGCGGAGGGTGAGAGGATTCACCAGAGACAGAGCAGGGAGCAGAACAGGCAGACTGACTGAAACACACTGCTGAGGGGAGCAGTGGGTGAGTCAGGAGAGGTCTGCTGTACCATGTGGGCAACTGCTCCCTGGCCAGCGAATCGAACTCGTGTTGGAGAGGCTGCAGACAGCTTCATAGGTTGAGTCTTAACCCCTTGCGCCACCAGGGAGGCCCGATTTTGTCTTAATGGCGTTGTAAGACAATGCTCAGCTTGGCTCAGTGCCTGCTGCCTACTACCACAGCCGGAGGCTGCAGCTGTGGGAAACAAAAATATGTCCTAAAGGCTTTATAAACACATCCTTCTCAATTACACAGTACCAACATTTCTTCATATTTAAGGTTTTTTTTTTTTTTTCCAGGTTTCATTATTTTGACACTAGTTTACATAACCACGTGGCCCCAGCAACTCTCCAAGGCCTCAACCCTATCGCCTGCTCCCCTCAGCCCCTCCTCAGCCCCTCCCTGCCCTCTGGTCACCAGTGTGGTTTTCACAGACTCTAAGAATTATTCTTTGTTTTGCCAGCTTAAGAACATACGCTAATGAACTTATTTCCTTCTATGTTTCTTGTTCCTTCTGTATCTGCCCCTACTTCTCCATTTGTATTTGCGGAGACCTGGAGACTAAATCCACTGTTCCTTAAATTGCTATTCTAAGGACAAAACGATTTAGCTTAAACAGTTGGAAAGAAACAGCAGATGAGGCAACTCAGCTGTTCAGTAGGGGGTTTCCAGAGAGAGACAACAGCAGGGCTTGGCAAGCGGGGCGACCTGGGGCTTTGCACTGGCATCGAAACACTCTCGAATCAAAGAGCCGGCCCCACTGTGTCCTAAGGACAAGGCTGCTTCTGAGGGGCAAGAAGTAACTGTGTCAGAGAGCTCTGAAGTTCCAGAACAGTTTCTAAACATGAAACGGCAGATTTCTTAATCCCGGAGCAGTGACAGCTCAGTGTAGCTGCCGTGAGGCAGTCGGGCTGAGCAGGTGCCTGTTCCGGGGGGAAGGAGGTTACCTGAGGAGAAAGAAGAGGCACCGACACAGGAGTTCAATGTCAGTGCCCTGCTGGATGAATTCATTCAACAGCGTGAGGACGTCAGGGACGTAAGAGAAAGGCAGCACGAGGAGCGATTCCTCCAGCTCACTGAAAAGAAAAACATACACATTAAAAATGCCACCTTTCTTGGTCAAATCTTAAATACTTTCCCCTGCTGTTTTTTCTACTGTTTTTATACTCAGTCATTTAAATATTTCTCTGTGTTTGAAATGGTTCTCTTTTTTTCAAATGTTTTAATTTTAATATTTTAATCTGTCTGACATATTTTGGTCCATGACATGGTAGGAGAATCTACCATCACTCCCCAGGTAGCCAGTTTCTCCAATCATTTTTCTAATTTCTCTATTCTTATAGGAGACTTCTTTTATCACTTACTGAGCCCTTCTTTTTCAGAGCTTTAGAGTCTGTTTTAATAATCAATTGATTCTGACAACAATTCTGTACTGTTTTAATTTTGCTTATTTTGTAGTTTTTTAATCTCAGGATAACTCCCTCTTGTTCGGTTTTGGCTTGTTTTACTTTACTTGAATCATTTAATCGATCCTAATTTGAAATCTCAAGAGGATTTCAATTAGGGCACAAACCTATAAATTAGTTTATGATTTATAATTAATTTTTTAAAACAGAAGCTTTCCATCGGGATATGCATGTTACCTCCATTAATCTAAATTTCTTTTTACATTTCACTAGTGAAGTTTCATCATTATCCTGGGATAGGTTCTGTTTATTTCTTGTTAAAGCTGTATTTAGATACTGTGATTTATTAAAACCCGTTAGAGAAAGGAGAAGTAACTAAAAATTCACAGGTAAAAATTACAAGTGACTCACAAATAAGATAATTTTAACTTCACTAAAATCAAAAGAAATGAAAATAATATACCACCTCTTGCCTCTCTAATTTTCATAAAATTTTTTTTAAAGATTTATTTATTTATGCATACAAGAGCTGGGGCATGGGCCAGAGATGCAGCAGGTGAGAGGATTCACCAGAGACAGAGCGGGGAACAGAACAGGCAGGCTGACTGAAATACACTGCTGAGGGGAGCAGCGGGCGAGCCAGGAGAGGTCTGCTGCGCCATGTGGGTTGCTCCCTGGCGGGCCGGGGGTTGAACTTGTGCTGTAGAGGCTGCGGATAGCTTCATAGTGCGGTGCTTAACCCCTTGCACCACCAGGGAGGCCCTTACAGAATTTTTTTTTAAAGTCCTGTTCAAAAATTAGTACAAGCCCTCTGGAAAGTGACTCAGCACCATAAACCTTTAGAAAGTTCCCGAGAAGTAGCTAGTTCAGTGCAGAGGTCCAATCTGCATGTTCCTGCCTTTGCCTGGGTCTCTATCGTTCACCTTTTCCATTCTTTAACTTTCATTTTGACTTTTGCACCAGATCATTTTGGGTTAGAAGAAAATAGCTCAGCCACTGTTCAGTGACTAGACTGCTAGGGCTCTTATTTCAAGAAAAATAATCATGATGACCAAGATTTCTATGTGAAGGTGTTTGTTCACTAAAGTAGTGATAGCAAAACAAGAACTGATGCAACGGTCTAATAATTACTTTTACGATGGAATATCTTGAATGGATTCAATGATGTACTTTTGAAAAATAGTAAGAAAATGCTCAGGAAATATTCTGTGAAAAAGAAGGGAAGGCAAAATTGGCTACAGTATGATTCCAAATGTGTCTGTACACAGAAAAATATGCCAAAGAAAGTATATAACCAAATGCCAAAGCTGGAACCTCCTGATAGACATTTCATTATCTACATGACCTTTCAGCTGTCCTTCAGTCTCCTCTTCCATATTTCAGGAGGAGCCGCCCAGTTCTACTTCAAAAAGAACATTCTAACAAATTATTTTTCATCAAAATCTTGACAAATCTATGCCAAGATTTGTCTATTTTATATTCAGATGGGCTCTTGATAAAGGTTGTCAGCTGACACTGATCATAATTGTGTGCTGGGACTCACCTTGACTTGACTCCTTTCAAAATCTCCAACACGTAAGCTGCAGGCTATAAAGGAAGAATACTGCGTTAGTTGTTAGTTTTGACCGAATCTCTCTAATTCCCATCTCCTGAAAAATAGGACGACCCCTCTCTCACTTGAAAACAGTGCTCGGAAGTGGCAAGGCACACTTGGGCCTACAATTAGTTAGATCTGCATTTACGATCCAACTCTGCCACTTATTCTTCTGTCTATGAGTTAGGCAATGCTCCTTTCTGGAACATGAAGACCCAATGACTCTCCTGATGATTGTGATGAATGAGTCAGGCATGTAAAGTACCAAGTGGACACAGCTGCACTGCTTCTACTCCACTCTCTCTCCCCATTATCTCACTGACCGTGTCAACTTATCCTTCAAACCCTCGAAAGTCATCTAGATAAACAGCATCTACAGAGGGCTTGGATACTGAGGACAAGCAAGCACTAACAGAAGAACACCAGACCTGTGCAACCAAAGGGCCCAATGAAGTTACACCAGCATGGTACTTTAGAAACACAAAATAGAAGATACTACCAATTGAGAGAAGAGTTTTAAAGAAGATATTTCCCAATACATCCACGCTCCAATCATAATGTCTCTTTCTTTCCTCTCTTGCCCCTTATAGAAGCCTCTGAATAACCCAGAGGAAACTGTTAGATGCTCTACTCACAGAGATATTGCCATGAGCCATCAGGATAGGGTGGATGGGAAGAGAAACCTAGGAAAATATATTTAAGGCAAATTATTAAAAATGAGACTTTGATGGTACCTGTGACAGACAGGCTGGTAACAGAACTTTATTTTGACAAGAGGAAAGAGAGGCTAAAGATTATTAAAAAAATTATCAGGCCTTTTAGTCTCTGCAGCGCTCACCAATGAGTGTGGTGACACACTTCATGTAGAAATTTGAACTGGTTACACTGCCTCCCAAGTGAAGCAGGGCATGAGTCCCTACTCAGTACAGCAGTTACCTCCATCTATAATTTCTATCCTTTTTTCAGACCATGCTTACTTCTTTACACAGTCCCTCAATTCTTTCTGATTTTTATCGCCTATCAATTGACATTACTTTAGTTCCAAGTGTGTAACAAGGAATCAGTATTTGTGTAAGTTTGGCAGTGACCACATTAAGTCCAGTTACCACCTCTCACCACAGTTAACTCTCAGACTTACTCTCTTGACCTTCTTCACCCATTCTGCCCATCCCCAACACCCTCCCAACGCCATCCTTCTAAAATTTGAATTAGAGAAGATTCCATTACATTTATCATTTCCTGATCTGAGTCAACCAATCCTAAAATGGTTCTCTTCTCAGGAATCTCTATTTAAAGTGTTTCTCAGACCTTAACTGCATGGACCACCTCACCTCTTTTCCTGCAGCTTTACAAATAGCTTTGTGTTCTTTCATTTTTGCAGTTTCTGCTCGGTATAGCTCAATCGCTTCCATGATCCTCTCAGCCTACACAGAGGATGACAAAGGACAGAAATCATCCAACCATCCCACCATCCCAGAACACTGCACCTGGAGGGCCTGACTAGAGTTAACAAATGAAATGGCCTGAATCAGTTTAATAAAGATGGGCCGCTGAAGTGCCAAACAGCATTTCAAGGAAGCTTTGGTTTTTCTTTCTTTCTTGTAATTTACAGGAAGGAGACTGAAGGTCATGAATTCAGGTGAGATGGCGTGTGGAAAAGTTAAATAGGGCAGCTTCTAGGAAGACTTGAAAGGTGCTACCTTCAGGATATCAAGCTTTCCTTTCTAGAAACCATGCCCTCTTCAAGCAAATTTAGCACCAGCTCTGTCCTTGGGTACAACAGAGGAAGTCAAGTTATGGTCTCCATCTACAAAGTGAATACATTTTGCCACAAAAGGGATATTTGGTTGATAAGGAGTTAAACTCAATAGTTGGAATCCTACTAAAAATTTCAGATACTACATTCTATATCAACTTACTGCTTTGACGGTCTCAATAGTTTTCTTTCCAGTAAAGTAATTGTCACCTTGAGTCTCCCCTGGGACCTGTGAGAAGCAGAGATCCTTAAACAATACTGTTGACAGACATTAAAGAGTCCATAAACTGATTTTACTTACAAAAGTCATTATTATTTTAGGGTAATGGAACATAATGTTATCAGCTACATCAAGCACTTAGCAAGTGCCAGACACTGTTAAGTATTTTATACAGACTTTTGTAAAAACAGCCTGCTCTACAAATGTTTAGAGAATGCCCAATTTGTCAAATTTCTTGGCTTTCATTGTTGTTCTACATGAGATTTCCTGAAGTCTCCTTTAAAAAAAATCATTTGTCCCATAATATCAGGACATGGAGTTAAATACTATCTCAGGACAGATGACTGACTAAAAAGAAGTACAGATTGTCATGTCAGCTAGTGATAACTGGAATCTAGCCCTAAATCTAATTCCATTAAATATTCTTCAAATTATAGTAAATTCCAATAAGATAATTATAACGCACAATCTTTGTGTCCTGAAGATTTACTCACTACTGGCTGGTCTTCTTTGGCCACGCTCTCTTCATATTCGGCTTCCCTTTCCTGTCAAAGAGATAAATGTGAATTAATTCAAAGAGAAAAAAACAACACATGGTCTGTATTTGTGAAGCAAAATGAGACAATGAAAGGCTGCTTCTTTCAAAGCATAACCCCTAAGGGCATCTTGTGAATGTCTGGCTGCCGAATGGTGACACTGGTAATGGATTTGCAATGACAGGAGATGTGACTGCACCAGGCAGGACATCAACTGGGACCGCCTGTCAGAGTCCCACTAGCACATCCGTAACCAGGCCTGAAGTCCTCACCATTTCCCTTTCATCTTCAAGGATAAGAGGTTCCCTCGTTCTCTCCCAAAGTCTCAGAGATTTGTCGTGGGACGATGATACGACATAGTCTCCGCTGGGGCTTATAGCCAAGCACCATATTTCTTGATGGTGCCCCTGGAGAGAAAAGAAACAGTCACAAGCCTGAGAATGAATATGGCATTCATAGACCTCCACGTGCTTACACTAGTGGGCGGTCAACACTCAGCCTTAAAATTTGGTTCTTCAGTACCGGGCAAGTAGAGTTGGGCCAGGGTTTACCTCTAGCGTTTGTATGTGTTCAAATTTGTCCGCATCCCACTGCTTAATCTTGTGGTCTTTCCCAGCAGTGAAGAAGAGGTGAGATTTGGGTACAAACTTTAGGTACATCACACTGAAAGGTAAGAGAAGTATACAAATGTTATCAAATGCCCCATCAGTAGAGTCTTAAACACATCAGTAGCTTTCACATAGCAGGTTTTCAAGCCCAACTTTGTATTTTAGAACTTTCAATTTATGCCTGTGTGAGAACACTAAATAATAGACAAGTTGCTCAAAGGAAATGATTCTTATAGGCGACCTCAAAGGGAGGTCTCTGGAAAGACTACCTGTCATCGTGTGCAAAGAGAGACTTGTGGCAGTCCCCAAAATCCAACCCCCAAATCTTCACATTCCGGTCAGCAGAGCCAGTGGCTATCAGTGTTCCATCCTATAAGAAAGAGAAGTTGATTACCTGAAAACATTCATGTTTTCTTAATTATCTGAAAACATTAATGTCAAAAAATCAATTTCATCTCCCACTGAGTCCCTAATTCTTCTCTTACCTATAGATCTACTTAAAAAGCTTGTCAAGTGAAAGCAAGAACTCTGTCCCTTAAATGTTTTTCCAATGCTACAGGTTATCTCTCTGCTAAACAGATAGGAAAAAGAACCTCTAATCTCTGGCATGGTATTGGAGGAGAGAGGAAGGGGAAAAGAGAAGGGAAAAATGAAGCCAGAGGAATCTATTAGAATGTTTATGATCGAGCTTTCATCCCTTCTTCCCTATCACTATTTCTCTTAGCTGTTCAAATTGAAGGTCTAGTTCAAATGGTAGAAAATATCATAAGGAAATTGAAAATATCATTACTACTCATTGTATTGATTGTAGATAGCTAGACCATTGGCTCAATTCCTTTCACCCACACTAGACAATATTTTTAACTATATAATGCTACTCCTAATCATAAGTAGACATTGCAAAAATGATATTTTAGTGAAGAGACCGAAAGTGTATATATATTTATACACAAAAGTATATATATGTATGTTATATATGTGACTACCCAGATATAAACCAAGTTCCATCTTCCTCACTCACATTATCATTCAGAAATAATGGGAATGCCTTTCTAAAATACTAGATGAAGAAACCACAAGAAGTTCGCTTTGAGGATTAATTCAGATAAAATATGTCAAATATTCTGAAAACACACATATACACACACACATTTTTTAAGATATGGTTTTAATATGTATTATTTTATGCTTTTGGGGGAGACATTCAATAGAGTAAAAAAAAACACCCTAAAATGAGGATCTCAAGCCAGAACTGAGAAAGTATCTACTTAAGAAAAGGCAGCTTGCTACTGAGCTACTCTTTAAACTTTACTTACATAAGAGATGTCCATGCATATCACAGGCAGTTTGTGTCCATACAGTGAGAGAAAAAACTGAACATGAAAGACAAGAATGTAAGTAAGTGGAATAGGAATTTGGTTAATAAATAACAAGGGTATAAAATACACATCTACAGAATACAGGCATAATTTATAAGTGAATCTAAAATATAACTCTACAATCCAATGTCAAACAGTGTTCTGCGTTGTTTTATGTCTGTATTTTCAAAGACAGTTAAACCACTGGAGGCAGGCTGTCCTCAGTCCAGCACACAGACCCTGTGTTCACTCACTGGGAATACCATAATATTGTGGGCTCGGGACCCTGGAAGATTACTGTCTTGGTCAGAATGTAGCACAGAGGTGGTCTCCGAATCACATAGCAGAGCTGGGCACTGTTTCACAAGTCTTTCCAGACGCAAGCCAGTCCCACTGACTCTCTGGGTGTAGGGTCCCCTAATGTATATTTTAAATAGCAGCCCAAAAATCCTGATGTCCAGCCCAGTGTGGATTCACTGCCCAGGTCACCTGGCAATGCTCTTATACCACTAGTTATGCCAGGATTTTCTGTCCACAGATTTTATAAACATGAACTATAACTTGCTTTAAACAACATTTATGAACCAAAGGATTCTTTCAAAACTCTAGCTTCCCTAGTCCACCTCTGATGTTCTGACACACAAATTTTTAAAAAACCATACTACTGCTGGGCAGAGTCAAACCCACTTCTTTAGAGCCTCAGCCTACAGTCTTAAGGTCCACCAGAAAGCACTTCCAGGCAGAAGTCCGGTACCTTCAGCGTGTCAACATAGAAAATTTTCACAGTGCAGTCCAGCAAGGACACAGCCAGCAGCTTTTGATTGGGAGAGTAATTGACACACAGAACATCTTCATCCAGTTGCAAGGTTCTGGTTTGCTTCACTGAGAGTCTAACATCACAGAAAGCATCGAGAAAAGAAATCGTAAGTACCCCACAAATAGAGACAAAAACCCCAAAAGCTCTCTTGGAGCTCAACAGTAATACACACATCAAAAGATCATTCAGTGGTTTCCCATTTTCATGCCAATAAACTGAACAAATCAAAAACGTCTACTTACCTCTTCTGGGTACTATTTTCATCTTTTACCAACTCAAAGTCCCAGAACATGACACATTTATCTGCACCACCTGACACAAAGCCACGCTGAAATCAAAGGACATTTAATTAAAAATATTGTTGCACAGACATTGATAAAAAGACACATCAAAACAGTATAAAGGGACATTTTTATTTTGTGACAAGGAATAAGAATCAGGAAAAAATGTGGTCTCGCTAACCTTTCACTGTTCTTTTGGGGCTGCTGCTACGGAGCGTACTCAAGAACTCTAAGCAGAGAGGAAAGCAGAAGATGGACACTGGGGTAACGTTCTAGCTGTGCTTTCGTTCAGCATCAGGAGAGACGACTCAGTGAGTAGTGTGGATTTTTTGCTCCAACAAAGGAGGCAACAGTCAAAGAACTTGAAAAATACACAGAGACTGCATAATCTAAGTGAGTTTGTCCGAAGTGTTGACCTCAGGTGGGTATTTTTTACTTCGGCGAGGTCCCTCCCTAGAACATGGTCACGTGGCCTCCCAGTACCAAGGGTCAGTGTGTAGAAGGTGGCAGAAAACCAGATCTCAAGTGTCATTCTGCCACTTCGGAGATTTGTAATATAGGAAATTGTCTTTTAAGACTCTTAGTTTGTTGTAGGGATAAACATTACCCAGTGTATAAGACTACTGTAAAAATAATTGACATGCTGGGTGTGAAAATGCGTTGGGAAAGACAACAGTCTACATGTGTCAGCTAGTACTTTTTTAAGTTGGTGGATGTTTTGTCTTGTTCCCAAATGGCATTACCAATTCTAAGCTCCAGATTCTGTTTTTACCAAAAAGTATTATACTCTCCACGGATGGGGTGCACCATTGAGAATATTCAAATGACTGGGTCATATTCTCTTAATGCATTATCAAAATATATCTCTATATTCTGAGCAACAGCAGCACATTACCAGGGTAAATATAGAATTCTCCTGGTGATAGCCTGAAGGGAAGTACACTTTCATTGATTTGAAAAGGCTGACATATTTGCTTAAATAAAATGCCAGATGTATACAGTTGTAGATACACAAACTAGAAGAGGGAGCAAAAAAGTCTACTCATTCCTTTGCATTGCATCTCCCAAGAAAATGTCTCCTCTTAAGTATCACAAATCATTGGCAAAAGACCATGAGGATAAACAATCTGATGCCAGGTAGCCGGTGCCCAAAAGCAGCTGACCAAGAGTCCACCATGCTGAGCGCCCTTCGTACTGCCAGCTGATGAGACAGCATCATAGGTGAGCTCTAGGTGTTAGGCAACAAGCAGGCTTGCTTTAAAGAAGCCATGAGCAAAAGAAGTAAAGCTTGATACAAGAAATGAGAAATGCAGCCGGAAGACTGAGTCCAGACCGTCACTTCTGGATTTCCTACCTGATCAGGAGAGAGAGACATAGCCCACACGGCGCCGTCATGTGCGTTCACTGTCTCCAGCAGATTTCCCGAAGCCAAGTCATAAAGCTGCAGCTTTCCTGTCTAAGGAAGACACAAAATATGCATGGGTATGATGGGCTATCTACAACTTCCACGACGGGCTTAAAAATCAGTTTAGAAAAGGACTCCTAGCCAAGCAGCAATCCTTTCACCTTCTGTGCTTGTTCCCTATACCCCCTAGATGAATAGGTGCTGCCCAGCCCCCTGCTGCCCAGCTGTTACCCCTGGCAGGGTCTGCGCTGAGCACAGCTGAGGAATAGGACAACCCTGTCCTACTGGACTCCTGTCACTGCCACTGGCTCCCTGACTTTGAAAGGTAAGTGTGATGACTGTAAGCAAATCAGAATAAATAGTAAACAGCAAATCGCAAAACCTTTCAAAGTTGAATCAGTCCTTTAAGTGGATTTTCCTCTACCGTAAATGCTTAATCAGCTCTTCTCAATCTAGTTTTCTTTTCCTCCTCCATGAAGTACTGACAGGGAGGAGCACAAGTCTACACCCCAGGGGACAACGTGCTAAACACACATGGCAGCCCTGGCAGCCCCAGGGCAGCCCCTGCACATGCGCTAGGAAGAGTGTAAGTACAAGACCTGAGTCCCAGGTCTGCCTCTTTCCAGCTCCCTGACTACTGCTGAATTCACCCCCATGAGTCTCTTTGCTCATCTGTAAAACGACTTGATGGCATCAACCTGTCGCCATTGTATTCGTTAAAAGAATGAACAAGGGAATGAGGGAAATTTTAAATGAAATTTGACATTTATTCCCTGACAATGACCCTAGTATCTTTCCAGCTTATTTTACATTTTTTTTTGGGTGGGGGGACAAAAAAAAACCAACACTGTCAGAGGTAGGTTTTCTAATTTAAAAAAAAAAATCATGTACAGGAAGCATTGGCTTATGGGGATAATGATGACAAGTAATTATTTGCAAAGCACTTTTTAAAACATTCCATAAACCTTAGTCCATTTTACTGTCGCTACTATCCTGCTAACTCTGCTGTCAGCTTTTCTTACTTATTCCTTGCGTGTCAGTCCCTGTGCTAAGTGTTCTGCATATTGAGAGGTAGGTTATTTGTATTATTTCACATGATAAAACCAAGCCTGAGGGGGTTAACTAACAGCCCAAAGGTCTGTCTGCAGAAAGCCAAAGAGCTGGGCCCATCTGGTGCAAATATGACTTTTAAAAAGCGAGTCTCAGCACCCCATCATGCAGATAAGGAAACACACTAAGAAGGTACGTGACTTGCTCCAAATTACCCATTTTGTAAGGGAGAGAGTCTGAGTCCAAATCCACGCCTGCTCATTTCCCACACAGCCAACACCCAATCTGATTGCAGCTGGTGATGAGGACTTGGTGGGTTCGTCTTTATTGAATGCTTCCATCTGCCAAACCTGACGGGTAGCACTTAACATATGGGTCCTCTATCTCCATAAAGCACAATGATGCATGTGTTCAGAAGATGCGTGAGGGTATGACCACAAAATGTTGACGATGTTTATCTCAAGGTAATGATTTTAACTTTCTTCCTTATAATCTGACATATGGTTTGATTTTTTTAAATGCAAAGAAAACAAAACGACAAAATTCCTCAGGGACAATAAACACCCTCCCACTTACCCAGCTCTAGTATATTTCCAATATGCTAAAAAAGGGAATAGATTGTTCCATCATCTTGGAGACTCTTCAGGAGAAAAGCCTCCAAAAGCCAAGAAAAAATCTGCTTACCTTTGTTCCGATGATCACCTGCCTGTCGCCAGGTACGAAGAATGAGCACAGTGCGTATTCACAGGCCATCGTGCGAATACACTGCAGTGTAGACCTGTGAGAAAGAAGAAATAAAACACTAAAGCTAAGCTGGCAAATGTTATGGGGATGAATGAATATTTTCTAGATGATTCCATGTGTTCAGTGAACTAGGACGCAAGAGCATCCAGCTTCCATGAGTTGAGGTGTGAGGAAGACAAGGAAGGAAGGAGAAATGATGTGAATTACCAGGCAGCACTAAGATGCTACTGGAATTCAAAGCATAGGGAGTATGTTTCTGTCTTTCTCCAGCCACGTATTGCCACAGCTTCAGATAAGGAATATCCGGGCATTTCTTTGTACCGAATACAAAAAGGCAACTTGCTCCACATAACACTCAGGTCTGTGGTCAAAATGCACTGAAGATGCACTTTGAGAAGCAAGTAATTCACTACCAAAGGCTCTAAACACTAACTGCAAGGGAAGAAAACACAGCTGGATAGAGCTACGGAAGGCTTCATTTCCTACTCGGACCTGTTCCATATCTTCACGGAATCAGCGGCTGCTGAAAGAACAGCGATGTTGTCTGAGCTGAAGGACAGCGTCCGCACGTCACTGCGATGACCCCCAATGGAGATCCTGCTCATCCTGACAGGCTGAGGAGCAGGCGTGGATGGAGTCAGTGAATACAGTTCCACCAGGTTGTTCTGCAGCAGGAAGACAGCCTTTAAATCTCCTTGAGGCGAATGAATCAAGTCAAAGGATCTGCATGAGGAAATATTCATAAATGGCCTGGTTACCACCTTAGCTCACAAGGTTAACTTTTGCTGGAAGAAAGGCTTTCATTGTCCCCCATCTACATGAAAAGCCCGTTCAGCTTTGCAGCTCACTATCTAGTTCTACAACACTTAAGCTACTTCAGATGCTACATTTTTACTTACTTGATTTTGGCAGATGTTTTAATATTAGTCACCCGCTGAATTTCATCTTGCAGAGTCATTTCAACATTGACATCAAGATCTTCCTCTTCCCCTTTCGAAGAATTTAATCTGGGGGGGGGGGTTGGCAAAGAAGGAAAGAGTGTCACACTATCACTCTCCTAGAAGAAGCTTTGTTATCAACTGAGTTCAAGTTCTGGATCCAAGACCAATAAGTTGTGTGATCCCGGGAGTATCACTAACCACAGTATTAACCTGAAAATTCAACAACGTAGCATATGTAAAAATGCTTTGTGATATAATGTCACAAATATAAAGTATTTTTCCGCTTAACAGGTACCCTCAATAAGCAGATTCTGAATGTAGCCGTCCATAAAATTTGCTGGGGCAAGTTTTTGTAATTCAAATCATTCCACTGAAATGTCTCTGGTAAACCTTCCTAACTCTGGGACTTTTTAGAAAATCCATTAGCCTCCAATTACTGATCAAACCATGTTAAATAAGAGCAGATCTCAAAAAATTTGTCAAGTCAGACAACTTGTTTCATTGAAACATGATAAATTTCAACCATGGTGGAACCAAGGTGACAGTGACCTATTTCAAGGCTCTCCTGCCTAGAAACTTCACTTATGTAATTGTGCAATACATCCCTTCTTATAGTCCCAAAGGTTTAGCAATATGCAACCCAGCTTCCTTCTGTATTTGGAAGCTGCCATTAAAGACACAATGCTAGCTTCTTGGAATCAGCTCAGAAACTGTTGTTAAATATCTGTGCAGTCTGTCTGGTACTGTGTGGCCAAGTTCAAGACCAAGAACATGCCAGCTCTAGAGCTGTACAACTGAACAGAAATTTAAAACTTGGACTGCTGTTAATCCACAACATCTTCTCCAGTTAGTAATTACTAATGAGACAAATATTTCCTTAAAAATTCATGGTTTTCTGTCAGCAATATGTGGCCCACCCAGGGTACTTATTAAGTAAATGTCAAGAAAACACACTTGGCTTTCTTTTTAGCTTTCTTCATTTTCTTATCCATTTTCTTCTGAATTTCCTCTTTGGAGAGGATACAAAACACTTCCAGAACAGAATCAGTCCCCTAGAAAGACAAAAGTTGGTCTGAGTCCAGGACAGGTTGTTTGTAATTTAGCTTATTCTCTGTACAAACTAAACAATAACAATTTTTCTCCCCTTATGAGTTATATCACCTTGGACAACTTAATCTGATTTGTTGTCGCAACTGTAAATCAGACATACCACTCTGAAGACTAAATAAGAAGCTAATGTTTTCAAATTGCTTAGAAAAGCAGGCATTAAATAAACATTTGCTAAAAACAAGAACACCAATTGTTAATAATAACAGAGCATTATGACTATTATGCTAATGGAAACTAGGGATTATAGGTCCATATACTAAATTATTAACATGACCAAATAAAAACTGATCTCTACACCGAAAACGAATGAAAAACGAATCTCTGAAAGCCTCCTCTTTGACATTTTCTCCAAACCTGGTACTCACATGGCAAGCAAGAATCCTGCCCGTCCTGTCGACTGCAAGGTTCACCACCCTGTCCCTTCCTTCCCGCATGATAGAGCCAGCTTTCCTGCATGTGAGGATGCGCTAAGGGAGGAGCAGTGGAGAGAAGGAAGGCTAAATGTAAGTTGTGCAGAAGCTCTGGAAAGACATGATTCCAAGAAATACAGCTAAAAACGATAGTCCCTACGATGATGAAAATTTTAAAAACGGGCAATTCTCATTTTTCTCACCCCTCAACTCAAATGAGGATAAGAAACAAAAATGAATTACATCCTCAGGCGCTTCATCCATCTCCGGGGTGCCATCTTCTTCAGGGGTGTCCTGTATCCCAGAAGTCGACCCTTTAGTTCTTTTGGGCTCTGGTTCTTCTGGGTCTTCCATCTGTTTTATAAAAATGGGGAAATAGAAGCGGGAATACATGTGTTCCAGGAGGTGATGCATAACTCCAATGATTTACAACCCTCTCCTTATGGCCACTGGTAACTTCCACTTAGCGGCCTCTCTGATTAAACCTCTTCAACACTCAGAATTAACAGAACAAACCGACTACATCAAAAACAAAATACTACTTGCTACACCAGCTCCACTAATGCTACAGCATATGGACTGTTGTTTTTATAACAAGGTTTTGAAAAACCTCCTCGGTGAAAGGTCTACCATGTTCTAGAGGGAGAGATTCAAATTGGCATTAAGAATTACATGGGCATTGAAGAGTGGTTATGTTTTCTCCTTTAGTAAAGAAAAGAAACCCTAGTCTACTGGTGTAGAAACCATCAGAGGCTCCTGGCACTAGCACCGCACGCCTGCATCCAGCTACACCTAAGATCCACAGGCTTCTTCCACCTGAAATTTTTGCATATCTAAGAAAAAGTTGTAAGAAAAAGATCTTAGAATATACATATTCAGGGGGCCTCCCTGGTGGCCTAGGGGTAAAGTCTCAGCGCTATCACAGCTATGGCCTGAGTTCGACCAGGAAGTTAACCCACATAGGGCACAGCAGACCTCTCCTGCTGCTCCCCTTTGCCAAGTATCTCAGTAAATACACTGCCTGTTCTGCTCCCCACTCTGTGTCTGGTGAGTCCTCTCCCCTCCCCACCCTGCACTTCTGCCTTCCACCCAAGTTCTTCTACACCAAAAAAAAAGACAAAAAAAAATTATGCATACACACACACACACACACTCATAAACTCAAATTCTACATCGATTTTTGTTTGATGGGTCACAGATACACTGAAGTCCATCTGTGAACACCCAACGCCCAGGAATATCAGGCTAAAATCCCCAAACAAAACACTGGCATTACTAGAAGTTACAAGTCTAAAGCAACCCTTCTTCCAGGTTCAAGTAAATGAGGGCAACTGAGCACATAATAAAGAAAAAGATTATTTAGAAGCTGCATGTGAACCAGCTGGAGTCACCAGAATTCCCTCTGGCACTATGTGAAGTACTCAGTGATTACATATGATGCTAAATTCAGTGAGCCTATGAAGCTGCAAAAACGTGATATTGGCCATGATCAAAACAAGTAATTACCTCTTGCAAATAGGCTATGTCCCAAGCTCGCAGTTCACTGTCAGAAGCCCCGGTGATAAGACGCTTTTCTTCTGACACCAGAACCAATCCCCACACCTGCACAGTATTAAAAAGATTCAAATAATATGACTAGAAGATTCTAGGATAACATGATATCCCCAAAGTCTAAGTATACTGTAGTGAAATCTCTGGTATTTTCAGGGTCTAAGAAATGTGTATTAAGGAAACTCTTTCAAACTGCATTAAGAAAAACCTCCCTTTTAGAAAGAAAAGGTGGCCGATGCTGGAATTGTTTACATGATAACTAAAGTTTTCTCTTAATCTCCCATCCTTAAATTTAGATAATGGATGTTGAGCATAAACCCCAACTAAAATCCACTCAAATGATGATTTTAAGTCTTGATAGGCCTTGGCTTTTATCAGCACCTAGCCAACAAAAGGTGCTCCATTAATATCTACTGCCTGATTTCCAACCTCAAATATCTAAAAACTGAACATTGAAAGTAACAGTAGTGTTGCAGATCAACAAAGGATCTAATTTGCTTTTCTCCTCATTATTCCTGTATCTGTTTTTAGAAGCCTGGTATGTATAGAGCAGAGAGAAGGATGCAAAAATTTTGTTAAACATTCCCTGATCTCTACAGAACAGACTATATTCAGATAATATTACGTTGGCAACAATTTGCTATTTTTATATCATCGGGCAGGCATTGGACACAAAGTCTCACTAACCCCCCCTACAATCACAAAAGTGGACATTGACTATTTAAAAATAACTGAACTTATATTCATGAATGAAAAACTTATTGAAGGTCAACTTTTGTGAAAGGCCAGGGCACCTGTACGTGCTTCGACAGCCAGCATTTTCCCGCTACACTGGCCTTCTTGTCTCTCTCGATAACGTGATCATCCCTGGGAGCTAAAAGACATGTTTCCTTCTGCATTGCCAGTGATGTCCCCAGCTTGTGACCCTGCACGTACCTCAGTTCGGTGGCCAACCATTGTTTTGAAGCAGTGCTGGGTGTCAAGGTCCCACCATTTCACCATCGTGTCTTTCCCACTGAAAGAAGAAAACAAACCTCACTAGGAAGAATCGTGAAACTGACAAGAATCAAGGAGATCAAGGACTCACTGCTTCTTCCAAAAGAAAAGACACAGTAATGAAGTCTAATGCAACTAAGTCTAACGCACTTGACTGTTCTTTAGAAAAGTAAAGGATCCATCATCCTAACTCTCCATGTTGCTATTCTCAGGTACAATATAAATGTCTCACCTTTATGCACTCAAGTGACTTTGAATTCAGAGCGATAACTACAGAGCTTGATCTGTAACTGATCATTCTAAACATCACAGCATCAACATTGTTTCTTACTAACATAGACAGCTTAGATCTCATGTCCAGTTGGTGTCTATGTCCTGAAAATGCCTCTTCTGTGCAGTTTTTAAGCCTTTATTTCTTCCAATACATTTCTGTACATAAGTCCTACTGCCTGAACTGTTTTAATAGCTTCATTTGGTCCTTTTGTCCATTCCTGTTCCCTCCTTACAATCATTGCAGATTACCTTCATTTCCTAAATGTATATACCAGCTTGTGGTTCTTTCTAGAATCAAAATCAGGCTGGTTAGCAACATTCTTAAAAGTTCCCCATAAATGGCTCCTAAAGTCACTATATATTTCCTCCTCATGGTGCTATTTACTTTCCTGGCAAGTACCATTTCCATGGTGTTTCCAGGAACAAGCCCACCACTCACACAGCATTTCGTGCTCTTTCATGATTTCTGAATCATCACTGTGGTTCTTCTCCTTACTGCCTGGCCAAACAGGACCCACTGTCCTGAGCTGCTGGCCCTTAGGAGCAGGTATCGCAATAGGTTGATTTGTATGAAATTGCTGGTTATTTTGACCAACACAAATGGAAATTTCAAATGGTTCAACCTAATAAGATGTTCAGAAGGCCTAAAAATGCCTTCTCAAAAAGCTGGGTAGCTCCAACACCTGATAGTCACCTCTGCCGACTACTCTAGACTCTGTTTTCCCGACTTTCCAGGATCCAGAAAGAAGACAAAGCTCAATCTACTAAAGGCAAGTCAAAAGTCGTAGGAACATGGAAATGCTGATATCGGGGGAAATAACAGTAGATCAGAAAATGGAATTTAAAAATGCTATGAATATCTATAGCTTCTTGTCTTATACTATTCGGGGGGCGAGGGAGAGAAGAGAGAGGAAAGCAGAGAGTAGGAGAGGAAAGTAGCACACAAGCCTGAGTTTAGTGTGGGGCAGTGAGTCGGGGGAGCAGACTCCCTTTTGAAACCATCTCCAATGAATATACTTAGAAAAGAACTGGAAAGGAAAACAGCATCTCTTTACCTGGTCACTAACAGGTTCTTTTCTCGTAGAAACAATGCCTGCGTGACGGCATCTTTGTGCCCCTGCAGACGGTAAAGGCCACTTTCATTGATCACATCCCACACGATAACATCTGTGTCCTAAAAGAGAGCACATAATTTAGAAAAACAATTTTTTTTTAATTTTTTTTAAGATTTATTTATTTATACAAGCACTGGGTACAGTCAGAAGCGTGGGAAGGTGAAAGAATAGGGAACAGAACAGGCAGACTGACGAAATACACTGCTGAGGGGAGCAGCGGGCGCAGCAGGAGAGGTCTGTGTACCATGTGGGACCCTCACCCGGCGGCTGAGGATCTAACCAGTGCTGCAGAGGCCACGGGCAGCTTCGCAACCCAGCGCTCAACCGCTGTGCCACCAGGGAGGCCCAGGAAAAAAAAAAAATTTAACCACAGTAAGGTGTAACTTGATAAACAATGGAGTGTAATTTTTTTATTACAAAGGCAATGCATGGTGGCCTTATAGAAAATATGGAAAGCATACCAAAAAAAGAGGACGTTATTACAACTTAATTCTACGACTCAGATAGAATCACCAAATTCTGTTTGTACAGTTAAATTTCTTTTGTATATATTTTGTATATAATAGGTTGTTATTTTCCTATTAGAAAATTCAGATGCTATTCATATAATTTCATAATCCCTTACTTTTTTCCATTAAAATTTTTATTTTCCCACATCCTGTTATCAATTTTAACTTTTATAATTATCAATTCTAAGGAGACACCATAATTTATTTAAAAATCTGTCTATTTTAGCCATTTAATTTCTTGCTATTATATATGTATATATGTGTGTATGTGTCCACATATATATGTATATATGTGTGTATGTGTGCGCATATATCTATATGTATATATGTGTGTATATGTGTGTGTGTGTGTGTATATATATATATATATATATATATAAATCGAATATCCCTATACATAAATCTTCGACAGGAATAAATAGTAAGAAGGGTAACTTGAGTTAAAAGGTATGTCTGTTTTCAAAGTTTGCAGTTCACACATCAAGGTGACCTCCAGAGATAGGCACCAAGCCCTAACTCCACCAGGGGTATAGATAACAAGGTCAGTTTTCTATCCCCTTAACCTTGGATATTATCAGTCTCAAAAACCACCATCTGTATCACAAGTTAAAAATGCTGCCTCCAAGCTTATTTGATATTTTTGGCATTTCAGGACAGCAATGAACAAGTTCATCCATGCCCTCTGGCGATTCCGGCCATTTGGACCTCTTCAGAACTGCTCATGTTTTCATATTCCTCCGGGTCTTATTTTCTGATTGATTATAAATTATCAGGTGATGAATGATATTAATCTTTCCCTTTTACATTGAAAATATTCAATATATTCTCTAGTTTTTGCGCCCCAACTTGCTTTTTAATGTACAAATATTTCAAATTTAAATATTCAAATCTATCGATCTTTTTCTTTATAGTTTTTCTTTGCTAGTATGCTGAAAGTCCTTTTCCATCTTGCTATCAGATATATACTTACATATCTTATAGTTTACTTAAAATGTCACTCTAAGTCTCTAATTTATGACTTATTTTGGTATAGAGCATGAAGAAAGTTTTAACTTTCTGTTAAAAGTTAGCAGATTAATAGATTATTCTGGCTAAAATAATCTATTTTGCATTACTACCTTATCAATATGAAACATTTTAAATTACGGTTTTAGAATACCTTTTAATATCTGAAACCAATTCGCACCTATCTTTCACACAATATTTCTACCAACTATACAAACACTGAGAGCCCTGCGTTTCAGCCAACAATTCTTGTGAACCATCTGCTTTGGCATAAACCTTTCACTCCTTTACAGATCAAAGTCTGGGTGCCTTATTCAAGTCTTACCTTGGACCCAGATGCCAATCTCCCTCCGAGCTGATCATACTTCAAGGAAGTAACAGCTGCTTTGTGTCCATTGAAGGTTACAGTTCCTTCCCCGCTCAGGAGGCTGAAGATTCGGATAGACCCATCCTCATAACCCACAGCTAAGTGCAGCCCATCTGGGGAGGGGCACAAGCAAGTGACTTCTTGTTTAAGTCCCTGAAGGATAAGGATCTGAAATCATAGGAATCAAAGATATTTCATTAAAGAAAAAGTTTGGGGTCATCTAGTAAAATTAACAGCATAAATAATTCAAAGTCACTCTTCTGAATAGTAATAAAACTCTATAATCCCTCTCAAGTTCTTTAATGAAGGAATTATGATTTGTGCAATGAAACAGTCCAGAAAGGGCAAAATTATTTTTTTCCAGGCTCTGTAATATATGCAGAAATTTACCAGGCAACAGAATAAATTACTAAGTCCTTCTCCTGTGTCAAGAGCAAGTGATTTTTCCATAAAGGGTCATACACATAAACCTTACTTTAACTGAGTCCCACCTTATAAGAAATCAACCTGCATGGCACAGAGACTACTACAGGGTTTTATCCCCAAGGGACTCTGGGAGAGACAACTATGCAAGTATTAATATTTTGTGAGCCACAGTGAGACAAGATTGAGATACTTCTATTTGGTTTGCAAAAGTCGTCAGTCTAGGGATTTTAGATTCATACAAAGTATTAAAGCCTAGTTTGATAACTTTTGGCTTCACCTGTATAAGAAAGAAAAGATATATGAAACAGAAGAATAATATACCTCCCACATGCTGAATATCTTATAGCTGGCTGTGAGGGCAAGTAGAAGAACTTGAAAGATAGAGAACAGGCAGAGAAAAACAAACATGTTGGGAATAATGATTACAAATAATTACTAGTAAAAATCACTGCAAAAGGATTCCTAAGAGGTAAGTCCCTATTTGGTTGTGGTTTTGAGAACTTAGGGTAGAAGAAGGCCAAGAATACACTTGATACTTGACTGTCTGGACCCAAAGGGGAATAAATTCTCTTCTAGGGACACGTACCCAAAAGAATCTGTGCATGCTAAATCAGTGCACTCCCTCTCCTGCCTCTCCAGTCTCAAATACCCCCTAAATCATGTCAACCTCGTGGATTTCTGGCTTACCTTCTCTCCTTTCCTTAAGTCCCAGATGAAAACATGTTCACAGGCTGGCACTGCCACATAGCGTCCTTTTTCACCGCGAAGTGTCACAAAGACAATATTACCTTTTTGGCTGCCAATAAGGCCAAAAACGGCGCTGGCGACATAGCGCAGGTACTGCTTGGTGAGCCCCATGCTGAAGGATGCCACAGAGGAGGCAACTGCACCTGCCAACAAAGAAAACAGTCTTCACACCTATGACCTGACCAATCTTTTCAAACGCACCATTTCTACCCCAAAGCCCTTGAAAGTTTCCAGTTTCCAGGAGCGCATTTTGTTATCACCCTATTTCTGTATTCTCGCAAACCTTCTATTTGAAGTCAGACTGGTTGATTTCCTTTCTTCACCTGCAATTGGCCCCCTGGGTCTTGCTCCTCTCAACTGGAATAACTGGCATGCTCCAGTTTGCCTGTTATAGAGTTAGTCTCTGGGATTCGCTTCCTCCCGAGCTCATCCTCTTCTCGAGGGCTTTTCCACGGCCTGGATGGCTGCAACTGCACCCCCCTCCCTGCCCTGGAACACACCTGGGCCCCGACTAGGTCACACCTGTAACACACCTGGGCTCTCCTCCACACACCTGGGCCCCGATCACGAGCGCGTCACAAGCACAGATGTGGGCGCCTCTTGGAGACAGCTCATTACCTGACCTCCCCGCGCCCCCACCACCCCCCACTTGCTCATCTTCGCCCCGCGCCCCAAAACACGTTGCATCCCAGATGCGCTAACGCAGGACTGTCAGCAGCAGACCTGTCAGGCGTCCCTCGAGCTAATCGCCGGTCCGGAGGGCGTGGAGAGCGCTCGGCACCGCGAGCACGACGCGGGGGCACCCTCCGGCGAGCCCCGCGAGCGCGAGGGGGGGCGCGCGCCCCCCGGGGTGGGTGCCACGGCCTCCCGGTACCGCGCCGGGGCGATCGCAGCCGCTCAGGCGCCCCCCCGCCCCCCTGATCGGCCGGGCTCCCTCCACTCCGTCTCTGCGGACACCGCGGAGGCGCCGCGAGGACCGGGCGAGCCTCAGCGGCGCCGCGAACCCGCGCCCGGCCCCGCCGCACTCACCGCGGCCTCCACGCGGCTGCAGCCGGCCGGGCCCGCCCCCAGGCCCCGCTTCCGGTCCGCGCGGGCCCGCTTCCGCCCGGCGCGCCCGCTGCTTCAGGAGGAAGTGACGTCGCGCGGGCGTGATTGGTGGGCGCCGGCCGGAGCGGAAGCGGCGCGTCCAGCCCCGGGCCCCTGCGGCGGGTGCTTCCAGCCTCCCCGACGCGGACGCGCCCTCCCCCCGCGTTCCTGGCCGGGGGCCCCGGGAGGCCGCTCGGCCTCTTCCTGCGCGGCGCTTCACCGGCCCCGCCGGCCGCCCGGATGGGAGACCCGGAGCGCTGTGAGAGGCGGGACTAGCGGGCCGGGGGCGCGGCCGGGGCGCACGGGACGCGCGGGGCGGGGGGCGCGGCGGGGGCGCCTTCGCCGCGGTCTCGGGGAGCTGGAGCCGCGGCGCCTGCCCTGCGGCCGGCTGGGCGGCTCGGCCCGGGGCGCTGTCGCGGACGGCGGCTCGCCCGGCCGAGGGGGGTAGGCGCCGGGGCGCCGCTGGGGAGGGGGCGCCCCTGGGGAGGGGGCGCGGGGGGCGCAGGGGCGCGGGCCGGCGATCGCAGCCGCGGGGCGGGGGTGCGCGGCCACCCGGGGTGGCCCGGCCGGGCCCGGGACCCTGAAGCCGGGGTGCCGAGTCGCGGGATCCCCGCGGTCCCCGGAGTGACATTGGCCTGGCTGGGGGTGACCGGCGCTGACCCCCCCCCCCCCCCCGGGCGCGGCCCCTGCGGCCTCGGCTTTCCTCCCTGGCGGTCCTCTGCTCTTCTGTTGGTGAGCTGCGCTGGAGCGCCCCGAAATCAGTTGTGATGTCTGCAGCTGTGGAAGATGAACCCCAACACACGGTCTGGAAAATGAAGGAAACCTCTTGTCCGGCCTCGCTTATTGGATGAGGTGTCTGCGGCAGCCTAGAAATTAGACTTTCTTTACACTGTCGGATCTCCTGTGGACGCTTCTTGAGTTTTTAAAACACGTTCCTATTCAGCAAAGTCGCAGCAGTGGAGACTATGCGACGACTAGAGAGATGTAGTGAAATGGGTGTTTCGAGGCAGGATTGCCGTGGGTTGGATGATTAAGGAGGGAGGAAATTGTGGCGACACTATTTCAGAAAGACTGATTGTGAAGGGAGTAGTTAGTGGGTGGATATAGTTTATCTTTCAGAGTGGTGCCTTGTATCATTATAGGGGGGCATGTGTGCTTCAGTGGGAAATTGCAGAGTCTAGTCTTCCTAGATGACACCCCTTAGATTATTTGATGCTAAGAAAGCTATTTTTTAAACGGGTAAGCTGTAGATGGATAGTGTCAGTGATGAGTAGTTTTTACTATAGACCAAATTTTCAGAGGTTCATTGGAAGCATTACCTCCACGCACTTTCACTTCAGGATTTCTGATTTATAATGAGCGTGATTTGAGGATCCCCATTCTCATCCACCTGGTTGCCTTACAACTTCAATGGAATCTTGAACACATGTTCATTTTTATATTTGAGTTATTTTACATTTAAAGAATTTTCTCTTAACATTATTAAATATTATGGGAACGGAAAACCACAAATGGAAAATATAATTTTAGGAAGAGTTGGTATAAGAGGAACTGAGATTGAGTGCTAATATAATGGATTTTATAAGTTTCCAATGCAGTGTTTCAAGAGTACACTAGTTTCTTATTTTTGTTTCAAATTGCTCAGTATCCTATCATTGAAACATAATGGAAAACTTTAATATGAAGGTAGTGCTGCTAACTTATCATTAGAACTTGTGCAATGAGGTTAAATTTGACCTGGGCCATTGACACGCCTTAGAAATATTTTCATGGTGAAGTAGTCCCTGTTAGCCCTACTTTTGCTTTCCACAATTTTATGTACCCAGTGTCAACTGCAGTCCGAAAATATGTGCCTTAAGCTATTTTGATAGAGACCGCATTTACATAACTTTTACTACAGCATATTGTTACAAAGTTCTATTTTCTTATTGTTGCTCTGTTATTATACCTAAGGTATAAATTACATTTTATCATAGGTGTGTATGTATGGGAAAAACAGTATGCATAGACTTTAACTATATGTGGTTGCAGGCATCCACTAGGGGTCTTGGAATTGCATCCCCTTCAGATTACAGTAATTACTGTACTTTTAATATATATTTGACCGCTTCACTTTGTTTTTCCATCTGAAGGACTTTGTTAAAAGTGTTATTCTGTTTGCATAGAATGAGTCTTCAATATAATAGATTTGGTGTTGGAAAGGGGGCATTGAGCACAAATATCCAATTACCCTGAACTCTATTTTTGAAATACAAAGACATAAAAAATGGCAAACCTGTACTTCATGCCAAAAAAAAAAGTGAAATAGTGCTGGTCTGTTTGTACTTTGTCCAGGTCAGTTTAATCAGTGTAAGCATTTTGAAGAACAAGTAAACATTAAAAGTTCTTGCTTTTCTGTTTTAAGTGATACCATTTCCTTGTTATCTGGACAAAAAGTAGGTGTTTTGAGACAGTAATCTAGGGTGTTCTGCCTGTTTCTGCCCAGTTTAGTCAATGAAAATTTAATCTCTCATTATAATCATATAAAGCCTATCCAATTACATAAAGGAATCTTTGGAGCACTTCTTAAACTAGAAGATGGCAGGATTTGGTTTGTTTTTTGTTTTTTGAAGATTTATTTATTTATGCATACAAGAACAAGAACGGGGTATAGGCCAGAGATGCGGGGGTGGGGGGGGCGCTGGTGAGAGGATTCACCAGAGACAGAGTGGGAAGCAGAACAGGCAGATTGACTGAAATACACTGCTGAGGGGAGCTGTGGGGGAGACAGGAGAGGTCTGCTTCCCCACATGGGTTTCTCTCCTGCCCGCGGGGGATCGAAACTCATGCTGCAGAGGCTGTGGATTGCTTCATAGTGCGGTGCTTAACCCCTTGCACCACCAGGGAGGCCCAGCAGGATTTGTTTTTAAAAATTGGGAACTTAAGCTAAAGGAAGACAAGATTTCGGAAAAAGGAAGGCATGGTGAGCTGTTCATACTCATATGCAGTTGCATTACCAAGGATAAAAGTGACTTCTCTTTGTCCTCTTCTCATCCAAGAAAGTACTGACCAAGATTGTTATCAATAGATAGTAAGGCTAAGAAATGGATTTAATCCATTCTGGAATCTTCTGTTTATCCCAAGTAGACTTTTTGATCCTGGGACATAAAATTCCTGCTTCAGGAGCCTTTTTAACTAAGACTTAGTATTTGCTTATTGAGCTGTTAACTGTCAGTTGATTTACAGTGGATTCTTGCTCCTTTTTAGTATTACCCTAATTTCTAGTTATAGCTATAGATTCCTATGGCCTTCCCTTCTCCCTTCCTACCTGAGCACTCTATTTCCTTTCATTCTATCACTGGGATTCTTAATCTGCGTCTATAGTCCTCTGAAATCTATTTGCAAGTCCCTTTTAGAGTGAGCTCATTATGCAGATTTTGGGTGCAGAGAGGGTCTTTTATCTTGCTATTCTCATAGGAGTCTGTGACCCCAAGAATGTTAAGAACCATTTTCCTTTAAGTACCAGGGATCATATTTTCCTCTCTCGACTTTGGACTTTGCTATACTCCATTTGCCATATTTTCAATGTGTTTTGGGAGGGGAGAGTTTTCTTTTTTTTTTTTTTTTTTGGTAAGAAAAATCAATTTCTGTTTAGAGATGGAGCTGAAAAATAATTTGCTTTGTTAACAGCTATATCACTTTCCATATGATGCCATTAAAATTTGCCTCGCAATAAGAGTTCTAAATAAATAGTATTTATTACTCATTAAACACCCACTATCTTGTGGGTCACAGTGACTGTCAGGATCTGGGAAGAAGAGCTAACATATCCTACTGAGGAGAGGCAAGTGGAGGCAGAGAAGAACCAAGTGTGCACAAAGAAGAGAGTTTCAAGGGGGTAATAGTGGCAAATGCAGCTAAAATTTGACTGACCTTTGATCTGCAGGCTTATCGTTGACCTTGAAAGAGTAGTTTTAGAGATGGAAGTAATGGCAGTAGGTTGAGCAAATGGAAGAAAGGAAGGAAAACTGCAAGAACACATTCAAGTGGTGAGAAGAGGCGTTTAGCTGTATTTAGAAGAAATGGGCCAGAAAAAAGTTTGAGGCTAGAATTGAGGCAAAGGGCAGATGAAGATACTGTGAAGGGAGAGCTGATGTGGCAGGGTAGTCCCCAGGAACGGGGGAGGTTCCAGGTTCCCTGCCCCACCCAAGGGAGGGTGGAGCTGAGCAGGGAGAGAAGAAGCTGCAGAGGAGACTGAGGAAGGAAGGAAGCAGGATGCAGCCAGAAGGAGACCTGGAGGAGTTGCTTGGAGCCTAGAGACACGTGAAGAAACTGCGCTTGCCTTTTGGTTGTGGACTGGGTGACACAGATGTGGGTGAGACCCCTGGGGAGGTGACAGTGGCAGCTTTTATCTTGATTTTGATTTTGCTCTTTTCCTTCCGGGCTTGTCTGGTTGTTTCTGACCCTTTTCTGTGGGTCCCCACTGGAAGGTGCTTTAGACTTGCGGCAGCTTTGGGGCCTTGCTCTGGGCCAATCCCATTTGGATGGACTTTGACCCACGAGGGGACGGGTCACTTTGGGTGCTTCATTTAGAAACTAGACTCTTTGCCTTTCCTGTATTGTTTCCTAGTTGTATTAAAGTTCCTTCCCGTTAAAGTCTCATATGTTTTGTGTTGATGCAGCAGATGGCAGAGCCCATTTAGAATAGGCAGGTTTGCAGGGTCTAGGCTGCCCCTCTCCCTGCCCTGTAACAATGTGATTACATTCTCCTAGACGAGAGCTATCCAAGTGGAATAAAATGTTTACAGGGAGGTGATGTGGCAGGCATGAAAATAGGGAATACACCCTAAAACCATTTGAAGTGGCAAGTAGGGGATGAATATGGATTTTTCAAGCTGGAGGGAAGTTAAGCTTATGTGAACTATGACCTCTCTCTCTTCAAAGCAGCAGAAGGGAGGCGGTGTGATTCAGTGTAGAGGGAATGCTGCCAAGTCCTCAGTTTAGATCGTGGGCTACAAATTACTGGTTATGTTATATTGAGCTGATAATTGACCCTCTGGGTCTTGATGCCCTCGCTGTAAAATAGGAGTTCTAATGCCCTTTTTGTGGGATTATGGTAGGGATTGGAGAGCATGGTTGCAACGCATCTAATGCCCCGTGATTCCCTGTGCCCGCCCTAGTTCCTTTAGTGTCTTGGCCTCTTCCCCTCTGCCCCTGAAAGGAACCCAGATTTACCCATACCTTTCTGTAAAAATTTCCCACTGCTTTGGTTTTGTCACTGTTTGGAAGATACATTGTCTTTTGAAACTAAATTAATTCCCCTATCTCCACCCCTTGTTCTTTATAGCATACCCATGACAGATTTTAACTGTATTTATTCCTATGATTATTTGTGTGCTTTTTAGTGGGCCTGTCTCTTCCCTTAGAATTTTGGCACCTAACAGAGCTAGACAGATAGACAGAATGACTGTCCGGGACATAATGGGCAAATGAGAAATGAGCATTTATCAGTTCCTGTGGGTTAGGAAATCAGAAGTGACTTCGTTGTGTGTGTCTGGCTCAGCATTTCTCATGCCCTGCAGTCATGATGGCAGCTGGTGTTGAAGTCATCTGAAACCTCACAGGACCGGCAGGATCCACTCCATGGTGATTCATTTATTTGCCCGGCAGTCCACGCTGGTTGTTAGCAGGAATGCTCACTGTGTCCTTACGGGGACCTTTCCATGGGTTGCTGGGGCTCAAGTCATGGGAGGACTTGGGGAGCTAGCTTCCACAGAGCAAGACGTCCAAGAGCAAGAGGGACAAAAGCCACAGTAACTTTTACGACTCGGCATTGGAAGTCACACGCTCATTTCCGAAAGACCCTCTTGACTACATAGTGTAATTCATCACAGGAGTCAGCTACACAAGGGTGTGAATACCAGGAGGCAGGTATCATTGAAGGACATTTTGTCTACCACAGATGCTACGTGGGATTGTAGAGAGTCAGCCAAGGATGATCACAGCAGTCGTTGAATAGTGTTGATGGAAGGACTGGGTGACACAGGAAAATTACATCGTGTTTTTTTCCTCGTAGCCCAGGAGCAGAGTCAGGGAACACAGATGGCAGGTTGATGTAGGTGTTAGGAATTAACAAACCATTACAGGGAAGACATTCAGATAAATAAGAGGGTATCTCAATTCAGCAATTTATGTTTGGTTTATTTGGTGCTTATTGGAAACTGACTGTGAGTGTTTGGGTTTTGCCACATAGGAGACATATTTTTTTTTTCTTTTTAAAGATTTATTTATTTATTAAACAAGCACTGGGTACAGTCAGAAGTGCGGGAGGGTGAGAGAATTCACCAGAGCCAGAGCGGAGAGCAGAACAGGCAGACTGACGAAATACACTGCTGAGGGGAGCAGTGGGCGGCAGGAGAGGTCTGCACACCATGTGGGACCCTCGCCCAGTGGCTGGGGATGGAACCAGCACTGCAGAGGCTGCAGGCAGCTTTGCAACCCAGCGCTCAACCAGTGCGCCACCAGGGAGGCCCAGGAAGACATATTTTTATCTCAGCAGTGGCGCCAGTGACATAACTGGTAACTTCTATCATGCTTTGCTTTGTGCCAAGCACTCTGCTATGCAATTGTAATATAATGTTATTTAGAAATCAGGAAACTCTGTCTTCAAGTCAAGAATAATGTAATGCTAGGTGAAAGAGGGCCCCCCCCTACTGCACGCTGCTGTCCCCCCCCCTTTTTTTGGTATGTTTCAAGTGTAATCTGCATGGCTATTCCTACTAGTTAGAAAGGAGCAAGTGTGTTCTGAAAGTTGGCGTTTAGGTTTGAAGATTAGAAATCACATTTGTGTTTAATCATAATTTTTAGATTACAGTGAAGAAGTTTGGGCCTGATTCATTGCTATCAAAAGTATGTGAATGAGCGTTTGAATCTATGAATTCCTGAAAGGTGTCACTTTGTTGAGCTGGAGGCCGTTCAGTCATGGAGAACGAGTGGTGTCCACTCGTCCTCTGTCTCGTCCAGATCAAGTCTGAATACTGTGAACACATCAGCAGAGCTGTGTCGCCTCCAATTTTGAAGGCCAGTGGGTGAACTCAATACCCATCTCTAGACAGGATTAATTTCTTTAAAGTAATTTCAGAAAAGTATCACTTAAGGAATAATCCCTTCCAACAATGTTATCATAGTATAATCTCCAAAGCCTTTCTGACATTGTTCTATAAATGATCACGTTTCCCACCCAATGGTGTTAGAACAAGTACTAGTGTGTTGTGCTAGATCTGAGGCCCAGGCCAGTTAGTGTCCCCAGTTAGTATCCCATACCTCTCAGCAGGAAGCAGGTGCAGGCTGGCTGCTAACGCTCTCTGGTTCCTGCCCTGCCTTATGTCCTCTTCAAGGGTTCCTACCCTATAAACCTGATCGGATCATTTTTCAGTCCTAAGCAACTGATTGGTCCTGTCAGCACTAATCAGCTCTCTTCCATTTTCAATTCACACAGTTAGCTGAAGCCCTTAAAGGACAGCTGGAGAGCTTGAACATGATTGACCCATTGAGCTCAAACCTGATTGTTCCTTTTATGATCCTGGCTCCAGTCGGTGCCCAGACTGACCAGCACTGAGGTCAGGGCAGCCTTTCGGGTTGGGGGCTGTGGTTTCATTATCTTTGAATTGGTTCTTTTTCTTCTTCATATTCATTTAGCAATTTGACCTATTTTCTAAATACATTCTGAATTTAACCGTTCCTCACCCTCTCACCTAGCTCACTGTCGTAATATCTGCCTTCACTCTTGCCCTATCTGGATTTCACTGTAACTAGCTAAAGTAATCTTTTCAAATGTTTCTTATCCTTGTGTAACTTCCCCTCATGGTTTGAATGAGACCTCAACTTACCATGACTTACTGCATCACCTGGACTTCCCCTCTCTCGCAGCCTCTTTTATCTGTTTCCTATGACTTCTCTGACCGCTTGACACTTAATATCTTCATGTCGTCCTCGTCTTCTGATTTCTGCATTTGTGTGTAAGCAGCCTCCTGCCCCATCAGTCTCATTTACTTTATCCTGTTAATTGTCAAATCCTGTTAATTTTTCCTTTGTGTATTGGCTGTCACACCACGCTCAGTTCAAACCTTTATTGTCTTTGACTGCTTGATTGCAGTGACCTCCCTGCTTCTCATTTTGTCTTCCTCAATACAACCTCCAGATTATCACTAGACTAAACTCTTTAAATTGTACTTACTGTTTATCTCTCTGTCTCTTGAAGCTCCTAGCACTTTTCCCTTCAGTAACAGGCACTCAATAGTGAATGAAGGGTCTTATATTTCTGGACAGTAGAGGAGACAGGCCATGTGATTTTAGTGACTAGAAGTCTTTAGGAAGAATTTGTGCTTAAATAATCCTCGTTTCTTCCTGTTTCAGAAAAGCTGAAACAGGAAGCAATTCTTTGTGGTACACTGATTTTATGGACTATTTAAGTAAGTGTGGTCAGATGTCGTACACTTCACAATAGACTTTTGTGTTTCACTCTAATAGAAATAAAGTTGTACTAGTGCTTCTCTATTAAAACAATTCTTTCTTTTCTTTTAAACTAAAGTCTCCAGTGCATATTGAATTGCTGAGGAATCCAGGAAGAGACAAGCTGAAGCTCCCATTCCATGGATCCTTTGGGCGCACCTTCCCAGTTTGTGGATGTGGATACACTGCCAAGCTGGGGTGACTCCTGTGAAGATGAATTAAATGCTTCTGATACTGCAGCGGAACCATTTCAGGAGGACACTATTAGATCACCTTTTCTTTATAATAAGGACATTAACGGAAAAGTGGTTCTTTGGTAATTCTTTGATTAAATCATGTGATGCGATATTATCTCCCAATTTTTTCTTAATTCTTTTTTTCTTAGAATTTTTTCTGAACTTTTTTTTTTTCTGTAAGCCTTCATATTGTTGGAATATTGCTCTGTGTATGCATCTACTGTTTAGTTGAGGTATAACTGCTATACAGTAAACTGCACATATTGAAAGTATACAATTGGGTAAATTTTAACATACATTAACCCATGAACCCATCACAATCAAGTTAGTGAAGATATTTATTATCTTCAGATTTTTTGAGTGTCCCTTTGTAATCTCTCTTCTGCGCTCCCTGTCTCCACATCCCCAAATAACCTTTGTTCTTTCTGTCACTATAGATTAGTTTGCATTTTCTAGAGTTTTATGTAAAAGAAATCATAATACATTTTGTTTTAATTGGCCTCTCTTGTTCATCATAACTATTTGAATGTTCATCTATGTTGTTGCATGTATTTGTAGCACATTTCCTTTTTATAAAAACTCTAAATGAGATATAAATCACCTACCGTACAATTCAGAAATTTAAAGTGTACACATCACTGGTCTGTAGGATATACACAAATTTATTTAACCATCACTACAATTATAGAACATCTTTATTAACTCAGATCCTGTGGTCTTTAGCAATCCCATCCTGTTTCTACCCAAATTCTTAGCTCTAGCCATCTTCCATCTACTTTCTGTCTCTATAGATTTACATATTCTGGGCATATCAAAAGTAATCCATTGTGACTTAACGTGCAAATCAATACTTCACTCCTTTTAAGGCCAAATAATATTTATTGTATAGATATACCACATTTAATTTCTCACTTCATTAGTTGATACATATTTGGGTTGTTTCCACTTTTTAGCTATACTAATGTTGCTGTGTCTAAACTCTTTAAAACCACCACTTTTAACTCTGTAAGCATTCTGTTACAATGAAGAAGAAATACACAAGAAGGAAAGGAATAACTTGATGGTTTACTGAGAGAGAGCAATGTTTTTAAGATATATTTTTCTGAATCAGGAACTATTTTTCTACTGTTGCTTAGCTTGTAAGCTAGCAAAATCAATGTTGTGAAGGGAATAAGGATAGAAAGTTTTGGAAGAATTAGAAACTAGTTCTCGTATCTCCTTTCTCTTCCTGACACTTACTCTTGATTGGTTGATTGGTTTCCCCAGGAAGGGAGATGTGGCATTACTGAACTGTACAGCCATTGTGAACACCAGCAATGAAAGTCTTACAGATAAGAATCCTGTGTCAGAAAGTATCTTCATGCTTGCAGGGCCTGATTTGAAGGAAGACCTCCAGAAACTGAAAGGTGAGAATTTTCTTAGGTATGTTATTACATTATTTAGGAAAGATTTATTTTGGTATCTTTTACCTGCAGAAGCATGCTAGGCATTTTAAGTGAGAAGATATGCAAATGTAGCTGCTCTGCTGTTAAAACTAAGTAAAAACAATCTTTGAAACCAAACACATACGTAAAATACTTGTGTTGAGTTCCTGAATTTTAAAGTCACAGTTAGATCTTTGTAGCATTTCCTGGCTTTTATTTCTTGAAGTTCCAACCCTTGTAAAACAGCTATTTTTCATCTAAGCGGAAAAGCTGTCATCATGATTTGATATTGATAGAGAAGTTTTTATATATTCCTGGTCATAGGATGGTGTTTTTCTGAGATGAAATTTACTTGTATATAAAACTACAGTGCATCACAAGAACTTACTGTCCTTTTTTTTTAACTAGAGTATTCTTTTGAAAATACATTTTTGGAAATGGGGACAGGAGAAGTCCTGTTAGTTCATAATCTTGTTTATCTTATTTGCTTTTATTTTCTTAAATTACCAACTAACAGCCAGTTTTTTGGTATTGTTATTTGAGCCCAAATAGACTATTGTGAAATTCAGTTATCCCATTTTATAAAAAAGATTTGTAAAACAGAGCAGTGTTTGTTAAAATGTAAGTAGTAAGGGCCTCCCCGGTGGCGCAGCGGTTGAGCGCTGGGTTGCGAAGCTGCCCGCAGCCTCTGCGGCACCGGTTCGATCCCCGGCTGCTCCCCGGCCACCGGAGGAGGGTCCCACATGGCGCGCAGACCTCTCCTGCCGCCCGCTGCACTTCGGTCCTTCTGCCTGCTCTGCTCCCCGATCTGGCTCTGGTGAATTCTCTCACCCTCCCGTGCTTCTGACTGTGCCCAGTGCATGTGTAAACAAAAACAGACAGACAAATAAATAAATAAATAAAACATGCCTCTATAAAAAAAAAAAAAAAAAATGTAAGTAGTAAACCTCAACTGTATAAAAGCCTTGATTTCTTTGGCCCTACTATGTAACATTGACAACTGATTTCTAACCTAAAAAAAAAATACTAGAATTTGAAGAGGAATACTTGAAAGTAGGGATCGAGAGAGAATTGCATTATCTGATGAAAGTAAACTTTGTGAGGGCAGAAGGAGAAAAGCCTTTTATTAAACAGAAAATGTGACAAATAGCATAAAGAATGTATAGAAAATAGAATATGTAGCTATAACACTGAGACGTGCTTTGAGAAACTGATCTGGGAAAATTCTTCATGGGGATGTGTGTGTGTGTGTGTGTGTGTGTGAGAGAGAGAGAGAGAGAGAGAGAGAGAGAGAGAGAGAAGAGCGAGAACTAATGGATAAAAAGAGAAATTAGGGCCTCCCCTGGCGGCGCATCGGTTGCGCGCTGGGCTGCGAAGCTGCCCGCAGCCTCTGCAGTGCCGGTTCGATCCCCGGCCACCGGCAAGGGTCCCACATGGCGTGACAGACCTCTCCTGCTGTTCCCGCTGCTCCCCTCAGCAGTGTATTTCGTCAGTCTGCCTGTTCTGTTCCCCGCTTTGGTGAATTCTCTCACCCTCCCACGCTTCTGACTGTACCCAGTGCTTGTATAAATAAATAAATAAGTCTTTTAAAAAAAGAGAGAGAAATTAATGAAACTTAATATAGATATACAAATACAACCTCAATAATTAGCAGCATTTGTTTGAGCATTTTCAAGCATGTTATACCCCTGCCCTTTATTAGCTAAGTAACTTAAGACCAGTTACTCTGCCTCCATGCCTGAATTTCCTTATCTCTAAAATGGGGATGACAATAATTCCTGTCTCCGTTCCTGACACATAAAAAGAGCTCACTGAAGTGTTTGGGGATGGAAAAAATTAACATCATACAGACTAAATTAAATAATGAACATTAAGTCCTCGGGCACATCCTAAGTGTTTATTATTGCTGCTGTTAGCTACTAACCTCAGCTGTGTTATTTAATGAGTCAGTGCCAGCCCAGAAAGATTATTGGTGATGCACTGAAAGGCTAAATACTTAATTGTGTCCCCCTGTTACATTTTTAATAACTTAGTAAATGATTACTAAGTATGACTCACCAAATGTAAAGAGGACAGAAAGGTTGAAGGAATAACAGAAGACATTGGATTTTTAAATATCTAAAGATTTTTAAATATCTTAATTGACTGGATATATGAGCCAATAAATAAATGACAGGAATGAATATAAAAGTCTTGCTGTAAGTTCAAAACATTAATTACCCAAGTTCAGAATGGGGAGCTCCAATTTAAGAATGTATTTGCTATCTTAATAAATGATGTTATTATCCACTCCACTTGTAATGCAAACAAGAAAAAAAACCTTTTGAGTTCACACTTCATCTTCCTTATCCTCCACAGAAAGCCTTAAATACTTCTGGGTGTCTGTTGCTGCTGGCTCATCACCGTGCTCAACATGCCTGCTTGTACTGGAGCCACAATCTCCCTCGCAGCCGGCTCCCTGCATCCATTCTTCTTTACTTAAATACGTTTTCTGCATAGTGTTTGCTTTTTAAATTGTCGAATCCCTTCCTATTGTTCCTCTACTAAAAACCCTTAGGTGACTGCCCATTATACACTTTTAAAAATAAAATCCAAACTCCTTCAACTGGTCTCTGAGGAGTGAGATCTTACCTCACTTGCCTCCAGGCCCGTCCCACACCCCCTTTATCCCTTTATCCTGCCTTACCATTCTTGGGCCACACTGACCTCTCCTTGCCTTGTCATTCAAGCTCCTTGTCAGGGTCCCATGGGCTGTTGCTCTTTCTCTCAGGTCTTACTTATGGGTAAGTCTTGGCCTCCTCGTGTCTTCCTCAAAGCACAGTTTCCTTTTATTCCAGAACAGATCGATCCCACCATGGCTTATGCCGCCAGCTTGCTCTTCTTCTCTTTTATGGCCTTATCACGATTGGGATTTCATAAATTATCTGATGATGCTGTTTCCATTAAACTTTAAAATCCTTGAGAACAGGGACTGTACGTCTCACTCGCCTCCACATGCCCAGTACCAGGAGTGAAGGCATCCTTGAAGGAGCTGATAAATAAATAAATAGAAATTCCCTTTAACCCATCTATTTGACTTTTTATTTCTGCTGTCACATTTTTCACTTGGTTATAACAGTTATGTAAGTGCTATTTCCTCTTTTCTGTCATCCCCCTTAGTTAGAGGCTTGCTTACTTCCTGGTGGCCATTGGCCATCAGCTGTATTTATGAGGGAAGAACTGAGAAGCAAATGTGCTTTGTGCACATGGGTAGGAGTTAATAGTAGGCGTTCTAGGAGCAGGTGATAGGGAGGAGCCCCATTGGCGGACATTCCTTAGTCACCAGGTCCTTTGGTTTGAACCTCTTAATTTATTTGGAAGGAACCCCCAGAGGCATAAGTATCACTGTCAGCTGAATTCCTTCTTTTCAGGTGTCCATGAGGTTTTTGAGTCCACAACTAGTCTAGTTCAACATCACCTAAGAATAAAACTCCTGCCTGCTACTCTGGTGATAAAGAAATCATCATCTTGCAGTGCTGGCTAAGGGAGAACTTATTGCACATTTTAATGTTTTTATATAAACTTAACCTCCTTTTTCTAATCCCACTTCACATCACGGCCTTTGTAATTACTGAGGGAGGACCTCCGATTTTTCAACCTTTCTAATGTTCTACAGCAATAATGACAATAAATGTATGTATGCACTCTGCATATTGAACTCACTCAACCCTGTGGTGTAAATACTACTAGTATCTCCATTACAAATTAAGCCAGGGGTAGGCCAAGCACCTGCCGACACATCACAGCAGAAAAGTAGGGGTGGACTCAGGATTTGAATCCAAATGATCCACCTTGAATCCAGCACTGACTTTCAGTACTAGCTTCATATTAGTTATCCCATTTCTGCAAGCAGTTAGGTTTCTCTGCTTTGCCATAATTGGTTACACTCGGTCCATTTACATCTTACCTTCTAAACTTTTTAAGATTTATTTATTATTTATGCATTCAAGAAGTGGAGTGTAGGCCAGAGGTACGGGGGTGAGAGGATTCACCAGAGACAGAGTGGGGACTAGAACAGGCAAATCCACTGAAATACACTGCTGAGGGGAGCAGCAGGTGAGATAAGAGAGATCTGCTGCGCCATGTGGGTCAGCTCCCTGGCCTGGGATAGAACTCATGTTGCAGTGGCTGGTGATAGATTGATAGTGCTGTGTCTTTAACCCCTGCACCACCAGGGAGGCCCCTACCTTCTAAATTTTTGATAATGATAGTGCTTGCCTATTTCATTCTTTCTCATTCTGTCTTTTTCCCTGTTGTGCTGCTTTATTGTCATTTTAGGAAAAGAGATGTTTATCTTCAATCCCTGACTTAAACTGAAATTTCTCAAAGTTCTAAACACTTTCTCTGATCTTTGCATTGTAGTTTTTTTCTTAATGCCTCTGCTGACTTATGTGTGTCTGTTATCCCCAGGTTGCCGGACAGGTGAAGCAAAGTTGACGAAAGGATTCCATCTGGCTGCTCGGTTCATCATTCACACTGTGGGACCTAAATACAAGAGCCGCTACCGCACAGCCGCTGAGAGCTCCCTGTATAGCTGCTACCGAAACGTGCTTCAGCTGGCAAAGTACGCCCTCTTGTTCCCAGGCCTGGCATGCCATTCTTTGTGAAAGCTTCCAGTTTTAAACAGAAACATAGCTATAGAAGTCAGATTTTGAGGGATTTACATCATTTAAGAGAACCCTGAAGTTAGAGTTATTTATCTTCTGAAACTTAGCAGGAGAGGAGTGGATTTGGGTGACTTGAGAATTAAACCTGTTCCCTTTTCACTCAGTCTTCACTTGGAAAATTTTTTCCAAATAGTACAGTTAAGTTATATGTCAGCATAATGATTAAACAGTGCAATTGGGTTGGCTTTTTGTCCACTTGTTGAAAGTGTAGGGAAGGGGAAATTGAGCTGCATTTTTAAATTACTTACATGTTGTTATGTATGTGTTATTAATATTGGTAAATCTTCATGTTTGCTGTTTGATTTCAGAGAACAGTCAATGTCTTCTGTTGGATTCTGTGTCATTAATTCTGCAAAACGAGGTTATCCTTTAGAGGATGCAACACACATCGCACTTCGTAAGTGACGCTGGGGACACTGCGTAAATTGACATCACTCTTAAGTAGGAGTAAGGGATGCTGGACATAAGTTTAGTTGTAGAAAATTTTTTCTATCACTAGCTAAATATTTTTAACAAAAGATTTGTTGATCATGGCACCCTGGAGGGAATTTTGTATTCACAAGTTGCACGGCTATCAGTTTACCTTACTGGGTTGGGTTGACATGTTTATTGATTTGCATAAAGACTTAGAAGAATTGTCTGTTAAATTTGAAGGTGATACCAAACAGTATAGCCAGTGTGTTGAGTATTTGACTGATTCATTATTCAGAATAATTGTAAGAGGCTGCAGCAGTGAAATCCACACAGATTTTTATATGTAAAAATATTATTTTTATTATAATGTATTATAAAATGTATTTGTACATCACTTAGCAGTTTTTAAGCAGCCGCTTTCAACAGAATTTTAATATAAAATCCTGAATTTGGGTTTTAAAATTACTGGGCTCAATCATTATGAGCCAAAATGTCATATAGTGATACAAAAAATATGATCATATGATCATGCTGGATTACATGAAGGTTCTGACCACATGTAGAGTTTGCATATAGTTTTGGGTGTCATATCTCATAATACACTGCAAACTGGAGTGAAAGAGTTGGAAGCATTAGTGGTATTTGTAAAACAACATGCTATTACTATATGGTGTCCATCATCAGATCTCTGAAGGAATCTATTGTGCATTCATTCTGTGCTGCATTTTTAGAGCAATGGTTCTTAAACTCTTTGGGGGGGTCATCATAAAACTTTACTGAGTATCTAATGAGAGAAAGTTGTGCACCCTTTCCCCAGAGAAGAGTATGTGTGTGTGTGTGTGTGTAGAATTGACATGCAATTTCAGAAAGTCCACAGACCTTTGTACAGACTCTAGATAAGACCTCTAACTGTGGAAGGCAGCTCTAAAATCAGAACAAGAAAGGAGACCTGGTTCCATGTGATCCAGGATTGTAATCTGCATAGAAATGTTTCCTTTTTTAATTTTTTAAAATTTTTTAAAGGATTTGTTTATTTATGCATATAAGAGCTGGGGTACAGGCCAGAGATGCGGGGGTTGAGCGGACCCACCAGAGACAGAGTAGGGAACAGAACAGGCAGATTGACTGAAATACACTGCTGAGGGGAGCAGCGGACAAGTCAGGAGAGGTCTACTGCACCATGTGGGTTGCTCCCTGGCCAGCTGGGGATTGCTTCATAGTGGAGTGCTTAACCTCTTGCGCCACCAGGGAGGCCCTGTTTCCTTTTTCAATTGTGGTAACATTAGTCTCTAAACTGTAGAGGTTGAGGTGCAGTTGCTCACCTCAGCAACTGTGTATCTCTTCATGCCCAACACACATCCAGTCACCACCTCCCAGTGGGCCCAGTAGAAAAGTATTTTAGATAAACTGAAAATAGAAAAGTAAATAAACTTGTCACTGGGAACATTGATGCAGAGGCTAAGGACCATCTGTTATAGATGTTAGAGAAAACATTACTCATTTGGGAAAAATATATACTGTAAAGGGATACTCTTGGCTATCTCAAGAATTTAAAGATATGGAGCTGAAAGTTATCTTCGTGAAAAATTATGAAGCTATTTTAATGTATATAATTATTAGTCTATAGCATAGAATTTAAGGTGAGGGCATATTGAGTCTTAAATAGTCTAATAATTAGCCATTGTTAAAACTAAGGTTTTCACTGCTCGAGGACTTGCTATAACTTTATAGTTGAAGTATATATGCATTGCGTATACACACACACACACACACTCACACACACACGAGCCGCAACTTCTTGAGGAACAGAGATTCCAGTGCTTCCATATGTCATGAAGTGTTTGCTCAAGAAATACATTTTCAGAAAGGGGATAAATTTCACTTCATTTCCTCAACAACCCTGTGTAGTTGAGTGTAGTTTAGACAGTATGATGTCTGGTTTACAAATAATGAGGCTCAGAAATCTATCATGTTCTCAGATTTCTGCAATTTAAAATATATAATCAGGCCTTCTCCCTGTCTGATGCTAGGTAACTCATTATGTTTCAGTTGGAACTGCTTCAATGGGGAACTATTATATTTTAACTACCTGGCATGTATTATAAATGATACTTTACCAAAGCAAAATGCTTGCCTTTGTGTAATTCTTCCTGGCAAGAATTTTAATATTCTCTGATTCCTTAGCCTTGGCCCTGTCATCTCATAACTTGAGCTTTGCTTTCTTTTCTCTCCATTACTTATAACAGTAATTGTATAGTTTAAAAAAAAATGTTTAAAGGCAACCGCATTTTATAGATCAGGTTCTGAAAAAGATGTCAGGCAGATTGGCTTTTGATCCCAGTTCTATCAGTCTGACTCTGAATGTGGCCCCAGGTAAACCATTTGATACAGTACCACAGAGAAGTCAGCTTGAAGGATTAATTACAGTAATAATAACAAAGATCAATAAGGAGTATAAGTTGATGAAGTGATTGCTAAGAATTTAATTAGCACAAAGAAAATAGAAAGTTTTAAAATGGGCAAGTTAAGTTACATTTTACAAGTCCTCTTTGTCTTATGACACCTTAAATCTAGTAGCAAAACTGTAACATCTCATTAAAAAAAAGAAATACACATACAGACAATTGTTTCCTTTGCTAAAATACTTTGAGCATTTGGGGAATAAATGACTTGTATATTATTGTAGCATATGTGGGCCAACAACAAATTTAATGGTTAAGTCCTTAGTACCAAAAGCTTTCTTACCCATTAAACTATTATCAAAGTTTATTTCCTTTGAAACTTAAGTGATATCCTCTTGATAGAGGTATCAAGATTATTTATCTTTTTCTTTCTTAGTTATTACGCAGTTCAGTTCTTCTCCAGAGGAAGCCTAAAGAAACATCTGCATTGAAATAAATTTATCAGGTTATTTATTCATTCAACAAAACCTTGAAGTACTACATGCTAGGCCCTATGCTATATAGAAGAGACCACAATGTTGAGAAAAAAGACAACAATGTTTGTTCTTTTTGAGTTTCCAGCTGGGAATTTTAATATCCCTGATGTCATTCTCTCCAGCTAAGGGTTTTCACTAAAAGTTAGACCATAACTTCCTGGTCAGTTACAGAGAATAGTGCGCAGATGAAATTTGGGAAGAAACAGTCTGGAATGTCAGTTAGGACTAAAACATTATAGTCATGACATCATCTTCTCCTTTTTGCAAAATTACTTTTCTTAATGAATTCTGCTGAGAGGAGTCAACTTGGTTATTTGTCTTCTAACAGAAACCCCACAGTGAAATGCTGGAAACTATTATGTGTGGACATTAAAACTCGGTGCCAAAGTAAAGAGGATAGAAGAAAATCCTTTTTTGAAATTTCATTTTTTTAAAAAAATATTAAAGCAGAATAGAGAAAAATGAAAAATGAATTTGGTGCCTAATAGAGGGGAAATTATGAATATTTGTTCAGTCCTTCAATAAAAGGGGTCTGCTCTGCTTGGTTCTCAGGAGGTCATAATGAACAGGCAGGGGATGTGTAGAGCCGCAAAATGTTAATTCAGCTACCAGTCCCTTTTAAATAGTTGCTGGCCATGCAAAATTTACTTGCCTTCAAAATGCTCTGTCCAGCTAGCTAGGAAACACTGAAACGTTCACAAAAAGACTGTTCAAGACTCAGAGGAGCACAGGTGGGGGGAGTTCAACCAAGAGGAGATTGCTTTTTGAATAGGTCTTGTAAAATGAATGGCTCGTGATGAAGTTCAACCAAGAGGAGATTGCTTTTTGAATAGGTCTTGTAAAATGAATGGCTCGTGATGAAAGAATGGCATTTTCTAGCCAAGGGAACCTTGCAAACACAGGGAGAACAGCGTCAAAGCAAGAGCGTGTTCTGGAGATGCATTTGACTACAGCCTGCCGAATGTGGGAGGACTGTCACTGGAAACAGCACTGAGGGCAGGGGTGAGCTGGTGGGTAGAGAGCCCTCCTCAGGACCGTGAGTCTCACCCACAAGCGGTGCAGAGCCGTGGAAAGCAGTACAGAGGGTGACTTAAGGCAAGTTGGGCAGCAGTGGTGTGTGGACTTGGAGAAGAGAAACTTGGAGAGCAGTTCAGAGCTATTGCTAGAGACTGAAGCTTTGAGAATCTGAGAGCAACTGGGAGGGAAGGAATGCACATTAGAGCAGCAATAGAATTTAAAGGCCGTGATAACCCGTTAAGATGCAGGATGAAGGAAGAGGTGACATGTCAAAAGAATTCCAAGTTCCAGTGTGGAAACTGATTGGCAGCTGCTCTGTAACTTAGACAAAGGCCCACAAGTCAGGAGTGGGTTTTGTGGAGGAAAGATGGGAGCTAGGATGGGACCTGCTGGGTTTGAGGTCTCTGGGTTATCTGAGCAGGTGTGCGCATTCGGCGATGGGAATGCAGGGCGTTTGTTCAGAAAATAGAAGGTAAAGATTTGGGGTAGTACCTAATCAGGTTAGTGAGCAATGAAGTCTATCTGTATTTCAAGAGAATAAAACATGTAGAGGAAAGAACCCTGGGGACGTTTTAGAAGGAGGGACGTGTGTGTTAGGACTAAAGTTAGAAAGATCTCTGGTAAGTTAAAAAGTGAAAAAAATTAAAAACTATTAGAACTTGTTATTTAGAAATTGATAGAAGAATCAGACTGACAAAAATTCAATCACCGAGCTTTGGCTTGATGGGATTTTGACAGTGACAAGAGGCTGAGTGTGCATCTGATCACTAAGTGAGTGAGTGCAGAGGCACTTGTGCTGGATCATTCTATTCAAAGAGAAAGGCCCCTGGGAATAAGAAGCATGCACTGGATAAGGGAGAATTGTCCAGTCATCATCTCCTGTGACCAGACACTATGCTAGATACTGTCAGTAGAGCAGTAAATAAAGTAAAGCTTCTTGTTTTGGGGGCGCTCTCATTCTAGTGGGTAGGGCAGGGGTGGGGTGGGGGTGTATAGTCCAGAAACGACAGCGGTCTAGAGTAGTGACTCTGGGAAATAGAGCAGGGAATGGTCCTAAAATAGGGTAGTCTGGGCAGGCGTCCCTAGTGACGGTGTCACTGGGCAGAGACCCGGAATGAAAGAGTGATCCATTGCAGACAGAAACCGTGAAAGAGTAATTTTTTTCTTCACACATCATTAATTTCTCATTTATTGAATAATCTTTCTGTTCTTTTCTTTAGGCACTGTCAGGAGATTCCTAGAGATTCATGGGGAGTCGATTGAAAAAGTAGTATTTGCTGTCTCTGAACTTGAAGAGGTATTTTGCTAATTTTGTTGCATTGTTTAAATATTATTTTCATTTGTGTTTACTTTTGTCTCACAACTATTATTTCCTGAATTGCCAACCAGCAAATCTTTTTACCTGTGTATGTATTAGACAGTGAACTTCACTGTCATCTGCTGGAAAAGACTGTCTTAGCTACTCAAAGCACGTCAAGAAAGGGCATCTTGTTGATATTTTTCACTGCTGAATGGTTGTCACCTAGTGACACCTTGCCAAGGGAGCAGTGCCTTGTGGTTCATTTCGTTAGCTCTCCAGGCATCGCCTATGACCTCAGCACTGCGGGCCCCGACAGCAAAACCAGAAAGCCACAGTGAGTGGCAAAGTTTGGCATTTTGTCTGACCTGGAAAGAAACAGGTGGCAACCGAGCCGAGTGGCCGGCGCTGAGCAAGTTGTTCGGTTCATGCCTTGTTGGGTGTGGTCCGTTTAGTGTGATTCCATTTAATTTAGAGCCAGTTTAGAAAACTCTGACATTTTTTGTATTTTTTTTTTCAATTTATTAAGCTGCCTGTATTATTTCTGTCAGTTGCGTGTCCACAGACACATTACTTACCTTCCCTGTGCTGTAGGAATATTAGCACACTTCCATCACAAGAGCGTTGTGATAGATTAATTAATGCATATGAAATATCCATTCAAGGTACATATAACTGCAGACATGAGCTAACATGCTTTTGAATTTGCTAAAATAACACACATTTGCTTTGCTTGCTGTCCCTTCTTGTTTCACCTGGCTTGTCTATTCATTTACTAGGTTCTAGGGCCACCCCAGTGACTAGGTCATTGTCCTTGCTCCTCCTGGGGAACAGAGAAGAGTTCCTTACCATCAGTATACCTAAAAAAAGGTTATTAAAATTTATCATCTAGGGTCATTGCACTCTTTTTTAAAAGCCACTTATGAATAATTTATTGAAGAATAGAGAGATAATGGAAAACATTTTTATTAGGCATTCAGTAGAATGTAAACATAACAAACCTCTGTGTATCAAGTAAATTTTGTTGCACAACATCATGAAGGGAGTCTGGCAGTTCTTCAAAAAGCCAGATTCCTTTTAGATATCTGCAGAAGAGCTTTGAAAACAGAGGTCCACACAGACACTTATACTTGAATGTTAGGATCACTTTATTCATAATAACCAAAAAGTAGAAACAACTCAAATGTTTTTCACCGACCAACTGATGAAATGATAAACAAAATGTGGTATATACATTTAATGGAATACTATTAAGCCATAAAAAGGAATGAAATATTGATTCATTCTACAATGTGGGTGAGCCTTGAAAACATTATGCTAAGTGAAAGAAGCCAGTAACAAAAGGCCACAAATGCATTCTGTTTTTATAAAATGTTCAGAATAAGCAAATCCATAGAGACAAAGGGTAAATTAGTGGTTGCCAGAGACTGGGAGTGGGGAGAATGGGTTATGACTTAACTAAGGACTATAAGTTTTCTTTGGGGATGATGAAAATGTTCTGAAATTAGATAGTGGTAGTGATTCCACAGCTCTGAATATACTAAAAACCACTAAATTGCATACTTTAAGAGGGTAAATTTTATGGTATGTGAATTGTCTCTAAGTATTTTACAAAAGGCTGCAGAGATCACATCTCCAGCCTTACCTACCTTGAAAAAGATGTTACAGCGCTGTGGGTGATACAGTAAGAAAACAGTGGGTAATGTTTTAAATGACTTCATTGCTCTTGCAAGCAATTCCATCATTCCTTTGGTTTTAGTCATTTTTAGGAGAGTTGGGAATAATGGATGCATACAGATAAAATAATTCATAGGATGATGAAAAACCAAAATGCTTCAAGAGACAAGAAAAATAAGAGCATTAAATGCCTATCATGAGTTTATGCATGAGTCCAGTGGGCCAACCTGCAGAGAAATAAGATGGAATGAGTTTTATTCTGTTTTTTTTTTTTTTTTAAGTAAAATTTCTTTTTTCTTTGAAAACCTCTAAGAATAAGTCATGAGTAAAAATCCTTCAAAAGTAATTTGAACTGCTTAAAAAAAAATCTCAAAAACTAAAGGCTGATCAAATGGACCCTGATAGCACCCTGAGGCTCAGAGGTAGCCTGAGCTGAATCTTGGATGACAGGTGTGGAGGACAGTGAGGGCTGGGGCAGGGGCAGGTGTAGCAGGATAGTGCCTTCAGGTGGAGAGGCCAGAGTGGCGTCCTGTCTACCTTGACTAGCTCACAGCATCCTGACTTTAACACCAGCACTGACTGAGGGGCCAGACTGTGTCTGGCCTGAGCACAGAAGGCTGAAGGCCTCATGCTCGACGGCGCTGTCCTTAGAGTGCTGGGAGCAGCTCCAAGCTCTGCAGGTGCTGCCTCACTTTGCTGTTTTTCACAGAATGTTTTGCTTTTCTGACACAGGCTACTTACCAAAAGCTGCTACCTCTGTACTTCCCAAGGTCACTAAAAGAAGAGAGTCGGACATTTCCATCCCTACCTGCAGACATTGGGAATGCAGAAGGCGAGCCCGTGGTGCCTGAACGGCAGATAAGAATAAGTGAGAAGCCGGGCGCGCCAGAGGGTGAGTGCCGCATTTCTTAACTTCCCTCTGAAGGACACCACGGGGCCTGTAAGACACTGGCCACAGAAGAGGCAAGAGGTTCAGCTTGACCTCTGGGAGGCTGTCTGTTATGTGACACTAAGGTCCAGACCAACTCAGATGATCTTAGAGTCTCATTCTTGTTAAGGTTTATCCTTGGTAGGTGATGTCAAGTTTCTGTGAAGCGGTGGCGATGCGGAGGTGAATGTAACAACTTTGTCATTCTCATGAAGCTTACGGTTTCGTGCAGGACACTGTTGAGACAGTAGTCCAAGGCCATTGTCAGCTTAAATTATAAACCCCTTCAACAGTGTCCTCTACTAACATTAACTACTAAGACCAGAATAGAGCCACTTGTCCTGTTTCTCTCGGTTACGTATGCAGGTAGATTGAAGCAGTGGGTGGGACGCGCAGGGAGGCGTCCCTTTGAATCACTGTACCACAGCTCGCAGTGAGCTTTATGGTTACACGTTGAAGGTTGTAAGTCCTTTCTGTGGAGACATGGTTATTAATGTCAATGCTGGCACTTGATCTTGAAATTCAGCAACTTAGGAACTGCTGTGAGGTTCCTGCTGTGAGCTCTTTTACTTGAGTATCAAGTTAAAATCTGTGGAAAACTCATCACGTGGGAGCAACTATAAACAGGGTAGCATTTGGAAATGTCTGGACCAAGCTTTGCTGGATGGGTGTCTGTGTTCTTTACGGAGCCCCCAGGACAGCACTCCTTAAGCTATGCCCAGAGTCATTTGGAAGCCCCGTCATTGTGACCACACTGTAGGATGTCATCTTCCCAAGTGCATTTTACCTGACAAGAAATCGCAAATGGCAGGTGGATGGATCTGTGATGGTGGCAGAGCTGTGCAGAGGAGGAGGCCACGGGCCAGAGTGCCTTCCACCCTCCATTCTCAAAGAGTGCTTGATTTTCAGAAGGTGGACTAGTGCCTTTTGGGGCAAAATGGATAGATCTTGAGGTGACTATGCTAAGTGAAACATTTCAGAAAATGTAAAACAGTTACCGGATGGGCTGACACATTTATGAAATATAAATAACCAAAGAGGACAAAACAACAATAATAAATCTTAGAGTCTGTGAATAATGTATGGTTACCCAGTGATGGGGAGGGGTGGGGAAGGAAGGGCAGGAGCAGGGTGTGGTGCAGGAGAGGTGGTGGAGGGCGAGGGACATGCATATGGTGGGGGTGTCAAGTTGGACTCCCAAAATGTCAGTTTTGTAAACTAGTGGTAAACCAGTAAAACGTTTTTTTAAAGGGTAACTTGCATTATAGCTCAGAAAATAGTATCACATCATAGATGCAGACCTCTGTGTTCATAAATATTTCTAATAAGAATGTTAAATATGTTAAAAGAGATGTAACATCAGCTTTACTTAAGAGATTAAAAGAAGGTTCTTTCATGGATATTGTCTCATGAAAGCAGACTCTTGGAAGTCACAGCCTGAGGAGCAGCCGGAAGGCCCACCGCACTGGGCTTCAGGTGGTCACGTGGCCTGGGGAGCTCCACTTGGCCCATTGGGTTTTTTGGGGGTTTTTTGTTTGTTTGTTTTAATTTCAAACTGGTAGGCAGTGGAGACCACTGAGAGAAGCTCCATCCCTAGCAAAATAAAATGTTCCTTTGGGTAAATCAGGAAATTGACTTATTCACTTGTGGTATGAACCAGGATTGTTAAGGACCAGCATGGTTGTCTAGGCATGACCAGCCCAGAAAGCAACACGCCAGTTAGAATCAGGCATATCTCAGTGAGTGTGAGACATTCCCTGTCACCCTGACCCTGGTCCCTCCGGTTTCCTTCGAGGTCGCCATGCAGAAGGACTGGGGTGGATGTGCCAGTCCGTCTGAACAAAAGCTCCCAAACATTTCTTCTTTGATCACTTTTGTTAGATACTGTGCTATGTTCCACCTTTAAATCCACATATAATGTAATTACTTCCATTTTGTTGCTTAAGATCACATTCTGATACTTCACTGTTATACCCAGGTCACTGTGACACTTTGATGTATTTCTCACACTTCTGTCCCACTTGCACAAGCGGTTTCCTCACTTCATTTCTTCAGAGGCCTGAATCTGATTTCGCTTTCATTCTGAAAGATAATCTTAACCCCGGTGCCTTACCTCGCAGTCCTGCCTGTGCAGCACCCACAGGCTGTTCACAGCATTTATTGTCAAGTCTTGTCATCCACTCTGTGCTGATAGTATTTTTGTTACAGACAGCCAAGAAGAGGAGGATGAAGGCTTGGGGGTCGATCTCTCCTTCATTGGCTCCCATGCTTTTGCTCGAATGGAAGGAGATATTGACAAGAAGAGAAGACTAATCCTCCAGGGACAGCTGTCAGAGGCGGCCCTGCAGAAGCAACACCAGAGAAAGTAAGGCTGACGGGACATGAGATAAAAGAACGCATCTCATGTCTGCTCAGTGATCTCCGTGCAGCGTGTCCCGATTTATTCTCCATGACGTTCCAGTGCAGAAAAAATCATCCCCATTTTGTAGATGCCAATCCTCAAGGTTAAGTGACTTATCAGTGGTCACAGTTCGTGTCTGGTAGAGCCAGTGTCAGATGCATATCTGATTTCTGAGCTCCTACTCTCTCTCCTATGGCTGGAGGATAATCTTTGCATGAGATTATATTCTAGAAGAAGGGTCTAGGGAAAGGCAGTTTCAAAGCACTACTTAACATTACTATGTTCATAATTATTAAAGTTTGTTCTTTAAGTTTTATTAAATTTACAAAAAGCTTTACTTCTCCCTGATTTATCCCAAGGACCTTATAAGACCATTGTCTCAGGTACTTTATAAAGCAATTCTGAATAAATCCTTTTTAAAACATAAAGGAAAACAGCTTTTGTGCTTCTAGATAAGCTTTTCCAAAGACAACAGTCCTTGGACAGCTACTTGCTTTTCAAAAAGTTTTAAGGGAAAAAAAAAGAATCACAAACTATAAGTGGTCCCTGCCATCCAGTACCTTACAGGTTGGTTGAGAACATCTCGCCGGGTTGATGTGAATGTAAAATTAGACAACGGGATGCGCTTGGCACTGCACCTGCTGCTTAACAAGTCTTTCAGATTGGCCACTGCCATTCTCTTCAGTCTGGGCAAATTATGCCATCTTATCTGTGAGCCTCAGTACTGGCCAGCCTTGTCTGGCAGCATACTCTCCTCCTTCAGCCCCTGCGGGTCCTCCAGGTCTCTGCAGAGTTTTCAGTCTTCATTTTATTCTAACTTTATTTTTAGAGATAAAGCAAATTACCACGAGGGGGCACCAATGACTAGCTTTTCTGGAGATAATCCCAATCACCTGACGGTTTCAGTGGATCCTGTGCTTGACCAAGTGTAAAAATCTCCTGGCAAACATTTTTCTTTAACTACAGTGACTGGGCTTCCCCTCCAGTCTGGACTTTGGCATCTATATTTATTTTAAGGCTTTGTCACATCCTGGTTCACACCTGGCTGGATTTGAGTACTTTTGTCCTGGGGTACTGATCCTCCGACTGTTTGGGCTCGGGTCCTCTTTGCACACTTAAAAGTTATTGAGAACCTCAAAGAGCTTATGTTTACATGGGTTTTATCGAGCAGCATTTATCATTTGAGAAATAATTTATTATTTGTTTTAAAATGACCCAGCATTTTTTAATGAAGAATAACTATATTAAAGTTTAGTGAGAGGAACGTCACTGTTCTATACTTTTGCAAATCTTTTAATGTTTGGCTTCATAAAAGAAAGTTGGTTTCTCATGTCAGCATTCAAATTATTTCTGTAACTTGTTGGGGGTAAATTATATAGAGAAAATCCAGCCTCATTCAGATATATAATTGGAAAAGGGAGATATATTTTAATAGTCGCTTCAGATAATTAGGGATATTCTTCTTGATGTTCACTGTAAAATGATAGATGGGACTTTCTTAAAGTTTAGCTGAAACATGGAATTGCAAATCATATCCATGAATTTTTGTAGTAAAATATGTTGCTCTCTTCACTTTAAATATATTTTTAATAGGAATTTACAGCGGGAATTTATAACATCATAAATCATGTTTTAGGGAATATTTACTGAATAAATCAGATCTTTCGATACTGACATATTTCATTACACAATATTAAAAATAAGTTTGTTATTGTCACCACTGATGTTATCAGAAAGGTCTTTAAGTGTTAGAAATTGTAAGCTTTTGGTATAATTTTCAAAAATTAAATATTTTTTACAGGCCCATGCTTTGTCGTTATGAACAAATAACGTTGACTATTTTTCTTGAAATGACAGGGTCACCATTCATTTTTGAGAATACATCAAAAATGTATAGATGGCCAAATATTCCTGTTGAGTAACCAGTTTGTTTGCTACTTATCCTTCAGTGTAAACATGGTGTTCCATGAAAGAAGGCAGCTAATTTAGCTCACAAATCAATCACATAGTGCTTTTTCTTTCAAATCAGCCTCATTTTTCAGAATCCATGCTTTAGCATTCTTCCCATTTTTTTAACACATTAATATTTAATATTCCCAAGGATTGATTTAATAAAATTAATATTTTTTGCTTCCTCCTCATATAAGCTTTTTAATGAAACTGGCTTTTCTTCCCTTTATTTGACAATGAAGAACACAATGACTACTGTGCGGTCTATTGCCACCACCTCGATTCATGCTAAGACTCCAGTAGTTTATCCCACATTTGCTTTTGCAACATCAGTGCAAACACCAGCACAGAGAAAGAGGCAAATGATACTTCAGTATTATTCTGAAAATAGGTTTGGTTTTGCAAATTTGTAAGGTAGCTGTTGACACATGCATAGATAAGTAAGATAGTGTCTCCCTTCTGGAAATTCATGAAGGAGCCGCACTGCCTTCAAATGCCAGAGTATGTCTGCACAGCACAGAATTGCAGACCTGGGGAGGAGGCTTTGGCCCCCAAAGCCTGAACTGAGAAGCAAAGGATTGATATCTCTGCCACTCATGCCCCTTGAATGATGGGCTCCATCTGAGTCCAAAGATCTTGGGATTTCCTAGCCCAGTGTCTGTAATGATTAAAGACGAGGCCTTGTCTTCTGTCTATATGGAATAACACTTCAGACTAATAACTGTGACTCAAAAGTGTGACTCAGGAAACCAGAGACCCTTTCAGGAACCAGTGAGACCAAAACTGTTTTTATAATGTTACTAAGACTTAACTTGCACTTTTCATTCTTATCCTCACAGTGTTCAGTTGAGCTTTGCAAAAACTACTTAATGTGTGATATTGCAGGAGATTAAATGAAGAAGCAGATCATGTAGGAGTCAGAAACTGAAGGAATTTGTAGAATGTAAAAGAATGTGACTTTCTCCCTAAATATAGCTTTTGTCATGAAGTCCCATGTGTTCACAATAATAGGATATTTAGTTTTTAAGTTAATAGATAATTGTTTTTCAAAATTTCTGGTTTTATTTCTAATAAGAGGGTGAATATTGGTGGTTAGAAATGACATAGCTTAGCTGTTCTCTGGGTATGCTACGTATTTAAGATTATAGGTTGTAATTGATTTTCAAGTTTACTCATCTCTCTCTAAATCAGACTTGCATTTACACATGTGGACTGTGGTTTCTGTGTTAGTTGGTCAAGTTGAACAAATGATAAAACTTTATCTCTGAGGGAAGTAAGTAGGTTTTTGATGGGTAGTAGCTTTTCGAAAGCCTTCAATTCTTCCATCAGTAACAAAACTAAAGGTCACATGGATTGGCTAAAGGATTAGATCATTCCTTCCATAGCACTGCCTTGCCACATCAGTGTCTTTTTACAATAATTCTTTTGAACATCTGAAAAAAATTAGACACGTCTAATTCTTGCTATATGTGACATTGATTTGGGTAGATCATAAGATGGAAGTTACTTAGAAAAATTAGAAAGTAACTAGATTTTTTTTTCAAAGATAGAACTTTTAAAATTCTTCATTATTTTGCAGTCACTTTTTTTCTTTCTTGTTAGAATTTCTTGATTGGCTTAAGATCCAGTTGTCTGTAACTCTTATGTCATTTCTCACAGTAAAAGCTTTATCTCATGCTCTGAAATGAGCCCTTAAGTGAGGTGCTGAACCAGGTAATACAGTAACATGCAGACAAGTGCCACCCCAGCCTTCGTGGTGTTAGGTCTTGCAGAAGAGAGAAATGGTACACTAATTATTAAATGAACAATTTTTTTAAATTACAAGCAAGAGGGGCAATAAAAGTCTAACAAGTCCAGTGTGGGGCAGTTGCATGAGGTCAAGAACGGCATATGAATGCCAAAGCCAGAATTTTCCCTGGGCTTTGGGTTTGTTTGTTTTTTGGTTATTTTTAAATTTATTTAGCCATACAAGAACCGGGGTACAGGCCAGATGCGCGGGAGGGTGAGAGGATTCACCAGAGACAGAGCGGGGCGGGGAGAGAACAGGCAGACTGACGAAATACACTGCTGAGGGGAGCAGCAGGCAAGACAGGAGAGATCTGCTGCGCCATGTGGGACCCTCGCCAGCCAGCTGGGATCGAACTGGCACTGCAGAGGCTGCGGACAGCCTCACAATGTCACAGCACAGCGCTCAACCTCCTGCGCCACCAGGGGAGGCCCTGAGCTTTTGGTTTTACATACGTGGGTTAGTTGTTGGCCTGTGTGACTCATGCAGGGTAAGTTCTCTTTCAGCCTTTAGCCATGTGGGCAAATGGCAGTTGATTAATTGGGAAGTGTCGACTCCCAGTAGCACTGCGAGGACAGCACCCAGCCTCAGTGGCGACGACCTGTTAAAGAAACCGCAGGTTTCCTGCTGCTTGGAAAGCAGAATGTTCCTAGTTGGCGTGATTTGGTGGCTTATATTATGGCTCTGGGAACGCTAATACCATTAATTGATATGGAAAAGTTTTTAAACATTTCCCAAACCCCAAAATAACCTACCAAATCATACAAGTAGGAAATTCTACTTAGTGATAATGAAAAAAACCTGTACTCAGCATCGTGCCTCCAGTGTGCTCCACCCAGTCTACTCTTGCTGCCATTGTGACGCGTCTCTGCGACTGTGTAACCGGGAGTGCTGTATTTTATCCATCAAGTAACAGAAATTTGTTTATTTAGAATAAGCTATAGGAAAATGAGGGGCTATTTTGAATTGATACTTTCTTTTTTCTGGTTTGGGTATGATTGTTGGGTTGGAATGAAAGATTGCATCTTGAAAAAACTCAAACTGTGGCAAAATAAAAGGTGCCATGCATAAGAGCTGCAATGGAAATTTTTTAATATTTCTTGAGAGGATGAGGGAAACAAGGAAAGCACTGTCTTTGCTCAGAGAAGATAAAGCTGACGCCTGCTTTTACTTTCTCCTCCTAAATATAAGTTTAGAAGAAGAAATCCTGTGTTATGAAAACATTAACAAGGATGTAAAGTAATGGGATTTCATTAATAAATAATCTTATGCCAAAAAATACTTTGATATGGAAGAAAATGTGACTAAATAATCAAATTAGCCTTGCATATTGCAACAACCTCTATGAGAGTCAAGGGGAATTAATCCTAGGAGTAGCTGGATGAAGATGCAGCCGTGATTTGTTGCCTTCAAATTCATTCCAGGTCCCTCCAACCAGGAACATCGCTGGTTTTTCCACAGTAACTCCAAACCTTTCTTGAAACGTAAAACCTTTAAGAAGCTGATGTAAACTATTGGCTAAATCATAAAACTATTAGAAAGTAGTACATGCATCTAGAGATTTAGATAAATAACCTAGGAAATGAATCCAGGTGAAAATCCAGAGTAGCGTGTATGAGCAAAGAGCACTGCAATGAAAAGGGTCTTTTCTTGGGATGGGGGGGGGGGATGGTCTTTTCTTGACGGGCAGATTATATCCTAAACCAATATTAAAAGCTGTTGTCTCTGACTTTTCAGTTCCCACAGATGGGCACATTTCCAAATTTCAAAAGGCAAACTGTATACCAAGTGTATTTTTCTACAATCAGTAACAGTCTCTATTGTTATCACCTGTTGATTGTAAACCGTTTGTATTGGACTTCCTGTCGCAGACCCTCAGTGGTGTGGCTGCACTTTATGGCTGATAGGTGCCCCACTTAAGCGCCCTTTTGCAGACCAGGGAACTGTGGTTCATGGGGCTGAAGCAGCTGCACAGAAAGTGACGGGATGGGGACCCAAGTCTCCCCTCTCCTGGTTTTTTGATTGTTTTTTAATTTTGTGGGCTGCTGCCATCTATGACTTAGATGCCTCAGATTATTTTTGATAGAGTCAGGTACCTTGAAAGTTTTTTTGTTTCCACAATCAAATAAGTGGCAATTTGAATTTTAAGAAAGGCATATGAAACAATAGAAAAATGTGTGGACCTTTCCAGAAACCTTAATGTAACTTCACATTCAACTCTACCACTAATGGATGGGTAATTCTAGGATTAACTCAGCATTTGCAGGTCATTTCTCTACTTTGAGATCATGAACATCCTTTCCAGCTTTAAAATCCATAGTCAAAGCTAAAGTGCAGTCCCTTTGATCTGGTATAGGGGGCTTTAGCACCACTCATTGACCAGCCATTAATGTACCTAGGCTTTCCAGATGATATCACCACATTCTTTTGTGGCCCCATGTAACATGTGCAGCAGTCCCTGTTTTTCTTCTGAATAGTGAGCTCTTGAGGCCAGTGACCATATCTGTTCATGAGAGTATTCTCAATACCCATCATGTAGTGAGCACAGAATAAGTCTTCGTTGAATGAGTGAGCACTGCTTTCTCCGTCTATATTTTTTTACTAAAGGAAAGCAACAGCATTTAAAAATGATCTTACTTTGAACACTTGGTTTCTTACCCATTTATCTGAGTAGTTTTCATCTGATCATAAAAGATGTTTTAAATCTTTTAATAGGAACATCTTCCTTTCACAGTGTTTGTGTTAATTTTATCACTAATACATAGAGATTCCATCTATTACATAACAGCTTCTTTGACTCCTTCCTCAATATAATGAAACATCAGTTCTTTAGGAACAGGGAAAGAACAGATTCCATTTGTAATGCAAGATACAGGGGTATGTTGTAATAATTTTATCCTTTATTTCTCTAGTTATAATCGCTGGTTATGTCAAGCAAGGTCTGAGGATCTGTCCGATATTGCTTCTCTAAAAGCCTTATACCAAACAGGTGAGTTGTTCTCAGTAGCATGCTGTTGGAGACTTCCGTTTCTCCAGTTTTGTCCACTTATCTATGAATAAACTCTTTTGTACTAATGAGGATAGTTTTTGCTTGTTGTAAAGATGTTTAAAATAACATCTCAACCCATAATATTTTCAACTTGTAGTTGTACATTGATTAACTTCATTTCTTCTTAGTGTCCTTTTTCATACCTTTTAAAATTCCTTTCCTGCCTTTGGAAGTACCATATATTTGCTGTGTAAGTTCAGTCCTTACATAAATGTATATTGACATAGACAATTCTCAGATTACCACTCTATCTCCATTATATTTCTTTTACAAACACTAGTTGTTAATTTTCAGATTTATAAAAAGATCTTTGCCCTGCGAACTTACCTTTGACTGACCCTAATTTAAAACCTGTAAGAGACCTTATCTTAAAAGTGAGGGCAGGGCCTCCCTGGTGGCGCAGCAGTTGAGCGCTGGGTTACGAAGCTGCGCGCAGCCTCTGCAGCGCCGGTTCGATCCCCGGCTGCTCCCCGGCCACGGAGGAGGGTCCCACATGGCGCGCAGACCTCTCCTGCCGCCCGCTGCTCCCCTCAGCAGTGTACTTCGGTCCTTCTGCCTGCTCTGCTCCCCGCTCTGGCTCTGGTGAATTCTCTCACCCTCCCACGCTTCTGACTCTACCCAATGCATGTATAAACAAAACAAACAAACAAATAAAATAAATAAATAAAGCATGCCTCTAAAAAAAAAAAAAGTGAGGGCAATCATCAACACCTCATGAGGCTAAAAAAAAGTTGTTTTCCACAGAGTACACGATTTCTGAAGATGAAATTTGAGAAACTTAATGATGCTGGTTTTTGACCTTTTACAGTGGTGTAGAATATTTTCATGGGGTAAAAGCTCAGGATAGATACTTCTTCTGGAGTGGTTTCTGGGTGCTGACTCCATCTCCTGTGTGCAGGTGTTGATAACTGTGGCCGGACAGTGATGGTGGTCGTCGGAAGGAACATTCCTGTCACATTAATAGATATGGACAAGGTAAGCCATGAAAAGGTCCTGTTTTCCAAATAATGTTCATTTTAAAAATCAATAGGATGTGAATTGGGAGTCAGGACTTCAGAATATGGATCCAACACAATCATGCGTGGCTGATGGAGTAGCAGCTCTGGTCTTTGAGTTAGTGATCATCATTTCGGTAAGTTAGGGATTTATTTTGTTCTGTAGGAGACACAAAAATACTGGGATAGCAAAATTTTATCTCTCAAAATGCAGCCGCTTTGTTTTGGATATAACTGTCAAATTTGGGGTTGGAATCATTCCAGTTGTACTTACAGTCAAATTCTGCCTTTCTTAAAAAGAAACCAGCTCTTGAATAGCTATGAGAAAAGAAGAAATCAGGGTAGTTAACTCAAGAAGCATAATTCCATAATTCTTTCATTTAGAGGCAAAGGACAGAAATAGATGATTCATAGAAGTGATATAATTGGTAAATAAAAGTAAGAAATGTTTAACCTGATCAGTAGTGACTAGAATAAAATATCTCTTTGTACCTTGAACATTAGCCAAAGCTTTTTTAAAAAGTAATGATTGTCATCAAAGATAAATCAAAACTAATAAAAATGGGCACACCCATGGACCCAGTGATTCCATTCCTGAGTGTGTGCTAAGGACATATTCCGGAGTATGGAAATAGCTATAGGCCTTGAAACTGCCCAAATGGAACTGCTTGGGCAAGAGACATTTGACTTCACGGGATAAACATGTAGCTCTTCCTAGCACATTAGTTTTATTAGAAACTTAGTGCAAAAGGAAGAGAATCTCTTTAACTCGTAAATAATTCTTAACCATAGTAAAAAAAAAAATTCTATTTCAAAATGTAAAAATGGCACAGAATTTTAAAATGAAACCCAGTTGTACCAAAGCAGAGGACTGCCTCCTGCTTAGTCCTTAGATGCCTGGTCACTGGTGTTTGGGCCTGTCATCTTACTTACAGGCTCATTTGTAGCAAAAATTACTAAAGTGTGCATGCACAAATGGAATGGTCTGTGATCCTTAAAATTATGGTTATGGAGACAGGTACTATAGAGAAATGTTTGCAATGTAATGCCAGTAGGATAGAAAGGGATATATTAAGTACTATAGTCACTTCCCTTTTTTTTTTTTTTTTTTAAGCATAAAGATAAAAACTAGAAGTAAATATCTCAAAATGGCTTTCACAGTTCTGGGGAGAATTTTTTTTCAACATTTTTTTTTGTCATGTGGCAGTCCTTCTTGTAATGAAAAAATAAGTGGAAGATGGGAAATTTGAAGCCAAAAGTGGGAATGTTAATTGCTCTGGGGAGGGCATGCAAAATGGACAGAAAGAAGACCAGAAACAGTGTGATAATAAAAGTACATGCCTGCACTTTCATTCATGCACACTGAAAAAACTCAACTGAATGCAATTATATCATTGAAGTTCCTGTTTGTGGTCACTTGTGTTCTTAATAATCAGTATGGCATTCATCCTCATCATTAATAATTGACTCAGTAAGAACATAAACCCTGCATTTGATTTTGGTGTGCTCTTGCTTGGTGTCCTGGGTATTCATGAAGAATTACTTCAGAAAAAATAAAATGAGCTGAATTGTGTGGTCCAAACCAGGTTATAACTGAAGAGATACTGTGTTTTCTTAGTGACCCCCATCTGTGTATGCTGGAGACCTGGGGTCCTAATCCATAGTAATCCAATTGTGTTCATGCCAGACTTCCCTGAGGAGGATGTGGAAAATAGTCTGACTGATAGTAATCCTTCACTTGGTGGGTCTTAGCTTCCTCTTTGTCGTTATTTTTAGCTAAACCTCTTGGTCATACGGGCCTTACCCAGATTGTATCGCTGCTTTGTGTTTAAAGGTTCTCGTAAATTTCATTCTTCTTGAAATGGATTAATTCTCCAAACTATCTAGGTCACATTAGATTTGAGTGTTCAGAGCTCTAGAAAAGCTGCCCAGCCCCTTGCCAACTACTGACTAAATCTGTTTTCATTTTACTTCCGATCGGCATTAAAGATGCTAAGAAAACTCATAGTGATCTATATGGGATATAATGTCCCATATAGCTGTCCTTTCACAATTACTCTTGGGTGGGTGAGAGCCATGAGTTGTTACCTCAGTAGAAACTGCAAAGGCTTTTCACAGAGTTCAGGCAGAAACTTCAAGAATGATTGAAAGTCTAGAAATTTTATTTCTAATGATTTTGATATCATTAACCTAGAGAGTGAAAACCTAGGAAGGACCAAAGAACTCTGTCAAATATGTAACGAATTATTTGAGAACATAGAGACCGTTCTCTTCCATCACTTAAAATCAGACAAAAAGAAAATATACTGTAGCATTTATGAGAATTATTAAACACCGGCTTGATTCACGCGCTTGAAAAAATCTTTTTAAAGAGAAGAGAGGCTGGGTCTAAAATGTCCATCTGCAGTACCTGAGGCGTGGATTAGCTTAATCTTCTGGGCTTTTCACTCTCTTGGACTTTGTGAAGTAGATTACTATGTAAAGGATCTTTACCTTTACTCCTGTTTTCCTCTTAGGCTCTCTTATACTTCATCCATGTCATGGATCACATCGCTGTGAAGGAGTATGTGTTAGTGTATTTTCACACACTGACCAGCGAGTACAATCACCTGGACTCCGACTTCCTGAAGAAACTCTACGACGTCGTTGATGTCAAGTTAGTTACTTTTTGCAAATTACGAAGGGCCAAAAATAGCTTTTTTCTTTCCTAATATTAAACAGTAGCAAACATTGCTATATATTCTGTGAAAGGATATTTCATATAACAAAGATTGGTAAATCTTGATTAAGTAAATCATATGTATATTTTCCTCCTTTTAACTTAAGCTTTTAAAACTTTAAGAAGGGCTTGGGGTCATTACCTATCTTTGCATATAAAATAATAAATACTATCTCCTATTTATATGGTATAGCAAAATACATTTATAAATATTTCATTAATTATGTATTTACTTTGTCTTACCTGTAGGTAATTTTATCACATTGCCTATGAGACAGATACATTAAATAATGAAATGTTCTCTAAATTGCCTTTGACACATCATGAAAAATTAATGTCTGTGAATATATTCATATAAAGAGATAATTGTCCATAATGTTGACTGATTTTAGGTATGACTCATACTGACCCATTTTTTAATTTGAATCAGGTACAAGAGGAATTTGAAGGCTGTTTATTTTGTTCATCCAACATTTCGTTCAAAGGTACAGTTATTTTCTTTTTATTTAAATCTTGAATTTGGGTTATGAGTGGCAGCATAGTAAGATATATTTCACCATGTTAATTTTGCTGTCACTATTGTGATTACTAATTTCCTTGTTTACTCTTTTTTAAAAAAGATTTATTTATGCACACAAGGATTCACCAGAGACAAACTGGGGAGTAGAACAGGCAGATTGACTGAAATACACTGCTGAAGGGAGCAGTGGTTGAGCAGGCTCTCCACTCTGCTGCACCATGTGGGTCAGCTCCGTGGCCGGGGATCGAACTCGTGCTAGAGAGGCTGCCGATAGTTTCATAGTGCTGTGTCTTAACCCCTTGCACCACCAGGGAGGCCCCTAATCCCCTTTTTATAAATGCTCTCCAGTTGTAATCCTGATGTTTTGTTTCCTTGTAACCTCTCTCTTTGTGGGTGACCCTTACAAGTTGTCCACATCTCAGTCCTTGTCCCTTCCTACTCTTCATTCATCTGAGCTCTGGTTATGTTGTTGGTCCAGAGTACACTTTCCCTTCTCTGCTTCTGATTGACTCCTATTTCACCTTGAGATCTCAACTCAACAGTTACTTTCTATAAAATACCTTCCCTGACCAGTCCTGCAACTAGTAGGTGCGCCTGCATCCCTTAAGATGCTTTTATCTCTAAGTCTTGTTTAATTTCCTGCCTTATACGTTAGATTGAGAGATCCATGCGGCTCGGAATATAGCTGTCTTGATCCCAACAATATCCTAGAGTCTAATTCTGTATCTGGACTTCATTAAGACACCTAGTTCTTTTACTTCTTCTAAAAATGACATCTTTTCTTATTTTCTTCCCTATTCAGCCTAAAACCCATGTTCCATCACTTCAGCCATTCTTGTTAATGCCTAAAATAAGTCGTGACCTTTTCCCTTTTCATCACACCTGCCATTAAAACCTGTTCTTGAGATAGATGATATTTGTCATACATTCCTTTGCATAAGTTTGCCTACCTCTGATCTAGAGAAAAACCGAAGATTTAGTGGTTCACTAGGTGCTTAGGGGTGAGAAGAAGGGCAGCGTCACCCAAGACTCCCAAGTGGCATCAGCTGCAAGGATCATGTGTTGGAATATAAATTTGAGAGCCAACATCAAATTGAAAAAAAAAAGCAAAAACTTTAACCCTTAAATGTACTGATGAAGAAAACCGCAGACTTAGAAGCGGGCCACTAAACCCTGGAGGAGATCAAGTAAAAGTAAATATCAAGTGAGTAAGAGAACCAAAATAGGGCAGTGCAATGAGAGCCGGGGGATGGGGAGCCATCTCGGACAGCAGACGTGGTCATTATGTAAAGCATTGTGGAGAAACCACCGTGAGTGAGAGGTCCTCATGATTTGTGATTGAGAGATGAGTAAAGATCAGAGAGAGAATGTTTTCCACTTTGGGATCTCTTAATTGTTTACAAAATTGTTAAGTTTTCTCATCCAAGTACTGTCTTTAAAATTTACACCAAGTATATTAAGTAATTCTTTGCAAATTGCAAATTTCCTTTTGGTCTCTCAGTGTCAGAACAGCACAGTAAGTGCTAATTAGATGCTTATGGGGGTGCTGCTTGGCCAGTCAAAAAAAAATTTACAACATGTGAACAGTCAGCTGAGTGAAGGGCTTTTCGTATTCTTGGTTCAGTTAAGTTCTGATTACATGGTCCTATCAGATGATTTTCCTATCATTTTGTTTTTAGTAAATAGCTAATATTTTTCTTTTCATAGCACTTACGGAAGTAGTGCTTGAACAAAACCTCATCGTCCATTTGTTTTTGGTTCATCCAGTAGCTCTGAAATTTTTTTCTTTAATGGACACAAGCAGAATGATTAACTTGGCCCTTAGTATGTCTTTGCAAGAATGTCTACACTGACCAGTTGGATTCCGTCTATATGGGAAGTGCTCACTCATGTAATAAGGTACCAAAAAGAAACAAAATACATCTGGATTAAAAAGGAGCAAATAAAACTATTTATAGATAACATGATCATCTCTGTAGACAATTCTGTAATAGCCTCAGAAAAGATACTAGAATTAATGAGTGTCATCAAGGATTCAGGGTTTAAGATCAGTATTCAAAAATTGACTGGCTATATTAGAAACAAATAACCAGATCAAAACATAAAAAGCAATATTTACACTAGCATCAAAAACTCGTAAGTGCTTAGGGGTGAATATAATGAAAGAGGGGGAAGACTTGTGTAAAAATTAAGTTTACTGCAAAACATTAACTGGAGAAATTAAAGGAGAACTTAAAAAAAGACATGTACTTTGTGTAAAAGACAATCTTAGAAGACTTTATATTGTTAAACTATCAGTATTTACTAAACCTGTAGTTTCAATTTAATCTCAGTCAGAATTCCCCCGAGCTTTTTTATACAAGTTGATTGGTCAAAATAGTAAGAATCTACAAAAGCTGAAACAACTTTGTAAAAGAATAAAGTTAAAGAACCAACACTCCCTGCATTCAAGGTTATCCTAAAGCTGAAGTACTCAAGACAGTAAAGTATTGGCATAAATGTAAACAAATGCATCAATTCTCCATCCTTGGAGAATCCAGAAATAGACTTGTATGTATACATATGTGTATACACATGTGGGTAACTTACATTTGACACAAGTGTAAAGTCAGATCAGTGGAAAGGGATAGTCTGTTCAATAAATGATATTAGAACAATTGGAATCCATATGCAAAAAAGTGAACTTGACCCGTGTCTTGCTTCATAATCAAAACTTAATTGGAAATGAATCAAAGACCTAATTGCAAAGTGTAAAACTGTTAAACTTCTAGAAGAAAAGGCTTTGTGTCCTTGAGTAAAGCAAAGGTTTTCCAGATAAAACACCAAAAGCACAACCCCTGAAAGGAATCAGACTTCATCAAAATAAAAAAACTTCTGTCTTCTTAGTGATAGTTACGATAATGAAAGGACAAACCACAAAACATTTATCTGATAAAAGACTTGTCTTTCAAGTATAGACAGAAATCTCAAAAATCAGTAATAAGGAAACAACTCAATTTAGAAGTGGGCAGATGAGGGCCTCCCTGGTGGCCTAGGCGTTAAGTCTCAGCGCTACTATTGCAAAGCCCAGAGTTTGATCCCTGGCCAGGGAGCTGACCCACATGGCGCAGCAGACCTCTCCCATCTCCCCACTGCTCCCCTCAGCAGTGTATTTCAGCAGATAGACCTGTTCTGCTCCACACTCTGTCTCCGGTGAATCCTCTCACCCTCCCTGGCCTGTACCCCAGTTCTATGCAAAAATGAATAAATAAAAATCTAAAAAGAAAAGTGGGCAGAAGATTTATACCAACACTTCAAAGAAGATACACAGTTGGCCTATCAGCACATGACAAGATGTTCAGCATAATTAGTGATTAGGAAAGTGCAAATCAGACCATACTGTGATAACCATACATGCCAGTTAGACTGGTAAACCAAATCCGTGCTAATCAGAATATAAAACGTCACAAACACTTGGGAACTTAATTTGACAGTTTATTTTGAAAGTTCAACATATATTCAATATGTACCATGTGATCCAGTCATTCCTCTCGTAAGGATTTGCCCCAGACAGATGAAAACGTCCACATAGAGACTGCTACACATGTGCTCATAGCAGCTTTATCTATGAGAGCCAGAAGCCAGAAGCAACTCACCTGCCGTCACTGGGAGATTGAAAACCAAACTGTGGGAAAGCTGTGCAAGAGACGACTCCTCGGGAGAACGGCTGCAGCTGCGACAGCGCCGTTAGCCTCCAACTAACACACCAAGGAAAAGCCAAACAGAAAAGAGCACTCACTGTATGGTTTCATTCACCTAAAATTCTAGGGGAAAAGGATTAGGGTCAAAATAAGGGGGAGTGCAATTGTATGGGGAATATAACCAAAATGAAAATGCATACATTGTGCAAAGATGAAAAATGATGAAAGAATTATATTTAAAAAATTAAAAAAATAAAAGTGGCAAAAATATGACATCAAAAAAAAAAATTCTAGGGGATAGAGTCAAATTAATTCAATTCCTGTGTGACTGCAGAAAGCAGCGCAGGGAGGAGCGGCAGGAGGAAGCAGCTACAAGGACCCTCAGAACCTTTGGGAGTGATGGGCACATTCATTTTCTTGATTGTGATGATTTCATTGGTATACACATGTCAGAACTTAACAAAGTGAACAGTTTAATGGGTGTACTTTATTGTGTATTAATAATGTTTCCATGAAGCTATAAATGCAACGAGATACCTTTGCGCTACCACGATAATGGATAAAATTTAAGGCTCACAATACAAAAGTGCTGGCATGGGGAGCCCCTGAAATTCTCCGTAAGTGGGAAAGTGAAGCTGTCCAAACACTCTGAGGAAAATTACAATTTCTTGTACACTAAGCATATACCTTATCTGTGACCCAGCAGTTTGACTGCTAGTATTTACTCAAGTGACATGAAAGCATATGCACATAGAAAGAAGAGAATATTCACAGCAGCTTTAGTCATAGCAGCTAATGGCTGGAAGCAGCCCAGATGGCCTTCAACAGGATGATGAATAACTAGACTAGGGAATATTCTTTCATGGGGTATTACTTGGCAATAAAGGAGAACACCCTGATACACGCACCAGCATGGAAGAATCTCCAAAACTTTATGCTAAGGGAAAGAAGCCATCGTGAAAGAGTCGCTGTATGGTTACATTCCTTTGAGATACTGGAGTGAGCAAAATTAACCCCTGGAAGGAAAAAAATCCAAGCAGCATTGCCTCTGAGGAGAGGGGCATGAGGGGCGAGAAACATGAGGAGCTTTCTGCGATGATGAAAATAGTTATCTCAACGGGAGTTTGTTTGCATTTGTCTGAACAGCAAAAGGAGACTTAAAATCTGCATTTCATCAAATATAAATTTTATAGCAAAGAAACTGAACAAAAATGAACTCTAGTTATAAAGATATGAGTGTCATAATCAGGGGAAATTTCCCGGTGTCTGCAGTTTACTCTGAGATGGCAGTCAGAGCGTAAGCTGGATTAATACATGGCCAGAGGGACGCAGTGTGATGAAGGAAATATAAGGAAAATGTTCACGCTTGTCTGAGGAGTGGCTGTCCTGGTGTCGACTGTAAACATCCTTCAACTGTAGTGAATGTTTTCATAATAATTTTTTTTTAAATGGAAAAAACTTTCTTCTTTCTCTCACAAGTTCAGCCTTACCAGAAGAGTATCCCTTTGTAACCCCACTTATAAAAATACACAGCCACTGCATGCTGTGTATTAGAGGGTTAATAACTCCCCTTCCAATGCCACTGATGGATGGCGTTACCAGAGTGTCAAGCCACAAGTCTTGGCTGTCACATTGGCTGGGAGGCTTAAGGAATCAGTGCAAAGGGCAGGTTGGGAGAGGCTGAAGACCAGATGTACTAAGTGAGAGCCATTACATTACGTCTCCATAATATTTTGGGTTGGGGAAAATAAAAGAACTGAAAAACTAAATTACCCCAGGCGTAATAAAACCCATCATTGTTTTATACTAAGTGAAAACTGTAAATGGAGTATTCTTGGTTATAAATAATGAGATGAAATCAAGAGATAATAAAAACCATCACCTCACACAGTTCTAATTTCCATACTTCTGAGATCATTTCCAGGCCCCTCTATCCAACGTGTTAATAAATTGACTGCTCATATAAATCACTCATGCTTTTCCTTTGAAGTTTACTAACAGAATGCACACGAGCAGAGTTTCAGCCCGCTGTGGAGCCTGGCGCTGGGCGATGGCTTGAGTGCACATGTATGTGAACAGGCTTCTCCTGGCTTAGAGTGTTCTGTGACCCTGTGCTCTTGGCTTTGCATTTGTGAGTAATTGGGTGAAAGAATCTCTAGATTCATAAAATGCCACAGCAGTCCTTCAAATTTTTAATTTTCTTCAGTTTTTTAAAATAGATACTAAATATTTCAACTTTATCTAAACTAAGGAATATTTATAACTTATTCCAAATAATTGAAAATTACAAGCTGAGCTGTATGAAACCAAAATGCAGAAAAGTGGGGCCTGTGCTCAGGGGTCTCTCTGCACAGCAACAGCAAAAATGGAGCCGGGTTTGCACTTCTGGCTGCTGAGTCCTTTTCTCCTGATTTCTGCTATGTCCTGGAGGATGTTAAGGAGGCCTTGGGAGAAAATGCAACAGAGAAATGGGTTTCTATTTCAAATATTGCACATTCAAGGTTGTGGCCTGTTCTTCCCCAACCAAACCTTCTCTTTAAATGACCCATTGCACCCCACCCTGTCAGTATGGTTAGCATATTCAAGAGTGCTTACTAAATTATAAAATGGGGCCTCCCTGGTGGTGCAGGGGTTAAAGACAGTGCTATCGCCAGCCACTGCTGCAGCAGTTTGATCTCTGACCGGCCAGGGAGCAACACACATGGTGCAGCAGACCACTCCTGTCTCGCCCGCTGCTCGCTTCAGCAGTGTATTTCAGCCATTTTGCCTGTTCTGCTCCCTACTCTCTCTGATGAATCCTCTCACACCCCCTCCCCACATATACCTCTGGCTTACACCCCAGTTCTTGTATGCATAAATAAATAAATCTTTAAAAACAAACAAAATAAAATTATAAAATGAGGAGGGATCTTAAAAATCATTTAGGTCTAAGTTGTTCATTTTAGAGAGGAAGTAACAGACCCAGATTGCAGCACAGTTTATTTTTATTAGAGAAGGAATATTAGGCTGTCCCCAAATAGTATTAAAGTACCAAGTCCAGAAACTCTAATTTCTCCATTTGTTAAATCTTTCAACACATCCTAAATTCCTTACTTTTTATGTCAGACATTAATTATACCGTATGGTATTGAATAAGATGATCCCAACACTGGGGAGTTTACTGTTTAGACAATCAGATAATACAGTACAGAATGTTAATGATGCAATATGACTAAGCAGTGTTGGAACACTTAGAAGGGAGCTTCTTTTCCAGCTTTGGGTGGAGGGTAGTCACAGAACTCATTGAGATGATCTGAGCTCTCAATTATCCAAGGAAAGCCTCAAGGAAAAGCTATCAGACCTGAAAGGCAGCATGTAAGGTGTTTGAGGTGAGACAGTGCCGTGCATGTTTCCTGTGTCTTCTAATTCTGTGGCTTTGGAACCAACATTTTTTCCAAATAGCACAGCTCCTTGCATCTAAATAGGTGTTTTCACGTTTTCCCTGAGCCATTTATAGCATTTAGCACATTTTGCCGTAGGTAGCTGTTCTGACAATCTAGCTCCTCTGCCAGACTCTTACCACCCCCGTCCCCCTGTGAGCAGAGTGGCACCATCACTGTCACCCCACTACTGCACTGCTGTCACCTGCACTACTGCACAGCGCTGAGCGCACCGTAGAGGCCCGGCAGGTGTCAGTAATTGCTTGCACAAATGCCTCTCCTCGCACATCCTTGAGATTCTCTGTTCTGACTACAATCTTATTTTCTTACGCTCTTTCTAGAATCTCTTAAAATCTCTGTGGTCTCTCCATAGCTCTTACTAATTTTTCAACTTCCTCTGTACATGGATAGAAGTACTCATCTAGAATTCTCACTAACCTAATTGCAGAAAGCTTGTGTCAATTAGATATGTAACAGCGTGTGTTTTCCAAAAGCTAATGTAAGAAAGCCAAGTACCTTCCCCTGCCCCCTCGCAGTACTACCTCCCTTCAAATAGGCGCGGGAAGGCGGGAAGGAGGGAGCTACAGCGCGCGATGTTAATTTGAGGCCTTGTACCAATTATCGGTAGAATAGCCAAAATAGAATAGTGTTTCAGCCATAAAAATCACTTATTCATTATCAAATACTTGAGAAGACATATTATCTATACCTTGCAAATCTTTAGACTGTTGCTCCATGATTGTCAAGAGTTAAGATATTATGGAAATAAATATAGGTAACTGAAATACTGAGAAGTAGGAATAAATGCTGTAAATGAGATCTAAGCATCATAAGATTATATAAATGAATTCAATAAAGGGAGGTAATCTGAGCCTAAGAGTGAAATAAGAATACAGTTGAGTTTCTACTGAATCTGGGAGTTTGGAGAGGATTCTGGTAGAGATAAGTTAGTTCAGTCTTGTCACTGGGGGCCTGGAATTTTTGGAAAGGTTTGGAACAACCACGAGGATCCCAGTAGGATGTCAAAGAGAAGTTGACAGAATGATTGGCATCAGTGACAAACACCCCAAGGGGCATATATGTCCACACTCACCCATTTGGAGTATATTGTGCCCGTGCCCTGAGAACTCACTTGTGTATTTCCTTCTGGAAATAAAATGGGGTAGAAGCAGTACTGTGCTACCTCCAGAACTGTTGTGTGAGCTGTTGGTAAACGTAGACTGTGATTTCCACATTAGATAGATGAGCAAGAATTTCTTAGTTCTAGCTACTATCTAGTTTATTTGTCACTATTATTTGCTATCAGGAACCCTCTCTTTGGAACCAGCCCATTTTGCAGACCAGCTTTTATAGAGGTATTGTGTGTTATAAAGCAAAATGAGCAAAGATGGTTCCTCCACCCCCAGAAGATTCGCTTTGACTAAGAATCTACATGCCAATGTCCACTGCAAATGAGGTGTCTCAAGTATGGACAGAAATTTTAGGTTTAACCTCATTTGACAAAATGCAGTGCGTCCCAGTGACTCCATTTTTCTGCCAAATGGGGCGGTGGTTTTGATTATAGCCACACTAAGGAGCACACTGTGTGGTGACAGTACAAGAACAGCAGCATGTGAGCGTGCAGTGGGAAAAGGTTCACAAAGCAGTTTGTCCTCACCACAGCCCCCACCCTTTTGTGCCCACCCTTTTGTGTTAGTTTTCTATGTTCCTTAATTCATTAAGCCACTTGTATAACTCAGTGATGAACTACAGTCTGCACTTTGAAAACCATGGCTTATTCCAAGATTTTTTCTGACATCAGTTTCAATTTTGAAATACAGTTTTTATTTAGTACAAATTTGCAAAATCATGTTTATATTGGTAACTCTGACCCCCGGCTAAAATTATTTCTCTCTTCTCTTCACCAGGTATCAACATGGTTTTTTACCACCTTTTCTGTCTCAGGACTGAAGGATAAAATCCACCACGTGGACAGCCTACACCAGCTGTTTTCCGCTATCTCACCAGAACAGATCGACTTTCCTCCTTTTGTCCTTGAATACGATGCCAGGGTAAGAGATATCAGGGTTTCTCCATTTTCCCATGTAGTCACTTCAACAGTCTATAGGACTCACAGAACAATAGAAATGCCCTATAGTGCTTATAAGCTTACAAGTTATTATTTGTGTAATTACCGTGTTTCAGCCAACTTGATGGTGTCATTTAGCTCTCTTCCTATGATAACTTTAGGAAAATGCATTGTGCTAAAAAGACATTTTTCCCAGATAAACTTTTCAATGGGAGATTTTTCTTCCACTGTAGGTTCGAAGCCAATCTTAGTTGCATTGTGTTTCCTAGCCTCCTTTGAGACACACCTCTGCTTAATTTTCTTAAGATTGAATGACTTTTCATCTACATAGAGCCCAAAAAAATCTATTGGTGTCCATTTCCATCAGTAATTGTAAACCGGTAGCTTATCTTAGTAGTCTTTATTCCCACTAAAAGTTTCATTTTGTTAAAAGTTTGCATTGTTTTTAAGAACATCAGCTGATAATATTATTTATAAATGCATTTATTAATAAATCTATTATAATAAATGTACTATAAATGCATTTATAAATCTATTACTTAAACACTAATAAAGGAGCACTTTTGAATTTCATCAAAGCTCTATTCCATTGTGTTTATTAACAATGTCATTTCAATCTTTTAAAAAAAGATAAGTAACGTGCTTGGTGAAACGACCATCAATCTCCTTACTTAATTGCTGCTGATTACATGTTTTTATGCATGAATCAGGGAATGTATTTGAAGGTTATATTAAATTTGACATGAATTATTCTTCCCTAATTATTACACAACATGTATACAGTAAAATAAATATGCTACAACACATCTTCCCTCTAACATTTCTCTAACTTCAGTTGTGATTTCTGTTCCCTTCATGAGAAGGGCAAAGCGCTCATTGTGTCCTGGTGGCTGATAAGATTGCACACTTGCCTTTTTCAGACAGGACTTGTAATTGGAGCAGCTGGATCATAGGTACAAAGATTATTGACTCTATGGGAGGGGAAAAGAACATCAGGTTGTATTTACTGCATGTTACCAGAGTAGAAAGTTGCCTTACTGTCATGTCACTCTATGAATCACTCTTCTTAATATTTAAAAAAAAATGGATAGCAGGAAATGTATAAAAGACACTAAAGACACTTTGATGTGAAATATTTGGAATGACAATTCAAAGCTAGTGTCTGGATTTATGAACTGTTTTCTGAGATAGAAATATACCAGTTCAGGGCCTCCCTGGTGGCACAAGGGATAAAGCACCGCACTATGAAGCAATCTACAGCCTCTGCAGCATGAATTCGATCCCCCGGCCAGCAAGGGAGCAACCCACATGGCACAGCAGACCTCTCCTGTCTCGCCCGCTGCTCCCCTCAGCAGTGTATTTTAGTCAGTCTGCCTGTTCTGCTCCCCACTCTGTCTCTGGTGAATCCTCTCTCACACACACACACACACACCCCACATCTCTGGCCTAAACCCCAGCTCTTGTATGCATAAATAAATAAATCTTTTCAAAAAAAAAAAAAAAAGAAATATACCAGTTCAGTTGTATTGGCTAGAAAACTGAAGGACTGTTTTTTAAGCAAATGTATTTTCTATATACTTATTGACCCATAAAGAGGGCTTTTATTAAATATCAACGCCACACACAAGATTGAGTTTTTGGTGTTTTGGTTTTTTAGATACACTGGTTTACAACATTGTATATAATTTAGAGATGTAGAATCACACCCTTCAGATTATGATACCACAGCACCCCCACCATCAAGCCATGATTCTCCACAGTAATCCATTGTGCCCCTCCCCACGTGGCTCTTCCATCTTTTCCTCCTCTGATAGCCTCAATTCTACAGTCGTATTTCTAGGATGTGTTGTTGGTTTGGTTTTATCTGCCCTTGGTATGTTTCTCTATATTGTACATATAAGTGACACCACCAGTATTTGTCTTTTTCCTTTTGAAGCTAATTTTTATCTAGGTAAAAATGATATCAAGAACATTTTCAAAAGGAGCTAATCAGCAATCTTGTAAATATAGTCAAAGAAGAGAGCATACACATTTATCTGATAACAATCCTTCAAATTTCTGTGATTGTTTCCAGAAATAGAGAAAGTATTTGAATGCTCAGCAGTCTCTTAAACCATGTGAAACTAATATAAAGAGTTCTATTTTATAGCACTAGAATTAGATTTGCCCTTTTCAGTTGATCACAATGTAATGCTGATGTGAGAAACCTGGAAATATATAGTAGTGGTGTGGAATAGAGACACTTTAACGACGAAGAGTGAGCTTTTTTTTTTTCCCAGATGAACATCAGAGCAGATTATCAGACATGTTTCTTTTTTTTTTTTAAAGATTTATTTATTTATGCATACAGGAACTGGGATACAGGCCAGAGGTGCAGGGGGGTAAGAGGACCCACCAGAGACAGAGTGGGGAACAGAACAGGCAGAGTAACTGAAATACACTGCTGAGGGGAGCAGTGGGGAGACAGGAGAGGTCTGCTGCGCCATGTGGGTAGCTCCCTGGCTGGGGATTGAACTCGTGCTACAGTGGCTGTGGACAGTTTCATAGGTGCGTCTTAACCCCTTGTGCCACCAGAGAGGCCCCAGACATGTTTCGTAAGCATGGCTTCCATGCATAGTAACGATACAAGGTTGGTTAGCAAAACAGATTTTGATAAAAAATTCTAAAAATTGGGGAGAAAGGCTGTTAATTTATTTTCAGTGTTGTGTGATGTATGCAACACTACATTTAAAGCCTTTGTTTCTACCTGATTTTTTTTTTTTTTTTTTTTTTTTTTTTAGTTTCTTCCGATACTTGATCAGACCTAAATCTAAAGGGCAATTTTCCTAGACATCCCCTTGTCATGCTGCTTATGGCCTCAGGATCAATTCCTGTTCCAGAGCACCTGCTCTCAGGCATGAGGGAGGTCCCAATTCACTTAGTCACTCAAACAACACTTAACTGCTGGGCCAGGTAGATGTACTAGCCCTTAGTCTAGGTTTACTCCACTATGTCAAAGTTGAACATTACTGTTTGGAATGATTTGACAGGCTGTTTGGGGGCTTTGGGGATACTCAGAAAGTTTTCCATATAAATTAATAATAATAACATTTCCAGTCCCACAAAATAACCTAGTAAGGCATAGGAGCATTCTTTGTTTGGATAGTGGGGGAAACCTGCAATTGTAATATAAATACAAGGTTTAATGATCCATAATAACTGGAATGTAAATTTAGTGTAAAGCAGTGCCTCTCATTCTCCATGCCTAACTAGTGTCTTACATTATTTCTAACACTTTCCATTTATAGTTTACTGGAAAACAAGCTGTTTGTCAAAGAAATACTTTCTTTTAAAAGTAAATTAATCTATGTCTCATGAATCTAATCTGGGATCCTTCTGCCATAAAGTTAGCTGTTTCGACTTTTATTAAGATAAAGTTGCCAGGGTGAATTCCAAAAATTTCCCCTTAACACTCTATTTGTTGTTTTCTACGTTTGACATTAAAATCCTGGCATTTCATTCTCCATATTGATCTTAAACAAAACACCCTGAGAACTCTAATTGTTACAAGCCTCGCTGCTCAGGCATGTCAGCCTGAGCCTCTTTTCTGCCAAAGCATTTAAAGCTCTAAAATTCCTCAGTGATAATTTGTTTTGATTCATAACTCCATAGTAAGATAGGCACATCTTGTAAGAAAAAGCAACCAGAGAAAAAAGGTTTTGGATTCAAATAGATGTGAGTTTAAATTCAGGTTCTTTTCATGGACAGGGCGTTGCTAAAGGTGACTTGAGGTGAATTGGGCTACCCGTGTGATCCTGTTTCTTCTGTAAATGAGGATGTTATGTGTGTATTTCATGGCATTACGTGAGGATTTATAATAATGATTAAAGAGGGCTGATAAGGTATCTGGCAAATAGAATACTTAATAAGTGGTATTGTTATTTGAAAGCATTGTGCTGATCACCTGTTCCCACTTTGCACCAACTGATGAACTCCAGGGGAATTTATCTGGGGACCAAGGGTCTGTTCGGGGCCAGGTGTATGTGAGACTTTTAGGTACATGCTGTCCACTCTAAACCCCTTTCTTGCCCACTCCCACTTAAATTGGTCTTATTCCTGAATGTCCTTGTCTTTTTTTTTTCTTTTCACAGGAAAATGGGCCTCACTATACATCTTACCCCCCATCACCGGATTTGTGACCTGTCATCTCTCCGTACTACTGGTTTCCAAGGATGCCACCGTCTCCACAGATCACTACCTACTGAAGTGATACTCATTTTGCTGTACAGATCCAGAGAGCCTTTTGTCCCCACCTCTCTGGTATTTTTTTATTGACTGTATATTTTCTGGCACATAAGCAATCTGAAAATGGTAGGCCATTCTGAACTGCACACTTATTTTAAATTTGTATATTTGTATCAAATGGAAATGTTCATTTTTAAGTGGGTTGTTAATAGAGATTAGGGAGCAACTTTTGAGTATTTTCAGTTTCCTGAAAGAACACTGGATTCTCCATTAGACAAGCCACCAATGTTGTCACTCCATCCCTTTAACATTGCACGCTTCCCTTGTGTACTTATCTCTCAAAATATATAGAACCAGTGTATGCTGCCCCTGCATTGCTCCTGCAGACCTGGTATTAGGTTTCATACAGATCATTCGGGTGTGATCAATGAAAATTGTCTGGGACCAAGAATGTGGAAATGTATCTAATCAAAGACATCAAAATCATTAGCAGAATATAGGACTTAGAATTTTACTGCACCAATGAAGGTTTAAGGACTGAAGTTCTTGGGTTAAATGTTTTGTTAATATTGCTGCCGTTCTGCTCTCAGCAGTGGAGGGAGACTGAAGCGTCATCCTTTTGCCTCTCGTCATGGGAGATTTGGTCCCCTTATTCAAAAGGACTGTGTGTGCTAGTACCCCTCTGGGCAGCCATCTCCTGAGGCTGCGAGTGAGCCTCTAGAGGACGCACTGTCTTCCACAGTCAAGAGTAATTTTCCTTGCCTCTTAAGGTTTCTCCTCTAAGGACAATTCCCGGCGGTGTCTTGTTAACAGCTCACATCGATGTGGAGGAAGAGTTTTGCAGTGAAACAGAATCCCAGACTACCTTTGGCACGCAGACTCTATTTGTGCCTTAGCTTGCTATGAGTGAAAACTGGGATTCGGCTATCTGCCTCGCCGAGGTATCACAAGGATAGCATTTAGAAAGGGGTTTTGATGTCTTTGAAAATGCTAGGAGAGTGTGTGTGGTGGGGTGTCCTCAATTTGTTTTAAATGACAATAAATAGACTTGAGGGGCTGCTATAAGGCACTTCTCTTGTCCTTGGCACCTTTTGAGTCGTTTTCCTTTCTTGGGACGAAAGTTGTTAGTGCAAAATCCCAACCCCGAGGACCTTCCTTCTCCATCCAGAATTTCCTCTGGCCTGCTCACTCCCCCAGTGCTACACTTTAATGAGAGGCATCTGTTAGCCATTTTAAACATTTCTTCTTGAATTAAGGTCAAACCATTATCATTTCCATCTGGGTGTCTTCATATTCCTTTTGATTCCTGCACCCACCCCCCCATCCACTTCACCCCATCATGTACATTTGGCAGTTCTGAGAAGAAAAAGTAGAGCTCTGTTCTCATGTGCTCCACTCAGGTCTGTGCGTCTGAGGGCAGGTCAACTCCCTCTGCCCAAATTAATTCTTCAGTGAGGCGAAAGAAACATACTTCTCTTAATTTATGGTGGAGAAATCCCCCAATACTTGTGTTAACACCATCCTCTATTTTCCCAAATGAACAAAGAAGGATTTTACATGTCTTAGTTCAGGACACTCACCTTTGCATGTATTGAGCACACTTGCTTTGTTTCAGGTATCACAAGTACTGTTGCTTGTATGTGCTTACTTGTTCAAGACATTCTGTTACGTTCCCTAGGTCAGCAAGCCCAAGACAGTCAAATGTTTGGTGTTAAGCTTCCTCTCAAATAGCATTCCTCCAAGACCTTGAACCTTGAGCCTTGAACCTTTAAAATCTGAAAAAATTAGTTTGGCCTTCCCCAGTACATTGTTAGATCACATTTGAGTTCCCTTTTCACAGAGCAATTATAAAATATGCCAACTTTTAGTCATGAAAGCTGGACTTGGCTACCTCAAATTGGCATCTAGCCTAAATCATTTACCCTGTAGATAATCAAGACTGCAGACTTATTTTAAAAAGGGCCAAATTTATATGTACAAGTGCTTATAAGCAATAAATTTGAAAGGATGTGTATCTGTTGTATTCACGCCAGAATATTAATGTTTGGTAATACAAGCATTCTGCATATGCAAGGATTCTACAAGGAGTCCACATACCTGAGATTCTACCTCGGTTGATGTCCCGGGGCTAGGTATACTCAGCACTAGCTGCATATAAACCACAGTTCATAATTAAATGTTGACTAAAGTATGGACCACTGCTCTCAGTGAAACTAAATTTAGCGTGGGACCAAGTTCATGCTTTTAGAGCCATCTAAAGTGTCATATATAATGAAGCTGTGTACAGCTTGAAGGGGAACATAATGACCTTGATATTAAGATGATTAAGTAACAGTCAGTATAAATACATATTTGTCAAAAGATTGAATAGACTAGGTAGGTCATGTCATTTTCAGGGATATATTAAAGAATTAAGGGGTGACTTGGTGGAGATGACCACGAGCATCTGATGTTAATTCAGAGTACCACCAAGTCCTTAATTTAATTAATCTTTAGTCATGCCAAATGCCAATTGAGGAAGAAACAACTTACAAAATATTAAATTAATTCATTAATTAATGCAGGTTATGATTTTTAAAGCAAGTACATTTCTTCAGCATATAGTGGATTCTTCTTAATTAATCTGTATCCAAGTGTCTTGGTAGCAAAAATGGCCTCTTCAAAAAAATACAGTTTTTATTAGATTTTAAGACTTAGTTACCAAGTGGTTCATATTTTAAAGATTTTCTTTTTTATGGGTCTTATTTCATTGGTGCTCTGTCCATATACAAGAGTGTGAGAATGCTAGTGCTCTACTGCGAATTTCTAGAGTATTTTTCGTAGGTAAAATGATATCAATTTTTGATCAAATTCCTGAAGTCTAAGAGAATTAAAATATTTTCATTTTCAAGAGGAATGACTATCATCACTCTAGTAGAAAAATACGGCTTGTCTATTGCTATTTTCTATTTGCTTAGATATTACTTAATGAATTCAGATGGTAGCTTATGGTTTAATATTTTCTTTGCAGTAGTTAATAAGAAAGATGTAAAATATAATTTCAGTATAAGTTACCATCACTCTTAGTATTTTCCCTGATACATTGTCTGTATGTGTATATAGGTAGAGTTTACATTGCTTAATGTAGGAAAAGAAATGATTAGCATTTGGAAAAGGGAAGGATTGTATGATTCTAGGAACAGTACATTGATTCCATGAAGGGGTGAAAGATTACAAGATGGCATCTAGACCTTGAAAACTGGAGTAAGCCGGTGAGTTTCATCAGTTCTCTTAAGTTGTAGTCGATATAAAAGCAGCACACACTAGAGTTTTTTAGCTGTACTGGAACTTGTATCCCTCGTGGTATATGGTTCACCTTGGTTTGTGATTGCCTGAGACCATGAAGGATGAAGGATTCTAACTGTAATCTTGGTCATATTACACAGCCAGAGATATGTATGTGTATGCATATATACATACATGCATGTTTATATGTGCACACACAGTCATCTGTTTTATTTTCTCTCAGTAAGATTTCTATGGTTCATATGTAGAGGACGTACAACAATAAATAACATGACTGGAGCTTTGATTTTACCAAGTAGTCCTTAAAGTCACAGTGCCAAGGTCCTGCCCTTCCAAGAACAGTATCTCTGAATCTTACCAAGTATAGGTTGTCTTTCATGTATAGCACTGAGTTCAAAAATAGATATTCCCTAGGTGGGTTACAATGACAAAACCGTAAACGCTGAAAGTGTGCTATAATTTTGTCAAGCAGTTAAAACTAACACATTTCCTATACACAGTTATTTTTTTTTTTTCCTAATATGTTCTGTTTGTATATGCACAGCGTTATCACAAGCTGATCTTGTGGGCAAAATATTTAAACAGAAGTCTAATGAACATATAAATGATTTCATTGCTATCAGGCAAAAGAAAGTGAACATTTAAATTGGCATTGATCTTAAAATGTGTTTACTCAAAATCCAGAAAACCTTAATGAATATTTTGCATTTAAAAGTATTTTGGTCTGGGCCTCCCCGGTGGCGCAGCGGTAGAGCGCTGGGTTGCGAAGCTGCCCGCAGCCTCTGCGGCGCCGGTTCGATTCCCGGCTGCTCCCCGGCCACCGGAGGAGGGTCCCACATGGTGCGCAGACCTCTCCTGCCGCCCGCTGCTCCCCTCAGCAGTGTACTTCGGTCCTTCTGCCTGTTCTGCTCCCCGCTCTGGCTCTGGTGAATTCTCTCACCCTCCCGCGCTTCTGACTGTGCCCAGTGCATGTATAAACAAAACAAATGAACAAACAAATAAATAAATAAATAAAACATGCCTCTATTAAAAAAAAAAAATAAATAAAAAAAAAAAAAAAAAAAAAAAAAAAAAAAGTATTTTGGTCTTTCTGAGTTAGAAGTTAGATCTCTTTTTCAAGAGGTCACACTCTATGCAAACACAGCCCATGAAGAACCAATAGTGAAGTGGTAGTGTTTGTATTGAACTCCAGGGAAAAGCAATCTTTCTTGACTATTTACATGTGACCTTTCCCTACTCTCCAAAGTTAATCTACGAAATACCATGAATTTTACTATCAGCTTTGTCTGTGGAGATCTGGACTACTGTTCTCAAACTTTAATGTGCAATATCAAATCAGCTAGGGCTATGATAAAATGTAGATTCTGACATATTAGGTTTGGAGTGGAGTCTGAGCTTCTGTCTCTGACCAACTCCTAGGTGAACGGGTGTGTCCCCTGGTCTAGACACCACAAAGCAGGGGAAGAGCCAGGGGAAGAGCCGGCACTATATTTAGCTGCTTTATTTTCCATTTGGCCAAAGGAGACAGCGCTGTCATTGTCATCCCTTCTGTGGGCTCGGCTTTCTCACCCTCATTATCTCATTTAATCCTCCTCGAAATCCTGCAAGGGCAGTGGTGAGAGAGTTTGAGTGACAGAGTCACACAAACAGCAAAACAGTACAGGGTAGTGTTCAAACCCGGATCATGTGACGCCCCCTTTAATGAGGAGAATTCTCTTAGCTTCTCTGTTTTCACTTTATTTATTATAATGTTAGCTAAGTATATAAGCATAAAACTAAATATAAATAAATGTCTTATTTATTACATTATAGACCTTGTACCAAAAGTATAAATTCAAAAGAAGTTTACAGAGCAAACACAAGCAATAAAACTAATAAGCATTTAAATAATAATTAGTTAAATATGATGGGTGATATATTTTGCACACACAAAACTCCCCGGTCATGTGACTATGGCTCGGAGGGCTGTGTCGTGGATTTGTGAGTCCGGCATGAGCGCACTGCTGGGCCATGTGGTGACTCACCAGATTTTTCTGTTCAGACCATTTCATTTATTTAGCATGTAGTGATGTCATTTGGTCTTCATCTAGCCTGAAGGCCTCATTTCCCTATTAAGTCAGCCTCTGCTCTCTGTAAGTCTTCCCCAGCCCAAGATGAATGAAGCTTTAACATGCAAGTAAATACGAGTGCAGTCCTAGGTACTGAAATTGTTTTCAAGCAGTTATCCAGATAATTGAGAACATGAATATTAATAATTAAAATGTTTTCCATCAATGTGAAAATGTTTAATACACATGGTAAACCCAAAGACACCTCCACCCCCCCACCCACCATCACCACCAATATCCATCTATTGCTCTCCAGAAGAATTTTTTAATAGATATAGTTTAAGGGGCAACAATTTAGTGGTTAGTAGCATTGGTGCTTTGGGTTCTGACGGGCCTATGTGTTTTCAGTCTTTCCTGAATTCTGGTCTTTTCTTGTACTGCTCATTTACTTGTTCCCTCTTGCTCAACAGTCCTCAGTCATTAAAAGAAATAAATACAAAAATGTTCATAAAGCATGCAGAATATTTGGTTATAAGCTGTGACTACCATTGCTTTGATTAGAGATAATAATAACTCAGTCTGAGGACTTCATTCTGTGCCTCCAGCTTTGCTAAGCTCTTTGTATGAGTCATCTTCTTTGAATCCTGGTAGACTCGTATTCAAATCCAACTCTGATTCCTTAGCTCATGCTCTTAGAAAAAATAATTTAAAATAGAACATCAACAGAGGTTGTTTATTTTAAAGATTATTCTTAAATTGTATTTTCTCAAAAACAATTATTATAAAGTTAATAATGTTTCTGTGGAAAGGAAATCATTAAGATTCATGTTAATGATTATGTCATATACTAGTAATCAGATTGGCCAAAATAAATATGAATTTGATTTTAAGGTTGTCATGCTAGACTGATTCAGAAAGGGATGTTAGAACAGGGAGGCTCAATTTGTTCTTTTGCACATTTTAGATCTGTAACTAATAATAATAACATGACATATGCTCCCTGACACTTGATGTAGCTTGTTGGCAGAAAAAGAATTCCCCCACACCAGTATTATCCTGATAGACCATGACAGTTTTGAGAAATAATATGCAAAAATCTTAAATTTTTACCTGTAAGACATTTTTTTTAATTGTCTTTCCATAAGGTAGTTTCTAGTAGGTCTTCTGAGTTTTTCTAGTTTTCTAAGATAAATTCTGGAGCTCTGAAAAATAAACAAGTTCTGTAAGCTCAGTTTTTTATTGTTTTGCTTTTTTATCTAATTGGATGATGTGAAGAACTATCAGGAGGGAGTTGTAAGAGAAACTCAAGCTATTTATTAACAAAGATAATGTGTGACAAATTCAAATTCTTTCCCTACTTAATGAAGCACATTTCCATAAATTATTAAGGTTGTGGCAACACAATGAACTGTGAGGCTATTGTTCAATGTTGTTAAAGACTATTTTAAAAAGATTTCCCTTGGTGCCAGCTATATAGAAACATGATCACAATCTGTTACAGAAATTGTTGATTCTTTTTCCAATCAAACCTCTTTCACCATTTGGAGGGTCCCTGCTTCGCATTTATAAATAAGGCACAGTTCTACCATTTTCTGTCTGTTTTAGCAGTCTGTTACTTGATTTGGGTTGCGAACTATGCTTCAGTTCAAGTTATTTTCCTCTTTCTCTTTATTAAGTACAAGTTAGACTGGTTTATAAAAGTTTTGCTTTACTAATTGGATGGAATGGTATTTAGACTTTTCTTTAAAATACAAATTCTTTTTAAGTAGGTAGGTCTGTGAAGCATTTGATTATTTTATCTTGTAGTTTAGATGTAGCTGACATTTTCATCTTGAAGTGCTTAATAAATCAAGCATCGTGTTTTTTTAAACATAAATGGGTTATGTTACTACAAATTTCATTTCTAATCACTCATTCAGTAGATGTTGAGATTTATTATGAAAGGAGCATTGGTTCTCAAGCACTTGAGACACCCCCCACCCCTCACCCCGGCTACTCTTGTTTGACAGATGAAGCAGAGACGCAGGCAGGTCAAGGCAGGTTGGACTCGTAGCAGATTGTATAAGGTTGTAGGTTGCCTCAGCCCGATGGTCCCATAGTACTCTTCAGTTTGATTGTGTTTGCAGACCTCCTTGATTTGTGCATTCCCCCCTTTAAAAAAAAAAAAAATCAGGTTTTGAGTCCATTCCATATATATGTTTAAATATATTATTTATCATTTATTTTATTTAAGCAGCACTTGCTCAGCCGGGCTGTAAGGGGGCATCAGAGTACAGGACCTAGCAGCTGAGATTATCAGTCATCTTTCCAGAGCTGGAACATACTTGGGGGTGAGAGGTAAATATT